ACTACTACAACTACTACTACTACTTCTACTACTACTACTACTACTACTACTACTACTACTACTACTACTACTACTACACGACTACTATTACTACTACTACTACTACTACTACTACTACTACTACTACTACTACTACTACTACTACTACTACTACCACTACTACTACTACTACTGCTGCTACTACTACTACTGCTACTACTATACTTCGAGCTCATCAGCCTTCTACGCCTCAAGACCTCGGGCCATTCAATCGAAATCCTCTGATTCCGGAGCCTTGTAATCAGACAGAACAAATCAAATCCTTCGAGGAAACTACGTGTTCGTGGTTTATGGGTAGCATAGCGACTTTAATATTTAGCAGGTCTATTATTCCTTCGGGTTCCTTGTTGTAGTCATAGAACAATATACCAACTTTTGGGCTTCTACTGTAAAGTTCCATGTAGCGGCATGAAGAACCCAAACCCTACGGCCCTAAAGCTTCCATTGTAGCTGGAAGCCCTTATGGGACGTATTACTGAATACTCAGTAGGCCCTATCGAAACCCGAAAGCCCAAACCCCACACCCTGCGGTCAAACCCCGTCAACTCCGGCAAACCGCCGCAATACACCCTAACCCCTGAACCCTGAACCAACCAATCAACCCACACTTCTCTGCGCCGCCGTAGCCGTTTTGAACCGCCAGCAAGTGCTGGGAGTCTTTCGCAAGAGAAGTGCCTGGGCTCCTTTAAGGGTTTCGAGGTGAGGCTTTTGTTCCGGATGTGTGGTTTACAGGTTTTGTGGGCTTTCATGGGTTTCCACGAAGGCTTTATAGGAATCTTCAGGGTTTCCACGAGCTGTCTCTGACAGTTCAGGGCTCTAGCATTTCGGTGTGGAGGTCTAGGGTAAACGCACGCATCGGCCTCAGTTCAGGGTTTAATAAATGGTAAACGCAGTAAAGAGTTGGCTTTGGGTTTGGATGATTTGAGGAGCTTGGGGATTCTTGCGGGAGGCCGCTGGATAGAAGAGGAACCTTACTCAGGGAACCCTTTCAAGTATCATCCCAATAGCCTGCAGTCAGTTGAGAAGGACGGGCCCAAGAGGATATTTGTCTATATTTCAGTGTCACAATAACATATGAAACCATTTAATGTCACATAGTATAATATAATATGACAGAAGGTAATACCGTATGTTGTACTTTAAGATGTTATTTACTCATCATGGTATGGCCCCAGGGTTTGGGTATATGTTTTGCTTTGGCAAGAGTCAATAACACGCACTGCAGGAGTTGGGCCGTTTTGCAAAGGTTGCGAAAAGGGACCTTTCTTCGCTTATAGTATGTTCTACCGTTCTACAGTCTACAGGTTTTCATCGGGTATTGTACAGCGTTACCCAAAGGTTCCTATGTAATTACCGATATAGTAGAATGTAGGGTTTCCATATTAGGAATTACTATTATGACTTAGGGAAGTATCCCCCATAACAGTACATTGAACCCTTTGGGTTATGAGGGCACAACCCCAAGAGCACAATCCGCCTCTGATGAGGACTCCAACTTTTGTCAAGAGGCTGGGCAAGTTCCGTTCCGCCACTTGGGCGCAGATGGCACGCCTTGCTTGGAGAATGGTCTTCTTGGTACTTTGTGTTGCTTAAGCCCTATGATGTACCCGTACCCGAATAGTCTATGTCTGTGCTTTGTCTTTGTCGTAGGTTATATACATAGGTATTTCAAGCCCAAAGTATTGCTATTTGGGTCAGTTGACACTTAGGGCACCAGTTCCAGCACCCAGCCCGTCCGCATGCTTTACATTTTCTGGCGAGTTCGACCCTACACCTAGCGGCACGAAACGATAGGGTTTCAATTGTCAGGCCTTCCATCCAGCAAGACTTGTACATACCGTTGGTAACACAAGGCCACTTTCTGAAGGGCTACAGTGGCCGGGTCAGATTTGAATGCTGGGAGTTGCTTGCCAGGTGGCATATAGACCGATGCAAACGACACCATCAAGTAAAGCTACAGTCATGTCATACAGTGCTGCAGATGCTGTTTTGCAGCACATCCAGTCTGGCCACAAGTGTTCTGGGTCCCCAGTGTATATCCATTTTGGGGTTTAGGGTTTAACGGTTTAAGGGTTTAGGGTTTAGGTTCTAGACAGGCAGTATTTCCTGCACAACATGCTCATGGCGTTGGTTTTGTACATAGTAGCAATGGTCTTGAGCTCGGCATCGGCTGCTTCGTTCTAGCTGAAACTGTTTCCAAAACCCTGCCTTGATCCTGAAGCCCCCATGTAGTACATAATTACTGAAGTCCTTTAAAGTACCAATACAGGAACCCCATTACGGATTTTAAGGCCCAAGTATATGCTAAGAGTATCAAGAACCACTACGGCATCGCCATCCCCACCAAACGGCTCTTGATCTCTCAAGTCCCGCGAAGTCCTGTCATTTGCGGAGCTTTCTATGCTTACAGACTCATGGGACCTTGTAACTAGGGTTATAAGTAAAGTATGACTATACTTATCACTACTTATGACCCCAATTAAGGTACATATAACTTTAATGTGGCGGTCGGTTTAGTGATAGGGTACCCCCCCCCCCCCCGACCAAAACTTTTTGGTCTCTTTAATTTGGTACCGGTAGCCCCGGACAGGGGTCAGGGGTCTGAGTGGCAGGGAATTGGGAGGTGCCGGGGTTTGGGGGCTTGGGTGCAGGGTCTGCGGTTCTGCGCGACTGCGCCGTCGGGGGTCGGGGGGGTCTGGGCCAGCGCCTGAAACCCTAAACCCTGAACCCTAAACCCTAACGAATCCTAAACTCCTAAACCCTATAACAAACCCTAAACCCTAAGCCCTAAACCCTTCCAAAGGGGGGTCGGTCCAGATTCGACCCAAAACTAATTTTTTATGCAAACTTTAGTACTGGAGAGGCCTCTTTTGAGCTAGGGTCCAATCCCCCCCCACTAATCAAGGTATACTAGAATAGTACAGTAGTAGTACAGTAGTAGTATAATAATAGTGCAGTAGTACAATAGTAATACAACAGTAGTACAGTGGTAGTACAATAGTAGTACAGTAGTAGTACAATAATAGTACAGTAGTACAATAGTAGAACAATAGTAGTACAGTAGTAGTACAGTAGTAGTACGATTATAGTACCGTAGTACAATAATAGTACAGTAGTAGTACAGTAGTAGTACAATAATAGTGCAGTAGTACAATAGTAATACAACAGTAGTACAGTGGTAGTACAATAGTAGTACAGTAGTAGTACGATAATAGTACAGTAGTAGTACAATAGTAATACAGTAGTAGTACAGTAGTAGTACAATAGTAGTACAGTAGTACACTAGTAGTACAGTAGTAGTACCACAGTAGTACAGTAGTACAGTAGTAATACAGTAATAGTACAGAAATAGTACCAATAAGCAAAGCATAAAGCCAGTGAGCACATTCCCCCAATAAGCAAAGCATAAAGCCAGCGCCTGAAACCCTAAACCCTGAACCCTAAACCTTAACAAACCCTAAACCCTAACGAATCCTAAACTCCTAAACCCTATAACAAACCCTAAACCCTAAGCCCTAAACCCTTCCAAGGGGGGGTCGGTCCAGATTGGACCCAAAACTGAATTTTTTATACAAACTTTAGTACTGGAGAGGCCTCTTTTGAGCTAGGGTCCAATCCCCGATTCGGCGGTTCACCCTAGCAGCCCCCCCCAATAAGCAAGGCATACAGTAGCAGTACAATAGTACAATAGTAGTACAGTAGTAGTACAGACTCCCATTCCTGACGCCCCAATAAGCGAAACAATTCTGCAAGAGATTTTGGGGCTTCAGGGCCAGGGTTTTAGGGTTGGGTGTGGGTTTGGGTGGGGGTTTAGATCGCGGCTGCCTTAAGATTGACCATCAGCAAATAGCACAGCCCCGCCACCAAAAAATCCCCCCAGCCAAAAAAAAACGCATTAATTAGACCACCCCCAAAAAGGGGCGACCGGTCGGAATTAGCCCCGGAAAAAACGCATTAAAAGAGCCCATATTCCTAAACCGACCGGCACATTACTTACTACGTCCCATATAGATCCCTTCAAGGATCCCTTTAAGGAACCTTACTTACTAAGTTCCATGATCCTTTAAGTGGGGCAGGGAGTCTTCAAGCTCGATAGCGGCAGCCAAAGCAGGTTGTTTCTAAAGCTCAATCCTTCAGCTTAGTAGTACAGTAGCTCAACGTTTAACCGTCTTTGGGGGTACTACAATCCCAATTTCTGAGTATCATATATATATATATACATATATATATATATATATATATATTTCTAGATGTTCAATCCATATATATATATATGTATATATATATGTATATACATATATACATACATACATACATTTACATACAACCCCGAAGACTAACCCTATTAGCCCGAATGCCCAAGCCCCAAATCCTGGACCATGAAGGGAGCGCCAGGCTCTGAGTTCCAAGATGAGTTGGAAGCTCCCCAAAGAGTCCCAAAGAGTCCTAGGTACTGTTATGGGTTCCTTTAAGGGATCTATAGGGTCCATTTAGGAGTTCCTTTGAGGGATCTATAGGGTCCATTTAGGAGTTCCTTTGAGGGGTCCAAAGGGTACTGTTATGGGGAATACTTCCCCAAATCATAACAGTACTTCCTCATATAGAAACCCTACATTTTACTATATTGGTACTTTGGGCCCTTTGGGCTCGTAACACCCGGATACGGGTTTAGGGGTTTAGGAGTTTTTGGGGTTTAGGGAAACGGTTTAGGGCTTTAGAGTCTAGGGTGCGGGGTTTTTGGGTTTCGGCTTGTGGGGTTTAGGTAAACATTAACATCACCTGAACCCTAAAACCCTCTACAGCCTGAAGCTCTAAACGTTTATGGTACCCTTCTAAACGACTAAAGGACCCCTTAAGGAACCTTGAAGCTGAATCCCTAAAGAGCCCGAAGGAATCGTTTAAGGAACTTGAGAATCCCGTAAGAACCCCTGTTTGCTTGCCTGAGGCCGCCTCAAGAAGCCATGGGTAAAGGAGACAAAGCAGCGAAAGCAGCGCAGGCAAGCACGCTGGGGTTTGGGCTTTAAGGTTGTACGACTTAGAGGGTTTATGATCTGGGGTTTAGGGCATTAAGTTTAGGTTTTTGGGCTTTAGGGGGGTTGATGAGTCAGGGTTTAGGGCTCGGTCCGGCTTTAATATTGAAAGAGACGTGAGTAGCTTTTGCCGGCTGACACTTGTAGCTTGACGCTATCATCGCTAGTCTTGATTTCATTTTAGGTAAGTTCTGAGAGTGGCCAAAGTGCTACCAGGCTCGTTCGACTCGCTTCTCTGACCGACAGATGTCCGTGAATAATAATGAAAGAGACGTAAGTAATCACCGACATGTTAAGTTGGGGTTTCCGGGTTTCGGGTTCTAAGATTGCTGATATCCTGAACCAGCCACTCCAACAGCTGCCAATCTGGCATTCACGAATGTCCCGTTATCGAACCCTACGTAAACCCTAGAGTCCAATACCGTGGCGCCTAGGATCCGTCAGTAAAGGTAGTGCAGTCCGGATGTTAGAGCAACATTACATTTACCCCTGCACCGCCACTGGAAAGCCCTTTGCGACCTTTCTGAGACCGTTTGACACACCCTTGTTGTTCTTCGGTTTCGGCTGTTGGCGTGGTTTGATAGTAAACCCTAAGGCTCCATGTACACACATATAGATAGTATATACTTAGGCCTTATAAGGTCCGTAAAAGAGGTTCCTACGTAGGTACTTTAAAGGACTTCGGTAAAAAATGTACTATATGGGCACGTGAAGCTTTGGAGATATGCATGCAACCCTCGTCTGGTCCGCAGGCCATCGGCCGTGCCTTCTCGGCACAGGTGGCCACTGAAGCGCCGCGCCCGCCGCAGGGCCGACAAATCCCAACGACTAAGGCTTTAGGATGTAAGAGCTTTGGGCTTTAGGTCGTTAGGGTTGCGGTTTTTAGGGGTTTTAGGGTGTAGGGTTCAGAGTTTAGGGGCGTAGGATTTGGGGTTCAGGGTTTATGGGGTTTAGGGGTTCCGTCTGAGAGCGCCTAAAAGGCATTGCAGGGTAATGTGGATGCTTGAAGGGTTTCATATCGACTTCATGTTCAAGGCTGATTGGAAGGTAGACTTAACTTCTTCCCCGAACAAATGGAAAGTATACTGACCCTAAACCCTAAACCCTAAACCGTATACTTAGGCCTTAAAAGTACCTATATAGGCACCCCTTTAAGGCCTAAGCACCTACTATATGGGCACATGGAGTCTTAGGGTTAGCGGTGCAAAAACTTGAGTCTTACAACAAGTCTAGGACCTAGAGTAAGTAGGCCCTTAATTCCTGTTTGCGGGCTCAGGTTCCCTTATAAGCCCCTTTAAACCAAAAAGGGCACCCTTTTTTATTCCTAGGTTACTCTTGGGTCTAGAAAATACCTTTGGAAAAAGTGGTCACTCGTGGGAATCCCAGAGGTTGGGTTGTCGGGCTTCAGAAGTTTAGGGCTGAGGGGCTGTGATTGCGAGTTTGGGCTTCCCTGAATGATCGCTTAAAGAGGTGTACTTACCGAGCGAAGATCTGTGTAGACTGGCTGCTCGAACGGTGCCTCTCCGTGCTCAGGCTGCATCACATGGGGGCAGGGTTATCCTTTGCCAAGAAGATCAAAGCTAGCCGTGCGGCTGCCCAGACCTTCCAACATCTTTTCAGTTCAGGAACAAATCTTAAATCATGTAAGGGATCCTACTGCTATACTTGAAGGCATATTCCTGAATTAAGGGATTTGGGAATGTCCGAGTGCGAAGGTGTCTCGGCACGTGTTTTGCCCGTGACGTGTTGCTACCCCGGGTTCAAGGTGTCAGTCGGGGTCATTTGCGCCAATAGTCGCGATACTAGGGTTTGCTGTTTTTGCAGTGGCATTGTAAACCTCCTTTATGGTTTTCGTTGCCACTTATACTGCCGATGGACAGAATCCTGCATTGGGGTATACCATCACTCCGATAGTTCAGATACTTCAGGTGTCACAGGGTGCCGTACCATTGCCGTAGTCGTAATGTACCACTACCGTACCTGTTTGTTTGATTTGGTATTCTTGGTGCGATGACTGCGCCAAGGTATTGAGTGATGGGATGGCCACCGGTGCAATAAAGGGGCTGAAGACTTTGTAATGACATCTCTTATGTCACTTTGTGGATATCTTGTGTAAGAACCACCCTTTTGCAATTCATGTTTTGTCGAATCACCAAGCCGCTTAGCTACATACTGAACCTCTTTATACTGTAACCATAGAAGATCCTGGACCCTAATTGTTAAGGCTCTAAGGACTCATATGATAAGGCTTCTGGGCCCAAGGACCATACTATATAAGGCTTTTGGTCTAGTTTGAGCCTTAGGGTAACTGTCAAGGCTTAAACCGTAAACCCAAAGCCTTCGCCCTGGGCGGTTCTTCATTGCCTTGCTCTCCCAAAGGTTCCATGCACCCTTATAGTATATACTTAAGCCTTAAAGGGGTCCCTACATAGGTAATTTAAGGACTAAGTATATATGCCATAAGAGTACATGGAGCCTCAGGGTCTTGGGCCTCTTGGAGGGTCGGCGTAGCAGTGAAGGGGTCGTAGAAACCCAATCCTCGTCCCCGAAAGCCTACCCCAAAGGGTGCTAGGTACTGCTATGCTGAATACTTCCCCAATTCATAGTTGTAATTCCTAATATAGAAACCCTACATTCTATATTGGTACTGTGGACCCTTAGGGTACAAGATTTCGGAGATTATCTCAAACTAGAACCCTGATGCTTCTCTTAAGGTACCCTTCTGTAGGATCTGGAGTTCAGTTTTCAGGGTTCATGAGGTAACGGTGTTTGGGGGTTGCAGGGCCTGCAGGGTTTTGTACTGTTTGGTTTTAGGGCTTTGGGGTTGAAGTAGGAGGTCGGACTTGGGACCCAGACAGCCCGATACCGCCAATGCACAAACCATCAGAAACACATCTTATCTTACATCATGGTAGTCGGGCTTCTTTTTGTAGTTGAAAGGCGATTCCTGCAAGACTGGGCACTGGGCATTGCAACCTTAACAAACACCTTATGATACCACCATAGCAACCCTTATTGAATGACTGTCAAATGAATTACAGTACCCAAAGGCTCCGTAGTAGTTCCTTTTTGGGGTTCACATTTAGAATCCTATATGGTAATCCCAAAAAGGAACTACTCTGGAGCCCCTGGGTAACCTTATGAACCCCAAACCCTAAAGCCCTAAACCCTAAAGCCCTAAACCCTAAACCCCTAAACCCCTAAACCCCTAAACCCCTAAACCCCTAAACCCCCTAAACCCTAAACCCCCTAAACCCCTAAACCCCTAAACCCTAAACCCCTTCATGGTACTCTTATTTGCTCTGAAGGTTCCATTGACATGCCGATGCTGAGCCACGAGGGGAAGTCCGAGAGGGCCATCGACGGAAACTGGGTTCTTGTTAAGTCAAAGGGGAGAAGGACGGACCCTTAATGGGGACCCGTACCCTATAATGGGCTATATAATGGTTATATAATAGCTCTCTTAAGGGTATATACCTAGGGGTCCTTATTAGTCTATAGGGTTCTTTTAAGGGAACTATAAGGGTCCCCACAAGGGATCCTTTAAGGGGGTTTAGGTTTAGATCTATAGGGTTTTAGGGTTTTGGGTTTAGGGACTTTACTCCTGCATTACCCAGAATCAGGAATATGCCGTAATTCCCATAGCCTAGGGATTTAGGGTTCGGGGGTGTAGGCTTCAGTTCCTGATTTAAGCTACCATCCATAAGAGGGAGACCATATCATTTACTATAGATCCCCGATTATGGTAACTTCAGTTAGATCCTTCACAAGAACAAGGAAACACCGCCGCCGCCCACGTGGCCTACGCGCTGAGTGGCCTGCCTTTTTGGTTGGGTTTTTTAGGGTTGTTTAGGGTTCCTCTCTGTTTTCTAGGGGTTTTAAGTGTTTATAGTAGGGTTCAAAGTCTTGATGTGTCAGTATAGCTTTGCTTATAAATAGTCTTCGCAAATCCTGCTCGAACTCCGATAGCTCAGCATCTGACCAAAGCCAAGGCGACGTTTCCTTCATCTACCCAATCTCGCCATCAACCAGCATGGGCGAGACCATGGACAAGTTCGCGACGCCCCTGAGCGAAAACTTTGCGAAAACACTCAAAGTAGTGTATCACTCAGACCCTTGCAATATGGCTTAATCACGGAATGGAAAAGTCAAATTATAGTACGATCCCTGATATGATTTAAGGTATATCCCTTGATTGGGGGATTTTGGCACGCCAGTTTACGACTCCAAGCCCACGTGTTAAGCCGATGAGCCAATTCGAACCTTCACATTTCCGCAGGGTTGCGGGTTTATGGGGTTTAGGATGCAGGCTCTGTGGCACCGAAGCGAAACTGGTGGTATCAGAGCACGGAGTGAAAATGAGTCATCACCATCTAGACCGCTGTCAGCCCTGTGCCATCCGCGCCCTAAATTGCTCAGGCAAGGGCGTAAGAACGTGTTCGGGCAGACGGTCAAGGCTCAGCAACCTTCGCAGTGCTCGGCTTGTGCGTTGCCTTGTTCTTTGCATTGTGCGGGCTATTACGTTGCTGCTGCCGCTGCTGCTGCTGCTGCTGCTGCTGCTGCTCCTGTAGGTGCTAGTGGGGTGTCCTTGTCTATGTCTGGTTTGATAGTTGTTGCTGCTGTCAGTGTGTTGTGTTACAGTGTTTGTGTAGATGTTTGTTTATGGCGAAGGCATTGAACTTTCCAGCTTCAACTCCTACCCATGTCTTGTAACTTTCAGGTCTGAGGATGCGGGGAAGCACATGTCCGTCTGAGATACCGAATTATCTGCAGCGCGTGTTTTCGTAGAAGGGGTCCGGGTTCTGAATACGAACATGAGGGATACTCGCACAACAGAAAAAAGTAAATCCGACTATAGATATGAAGCCTGCTTTGTGTTCGTGAGGGTATGTTCAGGTGCTCGAAAACCCTCAACCCCTCATACAGGAACCTCATAGAAGGAACCTTGGGTCTCTATTACTTAGATCCCCAATACCCAACATATAAACTTGTTGGATTCTTGTAGTTTAGTAGGAGTCGGAAAGTTTAACCTTTCAATTCTGTGGCTTATTGGGGTAGCAAGATTAGGGTTGCTTTTATCCCTCGTAGTTTTGGGGTTATATAGGGCCAGGGTTTTCTTAATCAGGTTCCTACGTTACCCCCCCACTTTGCATTATCTGGGAAATTAGGCCACGAGGATCTTTGGGGTTTCGGTTCGCTGCCATGTCCTGGGCTCTTGCAAAGAATCCTGATCTTAGGGTTTGGGGTTCAGGGTTTAGGGTTTAGGGTTTAGGGTTTAGGGTTCAGGGTTCAGGGTTTAGGGTTTGGGGTTTAGGGTTCAGGGTTTAGGGTTTGGGGATGTCCCGGGCGCTTGCAAAGGATCTTGACCCCAGATACCAACAACAACGGCTCGGAAAAGGGTTAAGTCATCGCTGTAAAACATCGCTCTATTTGTTCTGTCGAGTGTTTAGGGTAGCCAGGGTAGATCAAGCCTGCGTAAAAAGGGCTGCATTCTGAACTTCTCAGTGGGGGCTCTGTGTATCAACGCAGAAGCACACAGAACCTTCAACCCCTGCCAAAACCGAGATTAAAGCACCCTGGGCCCTGAACCGTGTGTTTGCGATCCTTTGGGAGATTCGGAAAACTAAGTCTTGACCTGGAGCCTTTTTGCATCAAAGAAGCGGCAGGACATCGAATCACCGAATCCCACACGAGTCGACCTGTGAGTCTCGTACACAAAGCTCTACATACGGTTGATGATAGAAATCTTGCATTACCTTAATGACCCCAAACTATGGGAATTATGGTATATTCCTTATTATGGGTCATGCAGGATTTATATCATCAACCGTATTAAAGCCCTGATACCTATGTAGTCGGGTTTCTGCTCATTTGCCATCCTCTCGGACCTAGAGCAGGGCCCTGTTCCCTTTTTAAGGGTTCAGGTTCCCTTATCAGCCCCTTTAAACCAAAAAGGGCACCCTGTTTATTCCTAGGTTACTCTTGGGTCTAGTCTTGTATAAGCGTATAACATTAAAGAGCCTTTAGATGGCATCGTAGCCCATTGCACTGCACAGGTAGCTGGGCTTCTCGGTCGACATGTCTCATCCAGACTTTTTGTTCCTACCCTTTCTGTGTGCAAAAGTGCAGCATTCTGGAGTCCTGGAAGGCTATTTTAGAGTTTAGGGTTTAGGGGTTTAGGGTTTAGGGGTTTAGGGTTTAGGGTTGCTATCCTCTACCGAGAGTAGTCAATGTACGGTTGAAAACGGAGACGACCCCTAAAACGGCACGTTGACCTTCGTTTAAGGTACTTGGTTTCTCTAGGTAAACTCTAAACCCTGGAAGCCCCAAACCCTGAAGCCCCGAATACCTGAACCCAACCCTAAACCCTAAACCCTAAACCCTAAACCTATTCCTCACGTGAGCCCGAAGCTCCAACACTCCAAGCCTAAACGCCCGACAGGTGAAGCAGATGCAATCCGAGCTCGGCTCTGTTTCTTGGATGTGTTGTTTCCTCCGTTGACATTAGTGTTTGGGGCTTAGGGGTTTTAGGTGTAGGGGTTTAGAGCTTGACTGTTCCAGCAGCTGGTTTTATGAGTTGTATTTTGGAGCTACATCACAGGGGGGGAGGCGGTTCGGTCAGGGCTCAGGGCGTTTGCCAGTTTGCTGGGTTAAGGCTTCTAGACTTCTAGACTCAAGTACCATGAGAGCAATTACTTGAGCAATGTGAGAGTGAACATCTGCCAAAAACTGCGTGAACCCTGGACCTTATAGCCCGCAGTTGCTTTAACCTCCAGTTGTGTAGGCTGCGGGCAGACGCGGACCCACAGCCTCAAAGCCCCGACACCCTCCCAAAGAGGCCGGAAGAACCAATAAACTGTATCCCCTCATAGTATATATCTATATACATATACATATACATATACATATACATATGTCTTTATTCCTTTTCCACACAAACCCAGATTGTTTTATAGTATTATACTACATTTATTGTAACTTGCCCGGCCCCAAGATGAACTTACTATGCCCCTGCATATCATCCCCTCGAAATCCCAAACCCATTCTGTCGAGGCAGGTGCCCTTCACGGGGCTTTGTCCGGCGGAGCCTTGTGCACGACGCTGGGTTGAACAAAGACACTCCGTAAGGCTCCATGTACCCATATAGTAGGTACTTAGGCCTTAAAGTACATATAGGGACCCCTTTAAAGGTTCAAGTATCTACTATATGGGCACATGGAGCCTTAGGGACTTATGATGGCCAGAAGCAATCAATCCTTTTGGCTCAGGGCGTAGGGCCCTGGGGAGCCTAAACCGACGGCCCTAACCCCTAAACCTAGCATGAAGCCCGAAATGCGAGAGGAAGCACCCGAAGCCTTTCAATCCTGCATGAACCTCCCAAAGTGCTACCTGTACCATAGACAACCTTCCGTTTTACGGCTCCCTCTTCAGGTTTTCAACAGTCCTGGAAAAGGTCAGTAATTTGGGGTCCGGGCACACCCTACGTCCACACAAATCCCACATCCTCCATTTCGGAACCCTAAACCCCAAGCCCTAAACCCTGTTGCGTTTATCTGAGGACGTTCACCGCCTCGCAAGGCTTGCTTCTCATGATCCCGAACATGCAGCTCTGGCAAGGATTCAGGGGTCCACTTGGAGGATCATGGGACTTAGTAAGTATAAGGTTATAAGTACCTGAATCGGGGTTGCAAGTAGTTATATTTTATAAGTATAGTTACCTTTGCAACATTAGTTGCTAAGTCCCATTATCCCCTAAGTATGGGCAATGGGGGGTTCTGGGATTGAGGGGCCTCAGTGTGGTTTACAAGGGTTTTCGGCGATTCTAGGTGTTTAGGGGTTAGGAATTTTAGGTTTAGATACAACCATCGGGGGGTTTGTTTAGTGGCTTGGGTGTTCATAGAGCTTTGGGTTCTGGGCGCTATGGGTTGAGGGGCATAGAGTTCAAGGTGCGGCAACACGGAGATTTCACGGGGTTCGGGTCCAGCTCTCATGAGGGCCAGAAATCCTATGCCGTCCAAACGTAACCGTCTGAGCCGTGCCCGAACCCATCATAGCCCCAAAAAGCCCAAAGGACCCAATATCTGCAGTAGGTACTTGGGATTGTAGCTATGTCGGTTAGCATCGGGAGAGTATTCATGAGTATAGGTACTTCGACCCCACCCAAAACTACCAACAGTATCTCACCCCTTGCCCTAGACACCCCAAATATCATAAATGCCAACTGTTATAGGGATTATCAACCCTGAAACGCTCCCTAGAGCCTAACCTCAAGGGTCCAAAGGACCCAATAATTAGGTACTCGGTTTTAGGGTAGTAGTTATGTAGGTTAGGATTTCGGAGAGTATATGATTATTAGGTCCTTCGACCCTTCAAACAAACCCTAAACCCTAAACCCTGCCCTTTCAAGGTATCTCTGTGCCGGAGAGCTCCTTCCGGCCGTGTTCCATGTTTCCGCTCGCGCATTGGCGCGTCAATCCCTGCCACTTCGGCAGCACTTCTAGGGCCCCAAAAAAGCACATAGGCAAAAATTAGGATGGGATATCCCATATAAATCCCCTTAATTATAATGAAGCCCAATAATGTAAGGATATCCCTACATTTCTCCTAAGGCTCCACCCTAAACCTTATAAGCCGAACCCCTGAACCCCTAAACCCTATAAACCCATAAATACGGTCTCTGCCACGGAGGTCTATCTTCTGCGATCACTCTGACGTGATGGCTGCGTCACGATGGCATTTGGTCGAGGGATCAGGGGTTTAGGGTTTAGGATGGTTTAGGGTTAAGGTTTAAGTTTAAGGTTCAGGGTTTGGGGTTTAAGGGGGCCAAGAGACCCAAACTAGGTGGCCGCATGGGATACCTCTCAGTTGTCCTTGTGGCTTACCGGTACCTGCGAACTACAAACCCTAAACCCGTATAGAACCCTATTATAGAACCTTAAAAGGAACCCTAAACGCTTATAGGAACCCAATTGTGCAGCTTAGGTTCCCTTATGTCCAAAGGGCCCAATAATTTGGTACTCGAATTATGTAGGTTACTATTTGGGAGAGTAATTATATGACAATTAGGTAATAGGTACTTAGACCCTTGGGGTTCCTGCGTATCCCCAAACCATGGTTCTCAATCTCCATGCAAGCCCCGCAGAAGGTTCGCTCGACCGGCTGTGCTCTGCTGAGCGCACACAATCCGCAGGAAGTGACTGGAGCAAAGTTAGTTTATCTTGTGTGTTGTATCTGTCGGGGTGGGGGAGGGGGGTTGTGTTGCATTCTGTTTCTTGCTGTCTTAAAATCTGGGACTTGGTGGTCCGAAGTGGATTTGGGGCAAGGGAACGATAGCGACAACCAAGCCCTGGTTTGTGGTTGATGCAGGCCTCATAAATAAGCAAAAGAAACGCCTTGTTTCAAAAGGGCTGTTTGCTGTTTGTATGATTCAGCAGAGGCTGTTCAGATGGACTGTTTAAGTGGGAAGATTAAGAGGCTGAATTAGTTCTTTGAAGCCTAAACCCTGAACCCTAAACCCTGAACCCTAGACCCCATCCCGAGCCCCGGGATTTCGGTAGTTTAATTAGAAGCATGTGCTTTTGCGCTAGCTGGGCGTTGAGAGCTTTCGGAGTTGACAAACCGAAACACAAAAAGAACGAATGATTGGAAATAGAGGAGCTAGCATCGCCCTAAACATGCCTTCTTGAACAGATGCGTTTTTGTGGTCTAAACGCCATCTAGAACCCCTTAAAGTTTTGCAAACGCCTCATAGAACCTTATACAACCTTTCGAATCCCATGAACTCCCGACACAGCCCTTATGACACCACATAAGAAGAACTTACAACCCTCCCAATAAACCGTTGGTCTTGAAGGTCACCCTAAACCCTTGAACCCTAGACCGTTCAGGTCATGGATCTTGGACTTGTCGCACATCTCGCCTCCCTTCGCAGCTCAGTGCCTTTCGTTCACTTCTTCGATGGGACGTGCCTCGGCTGCTGGAAGCTTTTAGTAGCCAAAGGGTCCTAAGTACCTATATAGTAGAAGGTAGGGTTCTGTAGTCTATAGTAGGAGCACTAGTAATTATGGTTTGGGAAAGTATCCCCCATAACAGCCATTAGGACCGCTTTCGGTAGCTAGTATCGAGGCCTTGAAGGTTTGAATAGGGTTTGGGGTAGCATTCTATGACTACATAGTTATAACAAGGAATCCTAGGGAATACTATTGGTAATTATCACAATGGGGCTTCTATATTATCAGGCTTCGTTGCAGGGTTTTGGGTTTTGTTGAGGTTTTGCAGGGTTTATGTTTTGATATGGTGCCTGCCGGGTGACGAGTTTAGTGCGGTTTAGGGTTTTGCGTTTGGTGCTTCTCGAGGCCCTTTGCCAGGGAGTCTCGGAACCTTCCCCAAGCCTAAGAGGCTCATATATACTTCAGGGCCCCAACTCAAAGACGCTGAGTTCGGCTCTGGGCAGATCACCAGAATTACAGATGTTGCTCGTGATTTTCCCCTGGTGAAAAGTTGAAGTAGCCCCAAATTCACAATACAATATTACACCATAGTAGGTTCGACACCATAGTTGTATGATATACAGAACAATCCGTACAAGAAACTTAAACTACTAGATGCAAATTTGCATTCAACGCTATAGGTACCCACAGTCAGAGTGTCGACACACAAGCCCTGTGCAAACTCTGAGGCCTTAGCCCTACAAACCCTACCCCTAACTCTGAATCCTTAAGCCCCACACCGTCTTTAAACCGCTAAACCCCAAAGCCCTAAACCCCTAAACCCTAGGACCTAGAGTAGGCCCTTATTCCCTTTTTAAGGGTTCAGGTTCCCTGTATAAGCCCCTTTAAGACCAAAAAGGACACCCTTTTTATTCCTGGGTTACTCTTGGGTCTAGAACCCTAAACCCCTAGACCCGAAACTACAGTGAACGAAACCGAGCTGCAGCCTGAAGTGGGGAAGAGTCAGGGTTTGGGGAACGAAGGTTTACAGTAGAAGCCAGAAAGTTGGAACATGGCTTTAGGAGGATTAGTGCTAGGATCCCTTATACTTTACCTTAAGGGCATGAGGAGTCTGATGTTCCAACTTTCTCGCTTCTACTATAGGGTTTAGAGGTTAGGGTTTAGGGCTCTTGACTGAATCCCAGAGGACCTCGGATGGCCACGGGTAGGAGTACACCAAATGGAACATCAATAATATAGGAGCCTTAATAATTAGCATCTGTTTTTGGGCAATTCATTAACCTCAAATCGGACACGGATAGTACGTACAGGAGCCTTGATAATTAGAGCCTCGTTTTGGGGTGTGTTACTTCATACTTAAACCAAACCGTAGAGTGCAGTATGATCCTTAGAGCACTTCAACCCTACACCCTAAACCAAAAGCCGCACCAGCGTCGATGAGGCGCACGAGCGGCGTCATCGAGTGCGTCAAGCCGATCCCGTACAGTACCATGAAGACGCTTGCTTTGATGTTCGCTAATTCATCCATATATTGATACCCAAAGGCTCCGTAGTAGTTCCTTTTTGGGGTTCATACTTAGAATCCTATATGGTAATCCCGAAAGGAACTACTCTGGAGCCCCTGGGTATTTTTACATATACAATATGAACATACAGAAGCCTACATCAACAAAGTGTAGTTCATCTCTTGGGTTCCTTTGTTCTTCCGATTCGAGTATATCATACCGGGATCCCAGACCGTCAAGCCTTGCCCCAACCCTTGATCCTTACTTGCGACTCCCTAAGTAAGGCTAGAAGTACCTCCATTGGGGTTATGTATAGTTATACATAAGCATAACCATTAAGCAAACCTGAGCCCTATACCCTAGTATTTTTTACTCAGTAACCTAAACCTAACTAAACTCTAAACCCCTAAACCGCCAAAACCTAAACCTCTAGAATTCAAAACTCAACACCAGCAGCATCACCCCTAAACAAACCCTGAACTCTAAACCCCTAAACCGCTAAACCTCAAACACCTAAACCCAAAACCAGGAGCATCGTGCCCTGGGATGAGCTGGATGCCTTCCGACAGCGCGGCCTGATCCTGGGCTTTGTGTTTAGCCCGAAGGGTCCTTTAAACGGTTCTTTCGATTGCTATAAGAGCTATTATGGCGGTTTAGTATAGGGGCCTTAGTAGTTACCTATATTATTTCTTGGGGCTCCTTATTATGATTATATGCTATAGTATACCCCAAAACCCTATTCTAACTGTTCACGCACCTATATTACTTCGTTTTAGGGTTTATAGGGTTTAGGTTTTTTCTCATACCATGAGGGTTACTGAAATGGTTCGGGGACGCTTTTGGGCTTTCACTGTTCAGTTCTACGGATGATGAGATAAATCAGGAAGATGCCATAATTCCCACAGTCTAAGGCCATTAAGGTACTGCAGGATTTGCGTCAGCAGCCGTATGTCTATAAGCTTTCAAGCATGGTTCCACAAAAGGGTTCGTAGAAGGTTCCCAAAACGGTTTAGGGTTTGGGGATTCGTGTTTTAAGATTTCAGGTGCATGGGCTGGCAAAAGGGCTCTAACAAGTTGCCGACTTTCGGGCTTTAGGGTTTCACGGTGTGGTGTGGGGTTTCAGATTTGTGTGGGGAGCTTTTGCCACTTCGGGTTGAGGCTTCAGTTGCTTCTTCAAGGCCTTCGCAAAAAAAAAAAACAATCAGAGGCATAAGCCCTAAAACTGAACCCTTCAACAAAAAATAGAACAGGAAGAACAAGAGAGCCCCACGAGGAATCCGCAGCACCCCATGATGCGGGGCCTCGGACAAGATCCGTGCCCTGGCTGTTCGCTACGCTTTGCGATCGCGGTCTCGGGTTCAGGGCTCTAGGGGGTCCTTTAAGGGTTCCTTTAGCTCCTTTATGGATTCCTTTAAGGGCTCCTTCAAGGGTTCGTTTAAGGGTTCCATAACGGTTACTTTCAGGGTTCCTTCGCGGGTTCAGGGCTCTTTAGGGGTTTGGGGAGGGTTCCTTGAAGGCTTGCTTTACGCGAAGTTTGCAAGGTTTTGGTAGAGATAGGGTTTTAGCACTTTGAGGTTCTGGGCCGTCGTTTTCCTTTCATGGCCTACTTCAGGGTGTATAAAAAGGTCCTTGCCGCTTTAAGGAATTCTGGATCCTAGATTTGGGGACCAAAAAAGCACATAAGCATAAGCATTTTATAGGGATCTCCGTACATTATTGGGGTTTATTATAGGGGGGAATATGTATTATCACTATCTTTGTTTTTGCTTATGATGTGCTTTTTGGGGCCGTATAGATGTACCGTATTCGGGGTTTAGCGAGTCATGGTCTTCGGGCTTCGTTGTTTTTGGCAGATCTTTAGGTTTTGGGTTTGAACAGGTGTTTGGCACAATTTAGGGGTCTTTATGGTTCGGGTTTTATGGTTTAAGCTTCAAGGGTTCATGGCCCTGTTTCCCTAAACCCTAAACCGTTCGAGGCTTTATGACTTTAGGGTGCGTGTGGCCTTTGAGTTTCGATTGAAGTGAAAGCTGACCACCTAGACCCCCCAACTACCCCCCAGAGAGCCCAATACCCCTTAATTGAGGAAGATACCTTTAACTATAAAGGGCGTTCATATTATGATTTAAGCTATATTCCTTAATTAAGGGGAGCCCCAAACCGTAAAGCCCCAAAGCCTGAAAACTCTAATGTAGAAGCCTGATTCCTTCGAGTTCCGTATTGTAGTTATACTACCATGTAAGCCAACACCTTATACCATATAGAAAACCTTGGCGCCCCTGCACCCGCAACCTCAGGCAGGTCTACTACCAGGCCGCTGTCTCGGCCAACAGGCCACATCATCTGAGAGCCAGAGAGTTTAGAGATCTTGCTCTTCAGAGGTTAGGTTTGATGCAACAGCATGGTACCCAAAGCCCCCAAATGAAGGATTGAAAGACCACCTGCATGAAGCCTGAAGCACATCGTTTCGGGATGCGGGTGAACTTTGAGGCCTAAGGGATTTTCGTTCTGAAGTACTGCTTGTAGTTGGCAGGGGTCAAACGTAGGGTGCACGGGTGCACCCATTCAGGCTCCTACCTATACCGTATATACGTAGGCCTTGAAGTACCTATATGGGAGTTTCCGAAAATTAGGAGTGATTTTGGGGTCCTTATAATAAGGGTCCTGCTATTCAGGGTAGTATGTTAGGGTCTTCCATTTTCGGAAGCCCCCATATAGGAACCCCTTTAAAGCCGAAGTATGTGCTATATAGATCCAATAGGTGCACGGAGCCATAGGGACCAGGAAGCATCGCCAGGTATTACGACGCCGTGCCCGGCATTGTGCAGGCCAAGCCGGGCCGGGACAGATTTCTGAAGCAAGCTTGCAGAATGCTTGTTCAACTTGCACCCCAGAAGTATGCAGAATAATGCCCTTTGTAGGTGGTGGGCCATGATTTTGCCCGCCTTGTGTTTTCTTTTTTAGGGTTTCAGGTTCGCAGCATTGGTGAAAAAATCTCTCATCTTCGAGCTTGATTCTGAACTCTGCCTGGCCGTGGGATCTGGACGAAGCAACTTATTTCTTTGCTGCACAGAACCCGGTTATGTAGGTCAATATTTGGGTGAGGATATTATGATCATTAGAGCTACGGCGTCGTACGTCGCGGGCCTGTGAACTGTTGAGCTGCTGGCTTCTACCAACACCTGACTCTCTCTGCTCCTCCGCAGCATGGGTGGGGCTGACATGTTCGGTTCGCCGACAGCCTTATTGCACTACCTACTCGTGAGCCCTACACCTCAACCTGAACTTAAGACTCCAATCGCCGAATTCTCCAAGACATGCACCCTAAACTCAACCGGCCCTCTTATTACTGATCAGAGACCCTAAACTCTCATTCCTGCCACAGGACGCCGTGAACCAATGTAAACAGCCCCCAAGCTGCAATTCCCAACAGGACGCCATGGACCAATTTCAACCTCCCATTCCCTAAACCCTCAGGGTTTAGGGTTTAGGGAAACCCTCAGCCTTAAGCGCTGAACCCCGACCCCTGAACCCTAAGCCCTAAACCCTCGCCACAGGACGTCATGGACCAGGTTGGCGTGATCACCGGGAGGCAGTACAAGCTCTTCGAGTACTATGGCGACCCCCAGGCCGAGCGGGCCTCCAATCGCTAACCCTAAGGCTCAAAATAGCCCAAAAGCCTTGTTTAGTATGGTCTTTGGGCCCAAAAGCCTTAAAATATGAGTCCTTAGAGCCTAAGGGTAACCATCCGAATCCCTGAACGATAGTCTCCTTCGGAATTATTCTTGTTCGTATGAAGTCCCCAGAGGCTATCCTACATACATTACGTAATTCGTACCTGTAGAAGGATCCCTAGTATGATTTACTATATTTGATATGTTAAGGCATATTCCTTAGTTAAGGGATTTTGGAAGGTAGATTAAGGTATGTGAAAACCCAGAGATTTTGTAAGCGAAAGGCAGAGCGCTGCGTCGTGATCATGGGCTCGGCGGCGAAGACTGCAGAGGACTTGGTCATTAGGGTTTGGTCTGTAGTCTTTAGAGTACTTAGTCGTTCTCAACACAGCACGGCATTTATTTTGGAACGAGGTCTGTTCAAGGAGTAGCCTTTCTTTCCGGTGCTGTTCTTTGTGTTCGCTGTCACCAGCTTCTTGGGGGGACGCCTCTGGACACAGGACACAGAATGCGATCCTAAATTAGTCATACGACCCCACCAAGCCCCAAATCGAAAGCCTTGATAGATCCCTAAACCTAAACCCCGAAACCAATGCTCAATGGTAGCGCTGCCCAACTGGCTGCCTTTATAGGGCTGCTAGATGCGAAGACCCCGCAAGTGAAGCCGGAGATCCTAAGTTTCCGTCCCATTCTCCAGGAGACGGTGGACTATTTGCGATCCCAGGGAGAGAAGGCCACATGTCTTTCAGGGCTATACAGTGTCTATAGTACGTGCGCAGTTCTCTAAATTGGGGTCCATCTCAGGGTCCTTTTCTAAGGGTGTTCCCAGAAAGACGGACGGGCTTTGCAGGATATTGGGGCTTCGGGTGTTCAGCTGTGCTACAGTATATCGGCTGAGGCTGCTGGGGGGCTAGGACTTTACGGCATTTGCGCTAGGGGCCCAGAGGACCCAATTTCGGATAGTAGTCCTAATATAGCGTAAATGAGGGAATCCAGGCACCAAACGTCCATGGTCGCGAGGATGGTTTCTGAAGGTGTGACTGCCACGCGTCCCTTTCAAAAAAGGGTACTTGTTATAAGGGTGCCGCACTCCGTTGGGGACAAACAAGGGACCCTACTGCAGAGAACTACCCATATAACTCTTATACTTCATAATCGCCTAAACCCCTAAACCCTAGTCTACCTGAACCCCTGAACCTCGAAACCCCTAAACCTAGTCCGGAAACTAAACCCTTAAATCCTAAACCCCTAAATCGACACCTCTGAAGTAGGAACATGCGAACAAGCCGAGGTCGGTATTTTGAAGGTTCGCCTTTTCCGACCGTTCTCCACCGAGCACTTTCTGGCGGAACTGCCAGAAACCGTGACTCTGCAACAGAAAGCGCTGATGTAGGTTAAGTGTAGGGTTAAGGGGTTCAAGGGTTCAGGGTTCAGAATTTCAGACGTAACGTACTTAGGGCTAGTAGTGCTTAGGCTTCGGGTTTAGGGCGTATGGCTTCGGCTGGCCGTTGTTTACCAGGCTTAGGACTACACGTTTCGCTTCAATTGAGTATTAGAGCTGAGATGATATCAAGAGTCGTCTTTTCTGGAGGACTCTTTTGTATTCAAGGGGTGCTCGACTCCCTCGACCGTAAGTTCATCTTGTAACTCAAGACCTTCGGCTCTGCTGAGGTGCAGGCGATTGCCGTGCTGGACCGCACCAAGGACACCTGGGCCGAACCCAAAACCTGGGTTTAGGGGTGTAGGGTTTAGGGATCTGGTGTTATAGTCGTTTACAAGCCCTGCCTTCTCATTTTTGTTGTACTGTACTGGTACCTTCCAAAGCCCTCGTCGCAGCTCCCAAGGCCCATTCATATTGTACCTGCCATCCCCATTCTAGTTCATTGTCTTGGTACCCAAGACTTTTCTTCTAGGATCCTAACTTCTTTTGGTTAACAAAATATTAACGGACCGTTCTTGGAGGTTTAGGCACGGACTCCCAGGAGCCTTCAATTCAGAGTTGTTCGGTGTGCATTTGTGTATTTTTTGAACTACGAGGTTTACAGGCTTTATAGGTTTCTTTGTGATCTGCACGGCTAAACAGTTGTCGCTGAAGTCTAGGGCTGCCTTCATCGCTCTTCTCCGCAACAGTCTGCAGGCAACGAAAGTTGTCCGCCTCCCCCACAGTTATACTATGACATCCCCCCAAAGGAAATACTATGATATCCTCCAAAGGGTAAACCTTTCCAATCAATAAGGCCCGTATACAAGGCAGAAGCTGTATCGACTCGGGCTGCACTAAAGTTCTGGACTGCTACTACCGCTACCCCAAACCTTAACCCGAAGTTCTCAACTCTACCTGCACCCTAACGTCTTTTTTGTGGAAACCATGACAAGGAACCCCAAAATGTATATAGGTTACTTGGGGTTCAGGTAGACCTTACACACACCCTACCACCACAACTACTGCCCTAAACCCTAAACCCTAAGCCGCAAACCCTAAACCCTACCACAACTACTGCCCTAAACCGTAAACCCTAACCCGTAAACCCTAAAACCCTATGTAAATTCTAAACCCTACCACCACAACTACAACCCTGCGTGTGAAGGAAGACTTGGCGCCGTCTCTGCCTCTGCACGCGGACGTCCTCACTGCGATGAGTGAGGCCGGCTGGCCATACAGTGCCTACGTCCCTAAGGGTCCATGCGCCCCAATAGGGTTCCTTTAAGGGTACCATGAGTGTCCCTTTTCAGGCACCATAAGGGGTTTAGGGTTTAGGGTAGAAGGGTCCATGCGCCCAAATAGTACATACTTCGGCATTACAGTACACCCTGTATAAGTACATTGGGGCCAAAGCATATACGATTTGGGTACATGGATCGTTAGGGTGTAGGAACCGTTTCGTCTGAATACTCAGTAGACCCATAGGCAGGCACAGCGACCAGTGAAGATCGTCTTGTTGGTGACTTGATTCAATGGTAATTGGAGGATCATGGGACTTGGTAACTAGGGTTATACATAAGGCAACTACACTTACAACTACTTACAACCCCAACTAGGGTACTTATAACCTTGCTTACTAAGTCCCATGATCCTCCAAGTAGCCTGCTCCCGGACATGGTAGACATACCATTCGAATGCCTCAATGCCCACCCGGAGCCTCCACAACCCCTTAATTAAGGAATATACCCGCAATTACATCAGGGATCCTATCATGATTTAAGGTGTATTCCCTGATTCCCTTATAGAGCCCATATAGATCCCTGTAAGGAAGCCTTTAAGGAAGCCTATAGGGAATATTCGCGACGCCCACATGTGCTAAAAGGCTGGCGTCTACAAGAAAGTCGTCGGCGGCAATTACGGCTTGGGAAGCAAGGAGTTCGCGCCTCGCGCGGGGCTGAGACGGGCGCTTCGGGTTTTGGGTTCAGGGTGTTGGGTTTTTGGATTTAGGGTTTAGGGTGAGTTTTGGAGGGGTGCTTCATGGGTTGGATGTGGGTCGCAAGAGCAGAATAAGGGTACAGCGAAGGATTCAGGTAGAGCTCCTCTATTGCTGGTAGTATACAGTATACCCCATAAGTTTGGAACCCCGATTGAGGCCGAATAGTGCTGGGATTCCCTATACATCACTCTTAAGGATTGAGGCTATTGGGTTTCCAACTTTTTGGCTTCTACTGTAAGGGATTTAGGGTTCCCTGAGGAGTTCCGTTAAGGGTAACTTTCTTGCAGGGCTGGGGATCCTCTCTTCGTGGTTTAGGGAGGCTTAGGGCTTAGTTTAGGGTTTGTGGGTTTCGGGTTAAGGTCTAGGGTTTAGGGTTATCTCGGTTTCTCAGGTTAGGTGCCAAAGAAGCACATGAACATAAGCTACTGAATCCTAGCTCCATCTACAGATATTCGATTAATTTAAGCTTCTATGTCCAGGAAGCCTTTGGCTTGGGTTCCTTTAAAGGCTTTGTTTGTAAGTGCTCCAGAACACGGCTTACCACAAGGGCTACTGTTTGGCTTTTATCCCCAAGACCTCAACCCTAAGCCTTAAACTCTGAACCCAATAAACTAGAAGCCTGAATAGGTAGAGCTCTGAACATAAACCGTTCGGTTGGTGAGCTTGTCAACATGTGCATACCAGAAATAAAACAGAAAGCGACACCGAATGTTTCTGATTCCTGGCCAGTGAGCTACTGTTTATGGTCAGATTTTAGGTCCTGAACCCTGAACCCTGAACCGTACACTCCCTAAATTTGAACCTTCCAACCTGGGAAACGGTATGACAAGCTGTCGTGATGCTCCAGGCCACGTCAAGGCGGTCTTTGACAACTTGCTGGAGAAGGCCCTAAACCCTAGACCCTAATTAAGCCCCAAACCCTAAACCCAAACGTTTAGGGTTTAGGATTCATGTGGAGCGGGCGGAGGGCTTCTTTTCCGTCAAGTAGCCCACCCGGAAACCCTTAAACCGTTTTGGGTTCAGGGTTTCGCGTGAACCCTACCTATAGTCTCCATTGTAGTTCCTCTTTGGGGTTACCGTTTAGGATCCTCAATATAGAATTGGTTAAACCAAAAAAGGAACTACAATGGAGACTATAGGTATGGCCTTTACTAGCTCGAAAGCCGAAGCCCTCGACCCCAAGGGGAGCGAGTCCCTTTCTTCTTCGCACCCTTCTACCCAGACCCCCGGGAGGATCCAAAAACTAGATCCCTTAATGGGGGTTCCTATAAAGTACCCTTAGTAGTGTAGGGCCCCAAATTGGGGGATCTACTTTCCAGATACTCCCGGGGGTCTGGGTACCTCTTTGAAAGAGACTTAGAGAAGGAAGTCTGTGGACTAATCGTCGTTGTATTTCCTGGTAAGATCAGCTGGCAGTAGCCATGAGCTAATAGTCGTCATGGTAGTAGTAGGGGTTCGTCGTCGCAGCTGTAGGAGATCAGGCAGAGTAATAGTGAAAAGACCTTCCACTTCAGTTGACAAGATGCGGCCAAAGAGGTTTAAACACCAGGAGCACGCGAACGTCAAGCACCGGTCGCCACAACTCTGACCCTGAGCCAGGTCTTGTATCTGCTCATTTAGCTTGAGATCGGGGTGCCTTTCTTTTGCCTCTTACTGCAGTCCACTTGTATAGTCCTATCCTAACCCTGCAATATCATTTTATGCTATATTGTACTGGTACCATCCAAAACTCTCATCACAGTTCCCAAGGCCCATTCATATTGTAGGTGATAACTGAGTGTAGTGCAACGGGGGAAGCAGGTATATTCACTTGTCCCTAAGCATTGGTTCTTGGTCATTCCTTACACCCTAAAGCCCGCAACTTTAAACAAGAGAAGCAGTTTTCCACAAGTCCGCTATCCCTGAGACCCTAAGGCACTTTAAGGAAAGGGTGCTTGAACGCTAAAGCTTGTAACCACGTTAACGTAGATGATTAAGCGGATGTTATGCCCTGAGCCCCACATCCTAAGCGAATGACACCTTATACCCGAAAGACGAAGGTGCCGAAGCGGCACTTCACTGTGGGCATCAATGACGATGTGACACATTCCAGCCTGTCGCTGGGTTCAACAATATCAAGGGTTTGTCTAGAATTCTACGAAGCTTCCATAACAGATTCTGTGGTTTAGGCCTTATGGTCTCCATTGTGGTTCCTTTTTTTGGTTGGAATTAGGACAATATAAAATGTGTTTTGTGTAGCCAAAAAAAGGGAACTACAATGGAGACTATAAGTAGGTGTTATTGTGAGCTACGAGGGCCAATGCAGCACCTAAGTTGTCTGCTTCCAGTTCCCCATTTTGCTTCAGCTCACTTCCATTTCTGAGATGCTTCAAACTAGGAATCAGGGCTTTATGTAGGGTTTATTTGAGGTTTTGGGCGCTACAGGGCTTGGGGGTTCAGGGTTTGAGGTTCTTGGATGTAGGGGTTTTGGGCTTCCGATGCATGACACTTTAGGGTTTTTTAGGTTAGTTTATGGTTAAGCCCTGGGTGATCAGTGGGTTTGGGTTCAGTTGTACGCACATCCTAATAGTGCCCGGGCTCTGAAGTTCAAAACTGAGACCGAAACATTGGGCTGCAAATGCACTACCGCTGCTCCTGATCCGTGAACCCTATCAACCCCTGTTTTGGCAGAACCCCGCGTGGAGGATCGTGGGACTTAGTAAGCAAGGTTATAAGCAAGTTGCTTGGGGTTATAAGTAGTTATAAGTATAGTTACCGTTCTTATAAACCCCAGTTACTAAGTCCCAGGCCATATATAGAACCCTTAATATAGATCCCTTCAAGGATCCCTTTAAGTAGCCCTAGTTACTAAGTCCCATGATCCTCTAGCTATACGAGCCTGATGAAGCTCCAGGCCCGACCCGAGTGGAAATGAAGCACCCCGTAAAGAAGGCCTACTTAACAAGAGGCCTTGAAAGCCCTAGGCCCCTGAAAACAGGGTGAGACTGCCAATGTAAATGGTTTATGCTTAAGGATTGTTTAAGGGTTAAGGGTTACTGTAGGGGCTTGAAGAATTTCCTATAGTTACTCTTTTGGTGTTCCTTATCTTAGCTTTAATGATCCCCAAAACCCTTTATTCTAATTATGAGTACCCCCTGTATTAGAAAGGCGTTTCAGTTTCGGGGCTTTTTACCGCGTTTGTAAGTATTCCTACGTACCGTGCCTTAGTATACGATAAAAAGCCGTAACCCCGTTCTATCTGTTAAGGCGGCTATAGTAGACCCCCTAACCCCAAGGGTCCAAGTACCCAATAATCATATACTCTCCAAACTCCTAACCCTAACCTATATAACTACTCTAAAACCGAGTACCTACTAATTGGGTCATTTGGACCCTCGGGGTAACTGCCCTGATTCACGGACCAACTCCAAGCCCTAATACCTGCAGTAATCTCTAAACCCTAAATGTTCTAACCCTAAATACCTACAGTCATCTCTAAACCCCTAAAATTCTAAACCCTAAATCCCTACAGTCATCTCTAAACCCTAAAGTTCTAAACCCTAAATCCCTACAGAAACCCTAAACCCTAAATCCCTACAGTCGCCTAAAAAGGCTTTCGCTGCGTGCAGACGAAAAAGAGCCCTTGAAAAAGACAAAAACCCTACAGTCAGCCCTAAGCCCTAAAACCCGAAACCCTAAATCCCTACAGAAACCTTAAGCCCTAAATCCCTACAGTCGCCGAAAAAAACCCTACAGTCAGCCCCAAGCCCCGGAAAGAAGCGCGAAGCCCGCGTCAAGGCTCGTGGGTCCGACGATCAACACCCAAGATCCTGGAGTTACACAGGCCCCCGGGGGATAGGGATTAAAATAAATAAATAAGGATCAAAAAAGTTAAATAAGGACTAAACATGGCCACCGGGGTTTTGGTGGTTTCGATCTTTGGTTTAGGGCTTGAGGGGTTAGGGCTTAAGGCATTTAGGGTTTAGGGTGAGATCCCGGAGTTACTCAGGCCACCGGGGTTTGACTTTAATTAATTAAGGTATTCTGAAGTTCTAATAATTCTGAAGGAGGGCTTAGGGTTTCTTTAAAGGGCTCCTTTAAGGGTAATATAAGGGTACTTTTTGGGATTTAGGAGTACGGGGGGCCTTAACTAACTTAGATCCCGGAGTTACTCAGGTTTGGGTCTATGGGGTTCAGGGTCTAGGGTCTTAGGATTTAGGGTATAAGGGTCCAGACGGTTTAGGGTCTTGGGGATCAGAGGATTTTGGGGTTTAGGGCTTTGGGGTTTGGGGTTACTGTAGGGATTTATGGTTCAGGGTTTTTAGGGTTCAGGAATTACTACAGGGATTTAGGGTTCAGCGCTCTAGGGTTTAGGATTTATGGTTGCAGGGTTTTGGGGTTTAGAGTGTGCGGTTGAGGTGGGTTCGGGAGTGTAGGTTGAGGTTTTGGGTTGTTTGTCTTTCGTTGGTTTAGAGGCCTGTCTATTAATTATTGTCAAAGACATGATTCTTTATAGGCTTGCAATGCCAGAACAGACTTTCATTGTGGCTTTGTTGGGGCCAAGAGTTTCAACAACTAATGTAGAAGCCGGACTGGTCACCATCATTCCTGGATTGTTTTTAGATTTTACCGTTTATACTATGATATACCCTGTTCTAGTAGGCCCCTATATTACCCCTCAAGGGCCCGGACTGCCTTAACGTCCGTACTGCTGGGATCCCTAAGCCTCCCATATGCTTGAACTTCGGAATATACCTCAAATTGTAGTAGGATCCCTAGTACTTAGATGATCATGGGACTTAGTAACTAGAGTTTTAAGTAAGGTAGCTATACTTATAGCTACTTATAACCCCAATTAAGGTACTTAGAACCTTACCTACTAAGTCCCCTGATCCTTTACGTATGGCTTATGAATATTATTGGAGTCTTGGGGGTGACCCATTCAAGACGTCGCGGGGCAGAAGCGGGTTCTTTGGTTGTGGTGATGAGGATGATGATGATAGTGATGATGATGATGATGATGATTTGGGGACGGCCCCCACTCAGTAATAGTTGAATAACATTCACAGTCTAGATATATTAGGACCTTAACAGTAGCCCGATTATAGACTCTTACTGTATGGGGCAGTACCTAAATGATGACGGTGGTGGGAAAGGATGTGCATGACATTGAGGACAAGATACTAGGTGCAAATTCAACCGTTAGCTCCATCCGTGGCTGCGTGTAATCGCAAGTCTTGTATACTGATGGCGTGAACAAGAACTGACACGGAACCGCGACAACACAACTTGTATAATGTAAACCGGCTGTTTGACCTCGTCCTGGGCACGCTGCATTTGCAAATATGTACACACACACACAAAGAGTATGGTCAACAAAGAGGCAGCATATTTGTCCCACGTCTCGCGACATGTTGTGTGCAGATACAAATACAATCGGAGGTTTTGTCAGAACCTCCATACTATCATATACAGTTATATTAGTTATAAATGTATCCGTCCTGATAGTGAGGACTGTACTAAGGTGATGCCATTCTGTAGCTTTTTCGGTGGTCCGGAGTTTTCCATCAATCCCTGAACGCTTGTACTCTAAGCCTGAAGTCCTTATCCCCCAAGCCCTCTAAACCCTGAACCCCAAGCCTCCCACGCGTTACCCTAAACCGTAAACCTTTAATTATTCCAACCCAAGTTTCAAGACCCCAAATCCTAGATTCAAAGCCGCGACACCAGGACCCCGACCCTTAGAAGCGCTTGCTGACAATTATGCAGGTGTAACATGTTTGTAGGGTCGGGGGTTATATAGTCATGTTTACAGTATTTTACATTCATCGAACTGTATAAGAGCCCCTTACAGGAAGCCTTACAAAAGCTCTATGGGAACCCTATAAGAGCCCCTTAAAAGGAACTCCTATGGAACCTTAAACCCTAAACCCTTAACCCAACAACCCTAAACCCCCAAGGAGCCCCTCCCTTATAGAACCCTCGAAGATCCCCTCAAACGGAACCCTTACCCCAAAACCCTAAACCCTTAAAGGAACCCTAGGGAACCCTTTAAGAGCCCCCTTTAAAAGGAACCCCTTAAAGGAACCCCCTTAAAGGAACCCCTTGAAGGAACCTTTCTTAGGAACTCTCGGGGACCCTATAAGAGCCCCTTTAAAAGGAACCCTTTATGGCACCCTCTAAGACCCGCTTAAAGGAACCCCGCGGTTTCCGTGACGAGGCCATCTTCTTCGGGCTGGGATCCGACGGGACGGTCGGTGCGAACAAGGCCCCAAGTGGTTTCGCGTTTCGTGTTTTTTAGAATCCCTTCTAGGAGGGGTTTAGGGATTTAGGGCGTAGGGTTTAGAGTAGGATGCCCCTTAGCACCCTTCTTCCGTTATTGTAGTCCTAGGTTCCTTATAAAGTTACCCAATACCACTTTTCTTCCTAGGCTACTGGGCATCCTAGTTAAGGTTTAGGGTTTTGGGGTTTTAGGGTTTTAGGGTTTTGGGGTTTTCGGGGTTTTGTGGTTTTAGAGTTTTTGGGTTTTCGGGTTGAGGGTTGAGGGTTTAGGGTTGAGGGTCCGGGTTTAGGGTTTCTAAAACATTTCCAATCAGGGATCTGGCAGGATGTTGTGTTGCTGGCTGGGTTTCGGGTATCTTCTTGGTTTGAACTGCCTTCTACGGGTTTGTATGTCGGGTTCGCAATTGTCTATTTTCTTCTGAAGATTTATTTTACGGACATCAAATGATGATATAAGCGGTGTTGTTTATAACGACTGTTTTTTCACGTTTGTGTCGAGTTGGTGCAACTGTTCAGGTCCAGGGTGTATGTAGGTAGGTTGGTTGGTTGCTTTAGGGCTTAGGGTGTATAGGGTTTTAGGGTTTATAGGGCGTCGAGTTTATAGGGTTTAGGATGTAGGGGAGTGTAGGATTCCATGAAGCAATCCAATGCAAAACACAATTCCGTTTTCATTCCTGTGTTACTGGGGATCCTAGCAAGTTCTAGGAATCCCATACGAAGGCTCATGGGACTTATGCAATAAGGTTATAATTAAAATCAAGTAGATTCTAATCAGACTTCTTTTCAGCACCATGAAGTGCCGCGATGTCGGTGCTGGACTCCACATGTCTTTGAAGCTCAACTGTCCCCAGCAAGATGAACAACAGGCATTGGCTTGGGAGCTTGACAACCTCAGATCGGTCTTGGGCTGTTCTGAGGCATTGAACGATTCTGATTGGCTGAGTGCTATGGCCAGTACATGTGTCCTCACAAAGTACTTCTTGCTTGGCATGGCCGCATCGGAGTGTCCGGAAGATGGCCCATTTCGCGAAGCTCCTCCAGAGCGGCTTGCCCCTCCAGTGCACCCGTGCCAATCTGCTAAGTGTCAGATGTTCAGCCAAGCCCAGCTGTTCTTCGATAATCACACGGAAGTTTTCCTGCACACAAGCGCCTGGTACAAGCTCGCCTTTGAGATTCTACTTACCAAGTCCCAGTTCGTTTAAGAGACCCCCAAAGGGTCCTATGTACTGTGAATTATGGGGGATGCCGGGGATGCTTCCCTGGATCATAATAGTAATTCCTAATATAGAAACCCTACATTCTACTATATGAGTACATAGGACCCTTTGGGATCATAAATCGCAAGCAAAGATCGGCAGGCCGCCGCAGCAATCATTGGTGAGCGCACCGAGTTCTACTCGCAGGTGGGCTGTCCTACGGATTCGGTGCAGTTTAGAGTCAAGGGTGAGCCGTTGGAGTATCGGTTTAGGTTGGTTAGTGCTGGGATTCCGTATATGTTTCTTCAGGCGCATCAGGATAACCGATGAGAGTTTCATCACATGTGAGGGCAGGTGGGTTCTACGGTTGATGATATAAATCCTGCATGACGCATAATAAGGAATATACCATAATTCCCATAGTTTAGAGCCACTAAGGTAATGCAGGATTTATATCATCAACAGTAGTTTCATACGAGTTTGAGTGCCCAGAAGCCTGTCGACATGAAACCAAAACCCCCCTCTCTTCCTTCCCTAAGGCTTCATGTGCCCATATAGTAGGTACTCAGGCCTTAAAGTACCTATATGGGGACCGCTTTAAGGCCTAAGTACCTACTATATGGGCACATGGAGCCTTTGGGGTTTCAGGCAGGGAAAGTGAACCTAAAACAGTTGGAACCTGCATTATGGCCTAGAGCCCGCATGCCTACAGCCCAAGCACGTAGCAAGTATAGTATATACATGAGAACACGAAGTAGGGAATTGCTACTTTCACCGCCATTAGACTGCAAAGTAGGTATTGTTTGTATACTTGGAGCTCTAGGACCCAGAGTAGGCCCTTATTCCCTTTTTGTTAGGGTTTAGGTTCTCCTATAACCCCCTTTAACCCAAAAAGGGCACCCTTTTTTCTCCTAGGTTACTCTTGGGTCTAGAGCTGTGGGATACTATATCGCGAGGGCATGGTTGATGTTCCAACTTTGTAGCAGCCACCGACCCGATAGCTTTGAACCCCACACCATTCAAAATTAAGACCCTACGTGTGTCGTCCTCGTCACTTTACCCTACACATCTTCACCTTAAGCATTTATTCCGTCATACTTGTGCTATGCCTTGAAACCCTAAACCTTCGTACTCCCAACGCCTTCAAGCCCTGCACCTTTAAACCCTAAATACACATTTAACCCTTCAGTCGGAAAACCAAGACCCCATCCCGTAAAGAACCCCTAAACCCTAAACCCCTAAGCCCTGGAAGCCCTAAGCCCTAAACCCCTAGACCCTAAGAAACCCAAACCTTATCCTGGCGCCCAGGGACACTTCAACTACTCTTCGCAGAAAGCTGGCGCTTCCACCGTGTCGCACCTGCGTCCTCCGAACTCAAGAAAGCTTATACTATACTTGTTAAGTTGTATCCCCAGAGCCCAATACCCCTTAACTAGGAATATGACTTCAAACATATAGGGCTTCATTCATATTATTAGGGACCCCCAAGGGTCCAAGTACCTGATAATCATATACTCTCCAAAATCCTAACCTACAGAACTACTATCCTAAAACCGAGTACCTAATGATCGGGTCCTTTGGACCTTTTGGGGACTTATACTATACTTGTCAAGTTGTTTTGGAACTATACTATACGACCATATATAAGTCAAGAGCTTGAGGTTTCTGGCTTCGGCTAGAATAGGAACGGTCACGAATTCCCCTAGCATAGCTGTAGTGTTGTTCTACTCTAGGGAAGCTATGGGCTGGGGCTCGGGGGGGTCGGTTTTAGGTCAGGGGGGGGCACCAGGTTAGGATTCGGGGTTTAGGGCTTAGGGGATTTAGGGTTTAGGGTTTAGGATTCGGGGATAATTACGGGTCTGAGATTTCGAGGTGTCGGATTTACGGCTCCTAGCCGGAGAACTTGCTTCCGTGGAGACGCAAACTCAAGCTAGATCCATCAAGGTGTGATGCTGAGTTAGGGTTTAGTGTTTAGCGCGGTTTAGGGTTGAGTTGCAGTTTTGCTTGAGCTCATATCGGGATGCACTCATCTCATAGGCAAAGACCTTGTTGGAGCCATTCGTGCGGAGAGGGATCTCTATTTGGGAGTTTCCGAAAACGGGGGACCCTAATATAGTACCCTCAATAGTAGGATCCTTATTATCAGGACCCCCAAAATAAGGTATCCCTATTTTCGGAAACTCCCATTTGGGTAGCTCTCTAAATTTGGGTCCCTGGCAGGTCCCAAACATGGAACGGCACCCAAAGAAACAAGGACCCCTTAAGGGGACCCTGATTTAGAGAACCGCCCTTATAGTGCTCTTTATAGGAAGCCCTGTCAAAACCCTTCGAGGTCCCTTTAAGCCCCCAAGAAGGGACCCTAATTTAGAGAACTGCCCATTTGGAAACTTTACTTAAAGGATCATGGGACTTAGTAAGTAGGTTTATAAGTAAGGTAACTGTACTTATAACCCCAATTAAGGTACTTATAACCTTACTTACTAAGTCCCATGATCGTCCAAGTAGTTCTAGGACAAGGCGATCCGCGCACGGGGCAATTGCAAGCGGAGGCATTGGAGCTGTCAGGAACCCGAAAGCCCTCAAGCCCTTAGCGCTAAACGACCCAAAATCCTAGAGCCCTTACCCATGGGCCCTAAACCTGCCAAACCTATGAACACTATTAAGTTGTAGGTTGAAGTCCCAGTCCCGGTAGCCACCACGATGACCGCGCCGGGCGTTGAAGTCCCGGTAGCCACCACGATGGTCGCAGCATTCACCTTCCGGAAGTTCAGCTGCCTCAACGAGACGCAGCCGCTCACATTCTACTCCACGGTTGAGAAAGCGATCAACCAAAGCGTAAGATTGGAGGTGAGGAAGCTTTGCGGACGGCTCACGGACCCTGCAAAGGTGAAGGATTGAGCCCTTTTTCAAAAGACTCCCTACACCTTTAATTTAAAGAACTCTAATCGAGCCCTTGTTTAAAGAAGCCTTTAAAGAGCCTTTCATGGAGCCCTTTTCAAAGCAGCCTTGAAATAAAGGAACTCCATGCTAGTTAGGCCCCTATTGTCGGGCCTTTGCCTTCACCCAAAGGGGAAAAGGAGGGACCCTTAATAAGGATCCCAGGTATATACCCATAATATAGCCATTATATACCCATTATATAGCCAACTATAGGGTAGGGGTCCCCATTAAGGGTCCCTCCTTTTCCCCTTTGACCCCCAAAACACCCCAAGACCCCTAAACCCTATACCCTATACCCTTATAGTATCCCTACAGACCCTTTAAAGGGTCCCTCCTTTTCCCCTTTGAACCCAGGTTTTGGCCCGACTCCGATCCGCAGCGAATACGAGATTGAGGCGAGCCCCGGTGCTGCGGCTCGGCTTCCTTTAAGTGGTCCAAATGTATTTAGCTCGGCACGGGATTTTGGGTTTTTTCTTTAAGGGTTCAGGGTTTAAGGTTTTTGGGTTTAGGGTTCTCTAACTAAAGCTCGGCACGGCATTTGGGGTTTCCTTTTAGGGTTCAGGGTTTAGGGTTTTAGGGTTCAGGGAGTTTAGAGTTTAGGGTTTAGGGTTTTAGTTTAGGGCTGAGGGTTTAGGGTTTAGGGTTTCGGGTTTTGGTTTAGGGTTTAAGATTTAGGGTTTAGGGTTTTGGTTTAGGGTTTAGGGTCTAGGGTTCCTTTTCAATGTTCAGGGTTGAGGGATTCTCTTAAAGGGGTCCCTTGAGGGCTCGTTTGAAGGCTCCGTTAAGGGATTCTCTAAAGGGTGCGAACATGTGTGGTTTGTATGCAGGTATATAGATAAGAGTAAGAGGTTTTCGGGAGCTGGCAGGCCTAGTAGGGTTCCTTAGAGCGTGCTTGAAGACCCTCAACCCTAATCCGTAAACCGGGTTCAAGGCTTTACAACACACCCCAAACCCTAAACCTCAAATCATCTAGGTTGGATTTTGGGACATGTTTTTTTATATTCGGGTTTATAAGGGACCCTATATATAAATACTTTTCAGGGTGTTTAAAGGCCTAATTACCCAGTCATAAACAGACAGGAGGAACCCATTAGGCTACCCGCAAAATGGTTTGTCACTGTTCAACGCGAGCGGCCGCCCGATGACCTCGCTGAGGACTACGTCGCTTGCCACCACACGCAGCACGGCAGGAACTTGGTACAGCTAAAATAGAGGCCGTAATATTTGCCTATATTATACAACTTGTTTTGATACCTTGTTATAAATGCAGTGTTATATACCCAGAACCCGATTCTTCTTATTATGGCCTGTACAGTAGTCTGGAGTTACCAGGACGGTCTCGATCTCCAAAGATGGTGGGGTCCTACTGGTGACAATCTGAGTGCTACGACCCGTGGATATTTCTCAATTTGCGGAGGTTTTAGGTACTGTTATGGGAGATACTCCCCCAAATCATAGTAGCAATTCCTCACATCGAATCCCTACATTCTCGCACATAGGTACCCTTGGACCCTTTGGCATTGCCTAGCTTCATGCTGTCTTGAACTCCTGGTGCCATCGTGTGATCAACCATGGTCGAATGCTCCTGTGAAAAGGAGTGCCCCAGCATTGGTTACCTTCTATCAGCAAACATCGAGATCAGCCGGAAATCCTGCATTCGAAACTTGTTTGCCAAGCCTTGTCCCCAGTTAAGTGCTAAACCAGAGCCCAATGCCGAAGCCGTGAATCGCAACAACACCTGCCGCCCGAAAGGTTCTGTCCTTTGAGCCCGCAATCGAACCAAAATGCAGACACTAAAACATCCTTAGCGGAATCCTTCTGAAGCCCTCATAGCAATCCTTGTACATTAGGCGGAACCCCCTTGGCCTTCTGGTGTTTTTTGGACGCTTTGTGAGGTCTTTCCTCGCCAAGTTCGACATGCTGTCCAAGGTGCCCTACACCCTAAACCCTAAACCCCTAATTAGACACCTAAACCCTAAATCCTAAACCCAAACCTTCAAAAAAAAGCTTTAACCCTAAAGGACAGTTTTGAAAGGGTTAAGGGCTTGGGCCTGAGGGTTCTGCTGAGGCTTCCTTCAGAGGTTTAGGGGTTTAGAGTTCAGTGTGTGGGTGTGAATCGGTTTAATTGGGTGTTTAGGGGTGTTGGATTTAGAGTTCAGTATGAGGGTTTAGGGTTTAGGGTTTAGGGGTTTAGGGTTTAGGGTTTAGGGGTTTAGGGTTTAGGGTTTAGGGGTTTAGGGTTTAGGGATTTAGGGTTAGGGTCTAGGGGTTTAGGGTTCAGTATGGGTGTGTATGTTTTTTTTTGGGCCTGCTAGGCTTGTAGGGGTGACTGTAGGGCTTCATCGGGTTTTGCGAGGGTCCATGGACGACCTGAAAGGGTATCCTGTAAGGGTTCCGATAAAGCATCTATACGCCTTCCTGAAGGTGTTAATTTATTGGTATCTGAGGCACATGAAAAGTACATTGAATCATACTAGAGATCCTGCTGTGGGACTGGTTTAGGGTTTATTCGTGTTTAGGATTGTTTCGACTCCGATTCCTTCAGCTAGGGTTTACGGTGTAGGGTTTAGCGTTAAGTAATATCTCATAGTCTGGATAGTATGAACACTCCCGTTTATGGCCGGTATACTATGCAAGTCTCGTCGCACAAGTACATGTGTATATATATATATATATATATATATATACATATATGTATGTATGTATGTATGTATGTATGAATTTCGTTCGTTTCGCCGAGAGTAGCAAAACCTGAATGGCACCGTGAAGCTACTCATCCGGTGAGAGGTGTCGCCCCGACTTGGGGCGGCGTCGCGGTTTTAGTCATCTCACTGTCGTGATGACATCTGGACGGGTGTCACATGATGAAGCCCCGATTCTCGAGTCTTTAGTTTGGATTGCGACGGAGTTTACCATGCCTTGGAGTTGAGTTTCTTAGTGTCTTTGTCTCATGCTTGCTTTATGGGTGATGGACCTGGTGTTGCTCTTGGTACGATGATGCTAGTGGAAAACGGTCTTCATATAAGCACCGGAACCCTAATCCCCGGGATGAAGGGCTTCAAGGTGCAGCTCTGCAGAGGCGGGGCAAATTAAGGAGTTTCCATATGAGTGGTTGTCAAAGTTATGGGACCACAAAAAGACCATAATTTTGACAACCACTCATATGGGGATACTATCATAGCTAGTGGCACTAACTAAGGAGAGATCTTGTCTGTGGGCTTACTGACTCCTCAACCTTATAGACCCCCAAACCCAGTAAGCCGTAATGTTGCCAGTGGCTCCTGCGAGGTGCGTGAGGGCGGTGCTTTCGTGGTGAACTGCCCATGGAAGAGCGTGGAGGAGCATTCGCCATCAGCCCGGTGTTTAGATCCATATTGAGTGTCCCATGTTTTTGGTTTTGTTCAGGTGACGTTCTTCGCCTAAGGGTCCAAGTACCTAATAATCATATACTCTCCAAAATACTAGGCTACATAACTACTTTCTGAAACCTAAGTACCCGATTATTGGGTCCTTTGGACCCTTAGGGAAAGCCTAACTAAGAATGCAAGAAAGGCATCTGAACGACAGCTGATAGCATCCTTAGGGTTCCTTAGTAAATACACATCACACAATATACCAGAACCTTGGTTCATTAAGCCCACCCATATTAAGGGCTACTGCGCACTTAAGGAGGGCTGGAATAGTTACGATACAGTTAATTCCGTAGGGTTTGCGCGGCTACAGGCCCTAATGCAATCCGCCCCCTCCCTCTACATACAATTCACTGGAGGCGCCTTTTGTCTCATGGTACTAAACCCTAAACCCCGAACCCTAAACCCTCCACGGAGGCTTTGTTGCTTCTTGGAGGCCCTGTTCCCAGACCTTCCAAAATCCCTTATAATTAAGGAATATACCTGAACTTTTAATTACAGTAGGTTCCATAATGTAAATTAAGGTATATGCCGTAATTAAGTTAAATAAGGGCTATTGGAATCTCCTTAACCCTACACCCAATACAGATTCGGGAGTCTTTATTCTAGACCCGTACCCCGTTAGCGAGCCTGTGCTGGTACCGAACTGTGTCATCTCAGGCCTCTGGGGATGTCATGTAGCGTAGGAAGGCATCACCACCGTCGATCATCGGCCCAGATACTCTCAGGAGGTCACTTGCGGGCGTGAGGTCACTGGTTAAGAGCCAACGCCACATCAAACTGATATGCTGGTGGTAGTATACGGTGGTCAATGGTGTTTCGACCCGTCCGAGCATCAGGGGGTTGTGTGCCGGGACGGGACCTGCGAGCCTCTGCTGAGGGCCGGGTACTGCGGCAGGGGGTTTCTCCGGTTACCTTCGTCAAGTGAAGCACGTCTACTTCAGCCATTGTCCGGCTGGGTCTGCGCGTCTCGAGGGACAGTCGCTACGAGCGGCCAGCGGAATTAGTATGGGGCACGCTTCCGTCGATATGCCTTATGCGAAGTTGGAGTGATCCGTTCCGATTGAGCCCCAGGATTCAAGTACGGAGCATCATGAACTCTTCAACTCTTTCAACTGCATTTACTGCGCCGGCTTGCTTTCTTGAGGACACACAGGAGCCTTCGAGATCTGCGTGACAGTAGAGAAGATGAATACGGTATGCAGCATAGTACAGCAGTCCTCTTCTCAGAAGCGTATTTTATCCAGTGGGCAGTAAGGCTTTTTAGTTCCCAAACCCATAATCTGAATGGCGACCTCGAACCCGATTAGACGTATTGCTCGCGCACTTAAGCCCGTAAGTTTATGGTTCAATGTTCAGACATGTGCAGTTCGAAGTAGAATTTCGAGGGTAGTACTACCCGGTACCCTAAACTCCCAAACTCTAAACCATCCCCAACCTTGGACTAGACCCTAGAACCCTAAACCCTAAACCCTAGATTCCCCTGACCAGGAGCTGGAGAACGAGTTCCCCGCCAAGCTGCGACGGGCCATCGCGGAGAAGAAGGCCCTTCCCTAAGACTCCAATATGCCTTCAGTAAGGAATATACCTTGATTTATAATATATTAGGATCCCTGATACAATTTAAGGTATACCCAGGGGCTCCATAGTAGTTGCCTTTTGGGATTACCACATAGGATTCTAAATATGAGCCCCAAAAAGGAACTACTATGGAGCCTTTGGGTATTCCTGAATGAAGGGATTTTGGAGGCTCCGTGAACTGCAGCGAACCTTCTTATATGGGAGTTTCCGAAAATTAGGGGTACCTTTTTGGGGGGTCCTTATAATAAGGATCCTACTATTTAGGGTATTATATTTGGTCCTCGCGGAAACTCCCATATAGGGGCCAACTTTGGGGCTCCTTTAGAAGGGACCTGACTTTTCTGCAAAAAAAGGGGTCCTGTAACTTAGTAGCTGGGTGGATACACTTGACACCTTTTGGGATCATATTACCCACTATAAAACTGAAAGTGTACACTTTTGGGGGCTTATGAACTCCGCGACTAGGTTAAGGGTTCAGAACTCAGGGGTTAGATCTTCTTGAGGGTTGTAGCCGAAAAGACCTATCTTTTTCAGGAGCTATATATAGTCTATTATAGAAACCATAATAAGGAACCCTAAAAAGGTACGTCTTTCCGGCTGCAGGTAGGGCTTCTTAGGGGCTTGGGGTTTAGGGCTTGGCGCGGTTCAGGAAATTTGGTCTTCCTAGGCTTTGGGGTGTAGGTTTACGGCCAGCTTATGAGTTTAGGAAGTCCTGGCGGATTGGAGTTGAGGGTTTCCTGTGCAGAATTTATAGATTAGGGCTTCTTGGGGTTTGGGGTTGAAAGGGCTTAGGGTTTCCAGGTTTAGAATTGAGGGTGCTGGGCTTCTGTAAGGTAGGTTTAGCGTCTGGGGACTTGTGAATCTGTTAATCTGATTAATCTTGTCTTGGGGATGTTTAGCCGCTCCCGTTGTGGGTTTAGGGTTTATGGATTGTTCGGGCATGCAGATTGACCTTAATATCCTGCATTGTTCGCATGTGGGCTGCCTGAAGAGATCCTTAGCACAGTCAATACATACTGTAGCCTTCATAATAATTTGTCATATTAATGAGGTTCGCGCATGTCGGCTAAGGGAGTGCTGTAGGATAGCAACCGTCACGAACATACATGCGGGTGCTGCAAGGGTGTGCTCAGATCTGGACGTAAAAAAAATCTTGGCAGCTTCTCAAGTAAAAAGCCACCCCCAAAACCCCAAGACTGCCCTTTTTCAGACCCGAAACGGTAAGCCCTAAACCCTCGCAAACCCTAAATCCTAAACATTCAAACCATTGTAGACAAAAACAAACAGATTCAAACCCTAGACACTAAACTCTCAACCCTAAACCCTATGAATCCTAAACACCCGAACCCTAGACACTAAACTCTCAACCCTAAACCCTATGAATCCTAAACACCCGAACCCTAGACACTAAACTCTCGACCCTAAACCCTATGAATCCTAAACACCCGAACCCTAGACACTAAACTCTCAACCCTATGAATCCTAAACACCCGAACCCTAGACACGAAACTCTCAACCCTAAACCCTATGAATCCTAAACACCCGAACCCTAGACACTAAACTCTCAACCCTAAACCCTAAACCCTCAACCCCCGTATACCCCACACACTCAAACCTAAGGTTCAGGGTCTACACACCTCTTAGGGCTCCAGATACGTACAGCAGAAGCCCAAAAGTTGGAAACCAGATGGCCGCAACCCCTAAGCGCAAAGTAAAGGGAATCCCAGCACGATTTAGGTTTCCAACTTTTTGGAGTTTACAATAAATAGTAGGAAGATGGGGTCCGCAGAGACGATTGGATCTGCCGTCGCTCTGGCAAGCACCTCGGGGAGAGAGATTGAAACACTGACGTGCATCTGTGGTTAGTTGAGGTCATCGCGATGCCAAAGTCATGTGGGGCTATATTGAGCAGATGGCCCCTCTGACGGACGCCAAGTTAGCCCAATGGCAAGAGTCGACCTTGGCAGCCTTGGCAAATCAGCTGCACGTCCCGACAAACGAGTACGATGCAAGCAACCGGCACAGAAGATGGCAGCCTTGGCAAATCACCTAGACGTCCCGACAAAACGATTGCGATGCAAGCAACGGGCACCGTTACCGTTGGCTTGGTGAGGCGGATGTGCTTCTCGTGTCTTTTTGGTTACCCTAAATATTGGGTGCCGTATTATAATAAGGACCCACAAAGGGACCCTAATTTTGACAACCACCCATATAGTTAGTCACCTACTATTCAGGTAACTGGCGCCTTGATAAACCCTCAGACGACCAGGTAGAGCTCTACACCATCGATGCACACGCAGTGGCCGGCTCTGTAGGACCGCTGTTGGGTGTTTTGTGGGCGACGATCCAGTGTTTAGGGTTTGGGGTTTAGGGTTTGGAGTTTAGGGTGGGGGCTTAGGGTTTAGGGTTTAGTGTGTCTTGGGGGAACGCAGGGTTTCGGAGTTTGGGTTTAGGACGGTGGGTGGGGCTTCGGGTTTATCTGTGGGTTTGGGGGGGTCGATTGTTGCCGAAGTCCTGCAGCATCCCCAACCTGGATTGGTTTAGGGTTTCGGGTTTAGGGTTCATCAGCTCATCAACAGTTTTACAAACCAGGGCTCTGAGTACTGAACCTGTCCATATCCCTGTGAACCCTACGCCCTACTTGGCGGATTGGGACTTAGTAAGTAAGGTTATAAGTAGCTTAGTTGGGGTTATAAGGTAGTTATAATATAGTTGCCTTACTTTTAACCTTAGTTACTAAGTCCCATGATCCTTTAAGTACACCCGACGAGCCTGGACCCGAACCCCAAGCATGCAAAATTCAGCCAATCCCCCTTTCAAGAGCACTTTTATTCCAGCAGTTCGGCAAGTAGCAAACCTCACAAGGGCCAGGGGTTTAGGGTTTAGGGTTTAGGGAAGGACCCTTATATGAAGGAACCCGTGATTGCTTAACACAAGCCCTCTAACCCGAACCCTGCACCCAAAACTCCAAATCTTACAAGACCAAAACCTTCTAAAACCGCTGTCCCACCCTATGCCTACCCGTATATCCTTAAAAGTCCAAGTGCTTAATAATCATTTACTCTCCCAAATAATAAACTACATAACTACAGTCCGAAACCTAAGTAACTAACTAACTATTGAGTCCTTTGGACCCTTACCCTAAGGATCAAAATAGCCCAGAAGCCTTTTTTTGTAGCATGGTCTTTGAGCCCAAAGCCCTTGTGAGATGAGTCCTTACCTGCACCCCCCAACTACCCTCTCATATACCCTAGATACCCATATGAGGGACCATAAGGGCTCTATTATTGGGCGGTTGGGGGGTCCTGGTAGAGCCTTTTCAGAGCCCCATATAACCCAACAAGACCGTTCATAGAATAATTATATGAACATCTACAATAAGAACCATTCATTATCGAGTTCGGCTACCCTGTAACTAACTCACCCTTTTGATACCCACTCTTAGGGACCATAAGGGATCTCTTAAAGGACCCTTAAGGACCCTTGGGGACCCTTAGGGACCCCTTGGCATCCGAGATGTCCAGGACTCCCCGCCAAGCGCATCAACCAAGTGATGCAGGTGGGCTCGGGCCGGAGCTCATCATACTGCTGATGGACAAAATCCTGCATTACCCTATACCATAGTTCCCATAGTTTAGAGTCCTTAGAGTCATGCAGGATTTTGTCCATCAGCAGTAGTGACCCTTAAGGGGGGTAGGAGGAGGGCTGGTAGGGGGCCTTAATGCCCATAATAAGGACCTAGTAAGCCTTAGTTAGGGAAGTATAGTCCCCCACCGCACTTCCTGTTACTTGCGCATCCAGGTCCCAAATCGCTGCAATTGCTGCGCGAGATCATTTGGGTCTGCGGCTGTTAGGCATACAAGTGCCAGTGCTGTAACGACGTCAACCGTGTGTATAGGCATTGGGGACGACGAGTTCAGGGCACTCAATCTGTTCGTCAATTCCTGCAAGGAAAAATCATCCACCAAAGCCAGGCTAACTTTGTGTTCAAGCTTGATAAACGGCCACAGTATTCCGTTTTGGACGGGTGGCTGTGCGACAACCTTGGCAAGGTTGTTAACATGACAGGCATGCCAGAAGAAGTCAATCGTGTTTCTGAACGTTGGCGCTGCCTAAGACGTGAAGGACATACGTTGGCTTTGGTTGAGATTCGATGAGCCTTTCGAAGTTTGGTGTTTCACTATACACGATTTGCAGCCTTTCCGAAATACGGCTTGCGGCAAGTCCATTGGTGCACCTCAGGAAGACAAAATGACACGCCTTGCATGGAGCCAATTCAGCGCGATACCACCACTCACACCCCTCCCCCCACCCCCCTAAGGGTCCCTTTGAGCTCAATGTCTTGCGGGGTGTTTTGGGTTCTGTTGGTTTAGGGTTTGGGGGCTTGGAGGTTTAGTGTTCAGGGACCCCAAAAAGTTCGAAGCCGGATTCCGGACAATTAGTGCTGGGATTCCCTATGCATTACTCTTTGGGACTGAGGCTCACGGGTTTCCAACTTGTTGGCTTCTGCTGTACGGGCTTAGGGCCTAAGGATTCAGACCTTTGGGCTCCTTGAAGGTTAAGCAAACCTTGGGGCTCAGGGGTAGGGCTTAGGGTTTAGGGTCCAGGGTTTAGGGGTTTAGGGTTTGCTTAGATCCCCAATACCCAACCTTTAATCGTTTTGGGTTCTTGTAGTTTAGTAGGAATCGGAAAGTTTAACCTGTGGCTTATTGGGGCAGTAAGTTAAGGCTCCCTCCTTTCTCCTTTTGCTCTTTGAAGTCCTGAAACCCATAAACCCCTAATGTTTGGGGTTTTCAGGTTTAGGGTTCTTCAGTAGCTCCTGTAAAGCATCGTTCGAGGCTCAAGTTTTAGAGTTCACGAATTCTGAGCCCTTTCAGGTCTTGGTTGGGGTTCGAAGGTTTTGCATGTTAGGCGTCGGATTTGGGGTTTTGGGTTCTAGTGGGTTTTGGGGTTTAGGAATTTCGGTTTAGGGTTTTAGGGTTGGGCTACTAGGACCTAGAGTAGGCCCTTATTCCCTTTTGAAGGGTTCAGGTTCCCTTAGAAGCCCCGTCCAACCAAAAAGGGCGCCCTCTTTATTCCTAGCTTACTCTTGGGTCTAGTTTGGGTTAAGCTGTTTGGTTTTGATTTGGCACAAGTGCCTACATTACGAGAGGTTGTGTTCAGCTCATAGTAGGTGGTCCGGGTTTGGTACAACGGCTAGTGGTGGTGGTAGTTGTAATGGTAGTCGTAGCAGTAGTAGTAGTAGTAGTAGTAGTAGTAGTAGTAGTAGTAGTAGTAGTAGTAGTAGTAGTAGCACTAGTAGTCGTAGTAGTAAGTAGGAGGAGGTGGAGGAGGAGGAGGCTCCAGCATCTCGAAAATGGAGACCCCAAGCCCTACAGCAACTGCCTGTACACTCAAAAAATGACCAAACCCATGAAGCCCGAAAACATCCTAAATCCATTTTGACCTTGCATCCCTAAACCTGCAGCAGCAAGGCCCTTGAAGGAGCCCAAATCGAGCCTGAAACCTTAAACCGCAAACTGTCGTAAACCTAAAGCGCCGCTTGGGAGGGATGCTGCGGTATATTCTGCTACAGTGATATTAAGGAGCCCCCCAAATAGAGCCCTGAACCCTAAACCCAAACCCAAATTGTTATACTATAATTAATGATATTAAGGAACCCCGAAACAGAACCCTACACTCTAAACCCAAACCCAAATCCTGATGTTATACTAGAATGATATTAAGGAACCCCCAAAAATAGAACCCTAAACCCTACGCCCAAACCCAAATCCTGCGAAAGCTCCGTCGGGGAGGCTACCTTCTTCAATCTCTCCGGAATCCTTCCTCCAGAGGACTTTAGGGTTTAGGGTGACTGCTGCTGCCAAGACGATGACTACAGCGACCATCTAGTTGTGGGTGAGAGTTGTAGTTGTACTAGGCTAGACCAGCCCTGAGCCGGCAAGTAAGGCTTGGAAGCCTCCGTCTTGTGACCTATAGAGATGCACGCACGTGCACATGGGTGGTACCCTAAATATTAGGTGCCGTGTTATAATAAGGACCCAAAAAGAGACCCTAGTTTTGACAACCACCCACATGATATCAAGAAGGAATCTTGGAGAAAAGGACAACCTCTGTCGAAGAAAACCCTGTCCGCTGCATGACCGTACGTTTTCTGGTTTACGGTTCCGCACAAGCCTAGTCTCATTGTCCAGGCCCTTACAATCCCAAAGGGTTCTATGTACTCTTGCGGGGGATACTTCCCTAAGTCATAATAGTAACTCCCAATATGGAAACCCTACATCTACTAATATGACCCTTTTGGAATGACTATTTTTGAGAAGACCCTGAACCTGATTCATCCCGAGAATGTTGCAGGATGCGAAAGAGCAGCTTGAGGGCGCCATCGACAGAATGTACGGCAAGAAGTGACTTTGCCGCAGGGCTTGTGGCTGGAGCTTGGTAAAGGGTTCCCAGGGCTTACATTGTAGGGTTGGTCCGTTAAGTTTTGACTGTAACTTCCGGAACTTTACTGCTTTAGGCTGTGACGTGCATCCTCTGTTTCCTGATATGTCAGTCTGACTTACGACAACAGTACAGTACCGTTGTCATCCCCGTACAGAGCCCCATCCATGCAACCCTTAACGCCCTTGAAGGAACCCTCAATAAATTCCTAACCCTTATTTAAACCCTAAACCCTAATCAAACCCTAAACCCTAAACCCCAATCAAACCCCAACCCCTATTATAGACCTTAAACCCCTAAACCTTAAATCCCTAAACCCTCAAACCCTGAACCCTAAAGCCCTAAACCATGTCCCCCGAGGTCCCCTGAGATCGTCCGCTCGAACAAGGCTGCCCTGGCAGCAGCACCGGAGAACTTGCACAAGTGGCCCGGATGTAGAAAGAGGGGGTTGATAGGGTTTAGGGTTTAGGCACAAGTGGCCCGGATGTAGAAAGAGCAGCCAGAGGGCTTATAGGCTTTAGGTTCTAGGGTTTAGGGTTTGGGGTCTAGGCTTTGGGGTTTAGGTTTTCGGGTTTAGGATGTAAAGGGTTTCGGGGTAACAAACCCTAAACCCTCAACCCCTCAACTCCTAGCCGTAAACTCCCTAAACCCTAAAACCCTCAACCCCTCAACCTCTAGCCCTAAACCGTCAACCCCTAAGCCCGAAACCTTAAGAGCGTTCAAGCACTGCCAGGGTTTGCTATCCTATTTTGAGGGTTCCGTGTTATAATAATTATAGTATGACAGTATCGTGGGCCCCAAAACCCTATTCTTTTCGGGCTCCTTATATTTTTTTTGGTATAAAGGACCCCAAAACCCAACATTAATCATTAAGGCCCCTATATCATAGTAGTAACCCTTTATAGGACCCTTTTGAGGGAGCCCAATTCTAACTATTAAGGCCCCTATAAGTAGTAATTTTTAGCTAAGATCCCCAATACTCAACCTTTAAACTATTTGGGTTCTTGTAGTTTAGTAAGAACCGGAAAGTTTAACCTTTGATTTCTGTGGCTTATTGGGGGAGTAAGTTTAAGGGAACCCTATTCTAACTATTCAGGCCCCTATCAGTAATAATTAGTTGCGCTCCGGTAGTACTGCCAGGAGGATCTAGAAAGTATATCCCCTAATTTGGGGCCCGAAACTACTAAGGGTACTTTATAGGAACCCCCCCCCCCATTAAGGGATCTACTTTTTGGATCCTTGCCGGGGGGACTGGGTAAGGCGTACTTGTCCAGTCTCCTGAACTAAAGGTTGTATCATAGTACCCTTATAGTAGCCCCTATAGAAACCCGTTGTAGGTCCCTTCTAAGAGAACCCTATTCTAACTAAGTTCTGGGTTAATAGATCCCCATTATATGGTAGCTTAATATCCTTATTATGGTAACTTAGACCCCAACCCTAAACCCTAAACCCCGCACTGCCAGGATTAGCTATCCAAGCTCCTGGCTGCAAGCAGAGGAGCTTCCCGACACACGGTGTTTCGACTTCGGGCTGTTCCTGGGTAGGGTTCAGGGTTTAGGGTTTAGGGTGTAGGGTGTAGGGTTAGGGTTCCTTTAAGAGGGATTCATATAGGGTTTCCTTTAATTGCTCCTTGAAAGGACCTGGGTTCATAGGGCTTAGGATACATAAGTTTTTGTTTTTTTGTTAAGATCTTGTGTGTAGGGTTTAGGGTATATAATCATCTAGCTTTTCTATTTTTCAGGAGCTATATATAAGGAAAGCAAAATCAGGAGTAGGTATTTTGGAGTTGGTATTTTGGAGTTCAGGTAGGGTTCAGGGGTTCGAGGTCTACTGCGTTAAGTTCAACTTTTAGGCCTTCGGCTTCAGAGTCTTGAGTTACGGGGTATGCGACCCCATCGAAGGGTTTACCCTGTGCCTCCATGGACCTTATTATGGGGTCCTTAAGGGATCTAGGGCCCTAACTATGACGTCCCTGGAGGGATAGGGTTTAGGGTTTAGGATTCATGTCTACCGTTTAGGATACTTCAAGCCCAAAAAAATACACCTTAATCCCAGCAAGCTAGTTCGAAGTTCACTTCCTGCCGCTTTGTACTGTTGATGGATAATCAACCCTAAACATCAGGGCTTTTGGCGTACCTTATCAGGCATATTGCAGGTGTTTCGCATGAACAACATCGTTAGTACCATCGCGACCCTCACTATAGGGGCCTAAATGCCTAAATAATAAGCAATACTATTTTGGGGGGCTCCTTATGATAATTATAGTATAATGGGCCCCAAAACCTTATTCTGATTGAAAAGGCCCCTACATAAGCTATCGTTCTATGATGTTTGCAAGTGGCGGATTAGTGAGCCAGGAACGGTCTGCAGAAGCGGGTCACACCCTACCTTAAGCCGGAATAACCTACTTTTTTGGGGTCCCTATTGTGAGTTCCTTATATAAGTCCTTAATAAGGTAGGTTATTCCGGGAAGGTAAACCCGACTTAGAGCCCCCCGCTACCCTCTAATATACCTTGAATACCCACTGTTTAGGACCATAAGGTTCCATTACAGGGCCATGGAGTGGTCTTGCAAAACCCTGAATCTTAGGGGTATTCCTTGCGGCGCTCGAGTTTCGTTTGGAGAGCTTCGGCCGGAGGACAACGAGAATTCCATCAAGAAGCTCCATCCCTCTGCCAGCCCCTTCAGCGACTGCAGCTGCACTTTTGGGTGTCGAGTTTGGAAGTTTAGGGCTTTAAGGCTGTGCCATAACACCCTTCCCTCTTTCGCGGATCAACAAGGGCACGCGTTCAGGGTGTAGGCTTTTAGGTTTCGGTGCTTAGCAGCTTCGTTTGCCTAGGGTTCCCAGGAGCGACCGGGATAACCGGAACTGCACTGCTTCCTGATGTTCGTACCTGGAGGGTCATAATTACCCTACCCCTTTTTTATGGTACTTAGTTTTATTAGGATCTCGTATATAGAGGAGCAGGTACCTGTAAAAAGGGGTTGGGTATGAGCCTATAGGTATTGTTACCGAAGTGTGGAAGCCCATAGTCAGGTAAAGTCTTTCCGATCTAAACTTAGATCCCCAATACCCAACCTTTATAGACTTGTTGGGTTCTTGTTCTTTTCTTTAGACTCTGAAAGTTTAGCCTTTTATTTCTGTGGCTTATTGGGGTAGTAAGTAAGATATATCCAAACCTTCCCATGCATACTTCCGGATTACTCAGAAGGGCGGCTTATGTACACTTTGCCGCAGTGTAAGAGGAAATCACGTGTAGGGCGGGCCTAGACCTCATCCTGAGCCAAGGTGCCAAAACTACGGTTCAGGGTGGGCCAAGACCCTAACCGCCTAAACTTTGAACCGTCATGAAATCCTGCAAAGTTCAGCCTGCCCATATAAACCATAAAGCCTTAATTCCGGACCCTGTAACCCGCATAAACCACGAGCACAACCGCATACACCCTCCATGAGGCCTGTTTGCATCTCAATTTGGGAAAGCCTCGAGCCTTCCGCTCCAGTTTATTCTTCCAAATTGACATCTGGTCGTGTCCGAACTTAAACCTGAACCTTTCCCGGGTTTGAAGGGAGGAAAGAGTGGGCCAGCGGAAGCGACGCCACCTCTCCTCATGTCCATCGCGCACATGTCCACACCTCTTTGGGTCTCCGAGTTGCCTTTGCAACAAAATCCTACGTCCTGTCTCTACGTACAGCCCATGCCGTTTCCCGCATGGCCTCTGGTCCAGACGCCCACAGCTCCTGGGTAAGCCGAAAAGTTTCGGCGTCATGTCTCCACTGCGGTCTGCACTCCAGGCCTTTACGTCCCGTTTGGTCCTGCAGAAAAGAAAGCGTCCAAATACGGTGATGTGCTTTGGCTAGCCATAATCTGCAGCGACTTCGTCTCTCCATGAATCTGACTGCCTGAACCAGACTGTTAGTGGCATTTTGCAGGTAGACCGGACAAAGAATGCCTGAACTATCCAGAGGATCATACCACTTTTTGTCGGCCAGTACAGGAGGACAACAACCAGAAAGGATGACGAAATTCGCCAACAGCTCCAAATAGGTCACGCCCCTCATACGCAAACCAAGCCCTTCCTGAGAGCCCCAAGACAAGTGGAAACACCAATCCCAAACCACACGCAAGAACCGTGTAGGCCAAGTCGACCTTTGCAACACTTCAGCCGGAAAAGCCCGAGACTCTTGCGGCTGAGGGTTGCAGGGCTGCATAGACCGCCACAGCCTCAAATGATCATCCTTGTCGTGAGCCGGTTGCTGGTCTGACCCAGTCTGAGCGAGACGGCGTCGCAAGGGAACAACTCTCTTCGTGAGCTCAAGCAAATATCTGTAAAACAAATACAGCCTCTCTTGTTGTTCATGGCGCCATGCTTGCACTGTCTCGCAACTCTCTGCTGCCAAAGGAAGACTTAAACCTGAACCCTAGACCCTTAACCTCTGACCAACCCTGAACCCTAAAGCCTAAAACCCCACCTAAGGCTCCTGGACCCTTGTAGTGAGATCCCAAACCCTAGCCCCCAAAGCGAAACCCTCTCCCAGAAAGCCCAAGACCATCTCGGGAGCCTTAGGGCAAAGCCTCTAAACCCTCCAATCCCAAAGCTCCGACACGAAACCGCCCGAACTAACATAGATCCCAGGAGAACTACCAGTGCAGTTCCCTAGAGTTTATGGGGTTTAGTGTTTAGGATCTTGTGTTTCGCATGTACAGTTACTGAATACAATTTTACGAGTACCCCAGGGACGTGATTCTACTTACCATGGCCCTTACAGCAGAGCCCTTATTACAGCTAAAAGAGCTCTTTTAGGAACCCTTAAATCGAATCCAGGGTTTCGGCTGCTTCTAGGGCGTTAGGGTGTCGGGTTCAGGACTGGCCTGAACTGAAGGTCTTTTCAAACCCTAAAGCCTATAAACTAAAACTCTGCAATGACCCCTAAACCCTAAACTCTAAAACCCTAAACCCTAAACCTGAGGCCCTGTTGCCAACCTTTGAACTTTAAACTCTACATTAACCTAGCAAACCCTTCTTCTTGTAGGTTCTTGTCATGAATCCTGATATGGAGTTTATAATAGGGACCCTACAAAAAAGTAGAGTTTGATAGGTTAAGAAGGTATAACCTTGAATCCTAAGCCCAGCCCCGTAAGCACCGGAAAGCTTTGCTTGTCTGCGAGATCCGAGGCGAATCGGCTGATGAGTTCAGCTCGACTTTCCTGAAGCGCCCTGTCTCTGATGGGTTCCTGTTTAGGGTTTCTTTCAGGGGCTTAGGGTACCTATACGGACCGCCTATAAGGGTACTCCAAAGGGTACCATTCAGGGTACCTATAGGGGTTCCTTTAAGGGATCTATACAGGTCAGAATTTTAGGTTCGAGGGTTTGCGTGGTTTGAGGTTTAGGTTTTGGCGTGGAGGGGATGTAATAGGGTTCTACATGTCGCGACAGAGATCGCCCTCTTTAGTTCGAGTTCTCAGGGAGTCGAGAGGTCTGGGATCACGTAGCTGGTCATGATTCGAATCACATGTATCCTAAAATATTTTGCTGTGAGTACTAGTACTGTCAGTACTGTTTATGCTTCTGCTGTTCATTACCATGTTACCTAATGCCACTGTGTATGATAGTTTTCTTCACCAGGGATACCATGGTCGCAATGCCTCCACTTGTGTCAAAAGCAATGCCCATGAAAACCATGCCGAACCCTTGCCTTGCAACCCACCCCTACACCTTCAACCCTTCAAGCTCCACAAAACCAAACCCTAAACGTTGAAGCCTAAAAGCCTTAAAGAGCCCTAAACTCTAATCCATCGTAGCGAAAAGCCGAGACTTGGACCTAGAGTAGGCCCTTATTCCCTTTGTAAGGGTTCAGGTTCCCTTGTAAGCCCCTTTAAACCAACACGGGCACCCTTTTGATTCCTAGGGTACTCTTGGGCCCCTGAACCCTAAACCCCTATAGATCCCTTAAAGGAACCCTTATAGTACTCTTTTAAAGAAACTCCAATCCCTCATAGCGAAAAGCCGAGAGAGCCAAACTGGAGGAGCATCGACTCCCGAACCGCCGACGAGCTGGCAGTCGCTTTGATCGCGGAGCTTTGGGTTTTTCGGGTTTGGGGTTTTGAGGGTTTAGGACATAGGGTTCAAGGTTTAGGGTCAGGGTTTTGAGGGCTTTGAGGGTTTCGGGTTTAGGGTTTTTAGGAGGGTCCTGTCCTGGTCTTGATACCCTAAACGCGAAACTCTAAACCCCCAAGGTTTCGATGGGAGGTTTCATTGGGATTAGGGTTTTGAGGGTTTAGGAGTTTACCCAAAGGGTCCTAGGTACTGTTATGGGGCATACTTCCCCAAATCATAAGAATAATTGCTCATGTAGAAACCCTACAGCCTTCTATCTATAGGTACTTTGGACCCTTTGGGTTAGGGTTTACATTTAGGGCCTATTGGGGTCCCTAGGGCTTCGGACTGGGCTTGCGCAGACCTGCGCGTCTAAGGCTGCTTCAGGGCCGGGAGTCGTGCGATTTGGATTCTTGGGGCCTTAACATGTACTACTGTTGATGGACAAAATCCTGCATGACTTTAAGGACCCTAAACTATGGGAATTATGGTCTATTCCTTATATGGGGTCATGCAGGATTTTGTCTATCCACAGTAGGACCCAGAGTAGGCCCTTATTCCCTTTTTTTAGGGGTGTAGGTTCTCTTACAACCCCCTTTAACCCAAAAAGGGCACCTTTTTTATTCCTAGGTTACCCTTGGGTCTCGTGCATCAGGATCCCCGCCAATGGCCCGTTAATGGAGCCCCTATGGTCCTAAATCGTGGGTATTTAGGGTATACTCATTAGAGGGTAGTTGGGGGCTTAACATGCAATGCGAACCCCAAGAATCTCTTTCAAATGTAAGGGCTTTAAGTTTTAATCGAACGTGAATGTCTAGAACCTCAAGAATCTCGGTTGAAAGCTTGCAGGAGCCTTTTCCAACCGTTTAGCAACTCTTTTCAGCTCCGAAAGAACGACTTGTTTCCATCAACGAGCCGTTGGAACCCGTGAAGAACAGGATGGAATCCTTTAGGAGCTATGGCCGTTGCACCCATAGCAGCAGTAGGTTTGCACATGTATAAAAACCATTCTAGAAATAGGCAGATAGAACCCCAAACCCTAAACTTCAAGTGCACATGCGGATGCTTTTCTAGTCGAGTTCCTGGGGTGCGAACGTTGCCGGTCAACCCTTGTGCTCTAGGGAAGATGTTTCGAAACATATCATGGCTACTGCATATGTTAAGGGCTATCCCTGCGGCTGCAAGCGCCTCATCATCATATCCCCAGGTTGTTGCTCATCGGCACTACTACTGTCGAAAACCTAAGCACCTAACTGACTGTTGCCTAACTTTTGGAGAATTTGGGCCCAAGAGCATTCTTGCTTGAGAGGTTTGGAGTCTGTACTGTACCAGCTTGCCCTCAACCAAACGAGGTGAGTGCTTTCACTCCCGGTGGCGAGACGCCTATCGGCCAGTGCCGTGTCAGCCAGGGGAAGGTATACCTTAGGGACCCAACAAGCACATAAGCATAAGCCTTTTGCCAGGATATCCCTCCTTATACTGGGCTCATAAGACGGGGTTCGTATAGGATATGCCTATCCGAGTGTTTGCTCGTGCATTGTTTGGCAGGCACTAGCCGTGGGTTGTAGGATTTGCAGGGAGGGAAGGGTGGACGTTGTGTTTTGGGGGCTCAGGGTTTAGAATATTTTCTTAAATTGCGCAGTTCATGACTACTATGTTCATGTGGTCTCATGTGGCTGTAGAGGAGGGTATAAGGGCAGTTCAGGGTGTCAGGGTTTAGGCTCCAGGGTGCAGGGTCTACCAGGACCCTTCGTTCGGGTGTGGGGCTGACATGTGCAACATAATTTGCGGCTTAGGGTTTAGGGTTTAGGGTCTAGGGTTTAGGGTACAGTGAGAATCAGCGTTTGTCCACACTTCGTTCTGGTTGGTCCTGGTTGGGATGCTTGCTGGTTAGTCCTGCGATGACGGTGCCGGTCTTACCCGGTACACTCGCACCGAAGCCGTCTTTGTATATATAGTTTGGACTTGTCTAGACCTTGAACAAGGCCAACCATTTGCAGCTCCCAACCAAACCCTTTGTAGATACCATAGCAAAAAGATGAGGCCCTCCACCCTCAAAATGCGGAGAACCCGGTCAAACTCAAACGATGCATTATGCAGATAGACAGATCGATAAGGGGGGAACCCAAAACGCTTTTGGGTTTCAGCGAGATCTCAAAAAATAACCAACCGAAAGCCCTAACAGCCCCAACACCCGACAGTCTCCAACACAGTACGAAAGAGGCCCTGATAGATACAGAACCCTTAGAGGAAACTCGGAGTAACATTAAATGCCAAGCCGTATAGACTTATAGACTCATAGGACACAGATATATAGAAGCCTGAAGAGGGAGCTTAGAGTAACATGAAGAATCATCACCCTTAAGCACTGAACCTTCGACCCCTAACACCAGTAACTGCTAAATGCACTAAACCTGGAACCCTACATCCTCAAACCCTCAAAACCCCTAAACCAGCACCCTCTAAACCCTAAACCGCGAAACTCCGAAACCCAAACCCCTACCTAAAGGCTCCATAGTAGTTCCTTTTTGGGGTTCATAAATAAGAATCCTATATGGTAATCTCCAAAAGGAACTACCAGAGAGCCCCTGGGTAAACCCCTAAACCAACAGCCTCTGTTGCAAGGTCCAAGCACCAGAAGCGCGCTTTGGCCGAGGAGATCCCCGTGCCCTGGCATTATAACTTAGATCTGTAAGGGCTTAGGGCTTAAGGATTCAGACCTTTTGGGTTCCTTGCAAGTTTGCTTAGGGTTTAGGGGTCTAAGCCTTAGGGTTTAGGGTTTAGGGGTCTAGGGCTTAGGGGTTTAGGGTTTACTTAGATCCCCAATACCCAAGCTTTAATCTTTTTTGGTTTCTTGTCGTTTAGTAGGAATCGGAAAGTTTAACCTTTGATTTCTGTGGCTTATTGGGGGAGTAAGTTATAAGGGCTTTTACGACTCTTAGGAGGTTAGGGCTTCTATTATGGGCTTAGGGGCGTTCGGGCTGAATTATAGGGCTTTTAGGGGTTTTAAGGGGGTTAGGGCTTATACGGCTTTTCGGGGTTTAGGGTTTAGGAGGTTCGGGTTCAGAGGGCTATTGTTGCTTAGGGCTTTCGGGCTTCAGGGCATCAGGGGTGTATGAGGTTTGTACATTCTAGCCGATTCTAGCATGTTAGGTTTTATAGAGCTTTTAAGGTTTGTAAATGGGGCAATTTTCATTTGCAGTTTATGGAGCAGTTTAGGGCTTCAAAGGAAAGTTTTAGGGGAAGGATTTTACGGGTCAGGGATGGTCGGGGTGTAGGCTTCAGGGATTTGGGTTGAGGATGCTTTAGAGTTTATGCTTCAGAGCATTCAGGGTGTAGGGTTGCGTTTAGGGAGTCCTTGGGATTGTAGGGTGTGTTCATACGTGTTTTGTTTGTTCGCGGGGAGATAGCCTCCTTTATTCCAGCTTTGTCTCAAGTGCAAGGGCTTGTTCTCGCTGTCTTTTTTGGGTGCATTCCTCACATCTGCTAAACCCTAAACCCTAAACCCTAAACCCTAAACCCTAAACCGACTAGGCACCCTCAGATCTATTCCGAAACCCAAAATGTCAACCCTCAACCCGGAAGTCCCGCAGAAACCCTGAAACCTTAAACCCTAAGCCCACAAACCCTAAACACAAATCCCCCAACTCAGGGTCCCTAAACCCCTAAAGAGATCCTGATTTATAGAGTATCCTTGAAGGGACCCTTACCTTAACCCTGAATAACCTACCTTTTTCGGGTTCCTGATTATGATTTCCGTATATAAATCCTGAAGAGGTAGGTTAGTCCGGGTTAAGGTACAGAGTATCCATGAAGGGACCCTTCTTTATAAAAGTGCGTGAGGTCTGGATTCCTGACAAGTGCACCCAGTGCAACCTCTGCAGCGTGGTCTGCCCCCATGCCGTGGCCGGAAACTCGGTGCTTTGGGGCTTGAGGGGCTCAGGGATAGGGTTCAGGGTTTAGGGGTTCAGGGCTTAGGGTGTGGGGTTTAGGGGTTTAGGGTTTACTTAGATCCCCAATACCCAATACCCAACCTTTAAGCTTCTTGGGCTCTTGTAGTTTAGTAGGAATCGGAAAGTTTAAGCTTTTGTTTCAGTGGCTTATTGGGGTAGGGTTTAGGGGTCGGGATTTTGGGGGTGTGATGCTTTGAGGTTTGGGGGTCTAGGGCTTCATTGTCAGCCTTCTTGACCGTAAAGTTTATGCCGGGGGGGTGGTGTTCCAAGATTGAAAGGCGCGTTTATCTTGCTGCAAGTATACCCTAGACCCTATAGACCCTTAAACCTAAACCCTGTAGACCCTTGACCTCTAAACCCCCGAGACCCTAAAACCCTAAACCCTATAGGCCCTTCCACTGTAAACCTTATAGACCCTTAAACCCTAAAGCCTTTTGACCCTTAAACCCTAAACCCCATAGACCCTTGAACCCCAAACCATAAAGCAAACTCTAAACCCCTACACCCCTGAACCCTAAACCTATATCCTTAAAGGAATCCTTGTACATCCCTTTAAAGGAACCAACGAGCCCTTATAGATCCTTTTAAAGGAGCCCGTATAGATCCCTGTAAAGGAACGGTAAACCCTATAGACCCTGCATCTAGGTTTCAGCCGCCCCCCACTTCCGGGGGACGCAGTGCCCTTCACCTAAGGGTCCAAAGGACCTTCTTGTAATAATTAGGTACAGGGTTTAGGGGTTTGGGCTTTTGCGGTTTAAAGTTTAGGTGCTGAGTAGTACCTTGTTGCCCTTTTTCGTTTCGGGTTTCGTCATCAACACTGAGCACTGGAAAAAAAGGGTACCCTTATTCTCAAGGGGCGACCCAGGAACCTAACACATATGATTTCATCACGAGGCAGTCTTAGATACTGGATACTGCCCCCACTCAGTAAAGCTAAATATTCTCGTTGACATAAATAAGAACGGCATCCTCATTTTCGATTGCTACTGTACCTTAAACCCCATAGAGCCTTAAACCCTATAGCCCTATAAACCCTCAGACCCTAAACCCTGATTTTCGACGGTCACTGCATCGGGGGCAGCACCTAACCTAGATGGGAGTTTCCGAAAATAGGGGACCCTAATATAATCCCCTAAATACTAGGATCCTTATTATAAGAACCCTACAACCTAAAGATCAGGTACCCCCGAATTTTCGGAAACTCCCCAAAAACCCTAAACCCCAAACCCTATATACCCCTTACAGGACCCCTTAAAGGAACCCGATCCCTTCAAAGGTACCCCTAACTTTCGGAAACTGCCACATATCCTAGGACCCAGGCTCGACCGACACTCCGCAATCAAGGGCCCAACTTGGAGGATCATGGGACTTAGTAACGGTTAATGATATAGATGCTGCATTGCCTCAATGACCCCAAACCATGGGAATTATGGTATATTCCTTATTATGGGTCATGCAGGATTGATATCATCAACCGAAGTAGGGTTATAAGTACCCTAATAAGGGCCATAAGCAAGTGTAATTATAGTTCCCTCATTTATAGCCCTAGTTACAAAGTCCCATGATCCTCCAAGAAGAGGGTCCATATACACTAGAATTATGGAGTTAGGCCCCAAAAAGACCATCCTGCTAATTTTATAATGGTAGTGTCTATGGACCTTGTGGGGGGTATTCCGGAAGACAAAGTAGGGATCGCCAAGACCGCAGCTTTGGAGGGTTCATTTAAAGAGTCTCCTTAACAGTTTAGGGCTCAGGGTTCTTGTAAGCGGCTCCTTGCGTTTTGGGCGTAGGGCTTGTAAACTAGAGGCTTGCAACCATCCTTCTTCAAGGCTGACGATTTCGATCGTGAAGATCTTGCCGCACGACGATGGACCGACCAACAGAAATTGGCCTGCGCTATTTCCTGCCCCAACCTCCACAAAGCAATGCCCAGCATCTAGAGATCCCATGATCCGCCACAGGCTGCAGGAAACGAACGCACCTTAAGCAGCTGATCGCTGTGATCCGCGCTTCACATGGAAGCCTAAAGGCAACTCCAGAAAGTTGGAACATGGTTTCAGGGTAGGATACCTTATACTTTACCATAAAGGGTTTAGGATAATCATCTTCCAACTTTCTGGCTTTTACTTTTGCAGCTTTTGCTTTTGTGAGGTGTGTAACCAAGTCATAACGTGCTGCGGTTTGTTTTGCTTTGCTTGTCTGTGTTGTTAGAGACGTTGCCACTGTTGTGGAGAAAGAGGCACGGCAGCGATGGAGCCTTGTGAATTGGACGAAAATCCAAGGCTTTTATCCTTTGTGGCTGAGTATGTAACCTTTACCCTTTTGGGGCTTATATAAACCTTAAACCCTAAACCAAAAACAATAATTGCAAAGGTTATCCATTTTGGGCTAGAGGAAACGAGGCGCCAAGTATCGGCCATTCGGGTGATCCTTGAACCCGTGCTTTAGGGCGAGTGTAAAACCCTAAGCCCTACACGGGGGGTACTCTGCGAGGTTCGACCCTTCCTGCTGGACAAGAAGGAGATGGAGGCCGGATGAATCGGAGTTTAAAGTTTCGGATTTAGGGCTTTTTCGGACTGAGGGTGTAGGGGTTTAGGATTTACAGTCCAGAGATCTAGGCAGTTGCAGAGTTAGGCTTTTCTTCGTTGGGCGTATCGGGGGTTAAGGTCTTCCATGTAAGCCCTAAACTCTTCACCCTTAGAACCCTAAACCCAAAGCCCTTAACCCTAAACCCTGAACCCAAGGCCCTAAACCCTAAACCCAAAGCCCTAGAGCCTGAACCTTCAGCCCTAAATCCTAAACCCCTACACCCTCAACAGTGAACCCCTAAAACCTTCCAAGCCCGAAACCAGCTTATAACTTGGAGAACTACCCATACCCTGAACTCTAAGCCCTAAACCCTGCATCGCTTAAATACCTCAAAGGGGACCCTAACTTAGAGAACTACCCACATGGTATTCTTATGGAAGCACCTCTCGAAACCCAGAAACCCCTCCAGATCCCTTTAAGGGGCCTCTCAAAGGAACCCTGTAAGGCACCCTACTAGCTAAGTCCCATGACCCTTCAAGCATAACTTAGAAAACGACCGACATAGCCCAGAGCCTCCAAAACGCCTTGACGAAGGAATATACCTCAAATAACAATAGGATCCCTGATATAGTTTAAGGTACATTCCTTAAAGCGATCTCGGAGCATTTGGCGTCTTCGGTTTTTGGGATTCTGGAAACAGTGGGATCTTTGGGCTTTCCTGGACCCTAAGGAACCTGCCTTTTTAGGGTTCCCTCATATGATTTCTTCATATAAGTCCTTAAAAAGGTAGGTTACTTGGGATCTTAGAGCTTTGGGTTTCGGGGTGTAGGATTTTCAGGGCTTGGGGTTTAGGGTGTAGGGTAAATTGAAAGGGGGGTCCGTTGTATATGGAGCTGTGTGGCATCAACGTTCAGCATGCTTGTGGAGTCGGCTCCTCTTGGCCGGAGTGAAAGCCTTCGAGGTCCGCAAATATCCACTTGGGCAAGTACCCCACTTTCGCTGCGGGACAACACTTATTTCTCATCGAGACTCCCGGCCGGGGTTCCACGCAGGATGCTGACAGCGCCATGGACGTCGGTGCACCGCCCGAGGCTTTTCATTGGCGTGGTTCGGTTCAGCGGCTGCTTGGCATGTATGCAGTGACTGGAGCCATGGCCATTGCAGCAGCTTGTACAGCCAAGAAAGTTGGCGAGGCGCTGCAACGAGTGGACCATGCAGTCTACATGTCCCTAAACCCTAAGCCGCTAGTGCGGATTCTACCGACGCTAGGCGGAAAAAGGTGCTCAAACAAACCCTAAACCCTAAAACCGAAGACAATGCTCGGCTGGCAGCGTCCAAGTATTACTTCTGGGGGCCTAAACAGGGATCCTCATGTTGAGAACTACCCAGACCCCCGGAGAAATTGGGAAGGTAGATCCCCTAATTTGGGGCCCTATACTAATAAGGGTACTTTACCGGTACCCGTATTAAGGGATGTGCTTTTTGGATCCTCCCGGAGGTCTGGGTACCCAGTACACCTCGAAATGCGCTTAAGCTCCGGAAGAACCCCGAAATCCCAAGCAAGATCCAAGCGCCCAAGATCCTTCATTTAGAAGTCTGAGTACTGGGAATATAGGGTAGGATTTTAAAGTCTGACAGAGTGCAACAGAGTAGGCTTCCGTAATATGAGCATAATTCGCATAATATCACATACCCCAAAACCTTATTCTAGTTACCCGGGCCCCTCACGTAATCCTTCAGAGGGGCCCCTTTAAAGTCATCCTTGAAAAGGAGCTGGCGTAGAATATCCCGAAATCTCTATGAGGGATTTAGGGTTCAGATTGAATGTGTGCCATTTCACGGTAGACAACAATCGAAAACTCCAAAACCCGAAACCCCTAAACCCCCTGAGCCCTGAACCCTCAACCCCCAAAACCGCTTCAACCCCAAACCGCACGGGCTTTAAAGCCCTGAAGCCCCAAGCTCCACAAGCCCCTAAACCCCTAAGCCCTAAACCTCTAAACCCTAAACCTTAAAACCCTGCACCCTAAACTCCTGTTCCCTAAACCCTAAACCCAGCCCTCACCCCTAAACCCTTAAGCCCCTAAAGCACAACTCCTCTCGTCGGGGCCGCCTCCGAAACGAAAAAAAACCCCAAACCCCTGAACCCTACATCTTCCGAAAGTTAGGGGTTCACCTTTAAAGGGATCTATTAAGGGTTCCTTCAAGGGTTCCTATAGGGGATCTATAGGGTTTAGGGTTTAAAGTTTCCGAAAATTAAGGGTACCTACTTTTGGGGTCCTTATAAAAAGGATCCTACTACTTGGGGTGCTATAGTAGGGTCGCCTATTTCGGAAGCCCCAAACCCTGAACCCTACATCCTACTTGGAGGATCATGGGACGTAGTAACAAGGGCAGAAGGTTCCTTAAAGGGTTCCTTTAAGAGACCTATAAGGGTTACTATAAGGATTCCATACGGGTTTAGGGGAGTATCTCAGGTTGTAAGTGCCGTAATTGGTGTTATAAGTGTAGATACCTTGCTTGTAAGCCTCGTTACTAAGTCCCATGATCCCCCAAGTAGCCCCAAACCATATAAACCGTAAACCCCGAAAACGTAAACCCTTAACCCCTAAACGGGATAAACCCAAGCCCTAAATTACCCGTAATAGAGCCCTAGACCCCTGAACCCTCAACCATGTAATCCCTAAACCCCTAAACCCCAAGCCCCCGGAGCCTAAATCCCTGAACCCTAAACCCTAAATCATATAAGCCCTAAACCCCTAAACCCTAACCACTAATCCCGAAACCATTTTATAATAAAGACCCTAACCCCTAAACCCTAAACTCTGACCCCTAAACCCTACCTACTTAACCCCAAATAACCCTGCGGTTTAAGACCTATACAAAAACATGTTAGGGAAGGTAGGTTATTTGGGGCCCACGCAAACCCTTAACCCTTAAACCCCCAACCTCTAAACCCCTAACCCATAAACCCCTAAACCCTCAACCCCTGAAGCACATCTCCTCTCTTCGAGGCCGCCCCTGAGGGCTTCCAGGCGCGCAAGGCCAAGGGCGGAGACCTTGGAGGTGCCTCGGAGTTTGGATTGGGTTGAAAAGGGTCCCCTGAAAGGGGTGCTTTAAGGGTTCTAGGGGGTTCTATAGGGTCGGGTTTTCGGAGTTTGGAGTTTGGAGGACCACGGGACTTGGTAAGAAAGGAGGGGTTCCTTAAAGGGATCTATAAGCGCTTTATGATGGATGTATGGGACTTCGTAAGTAAGATTATAAGTGCCTTATTCGGGGTTACAGGTAGTTATAAGTTTATAGTTCCCTTACTTACAACCCTAGTTCCTAAGTCCCCTGATCCTTTAAGTGGAGTTCTGCTGCGACAGGGTTTGAGTTTCAGGGTTCCTTTGAGGGTCCTTTAAGGGGTCCTTCGAGGGTCAGGGTTCTATAGGGTTTAGGGTTTAGAGTTCAGGGGATTTAGGGTTTATATGGTTCAGAGTTTTGCTTCTTAAAGGATCGTGGGACTTCGTAACTAGGGTTCCTTTAAGGGATCTATATGGCTTACGGTACGATTAAGGGTTTCTATATGGGTTTTGGGAGGTATTGACGGGTTCACGGGACTTAGTAACTACGGTTTTCAGTCAGATAACTATACTGATAACTACTTATAGCTCCAATTATTGCTTTAATAAAGTACTTATAACCTGACTTACTACGTCCCATGATCCTCCAAGTAGGTTTGGGGTTTCGGAGTCCCTTTAGGGGTTCCTTTAAGTCGTTTAGGGCTTCTATAGGATTTAGTCTTTAGGGTTCTTAGGATTTAGGTTTCAGTGTTTAGACTTAGGGGTCTAGGGCTTATATGGTTTAGGGTTTAGGGTTTGTATGGTTTAGAGTTCTGGGGTTTTGGGTTTATAAGGTTTAGGGTTTAGACGCTTAGGGTCCCGACTTTCGCTGGTGTGAAAAGCATCGTGGCCAGAAGTTGCTCTGTCTGCTGGAGCACATGAGCAGCCGCGGCAGGAAGAGGCGTGCCTTGTCGGACATCGGCGCGGTCACTGCGCACGGCGCAGCTGGAGAGCGCGCTTTACATCAGCATTTCGCAAAGCAAAACATGAACGAAGAGGCAAACTTGGACCCGGAACGGATTCCGGATCCTCGTCTTCATCATTGACGAGCCAAGAGTACAGCGTGATGGTTGCGACCGCCGCAGCCAATGCGCAGAAGAAGCGCAAAACAGTGCGAGCTGCATCTTCTCAGAAGGAGCTGGATTTGGCAGCGCAGCGCATGAAGCCCGATGTCTCTATAGCTAGAACTGTGTGGCATCAACGTTCAGCATCCTTGTGGAGTCGGGTCATCCTGGCCGGGGCGACAGCCGTCGAGGTCCGCAAATATCCACTTGGCAGGTACTATAGGGTCCTTAGTAATTGGGTCTTGGGACCCATTATACGATATTATAATAAGGAACCCCGAAAATAGAAAAGGTGATTATTATGGCACCACAATTATCCCAGTTTCGTTGTGGGACAAGAATTATTTAATCGAGACTCTTGGCCGGCTTCTAGATGTGTTTCGTCTTAGGCTTCTGTAGGATCTGTGTAAACCCTAAGCCTTAAACCCCGAAGCCATAAACCCTAAAGCAAGAAACCCTAAACCCCTAAGCCCCTAAACCCTAAACCTGAAACACTAAACCTTAGACCCATCCAAGTATCTTGTAGGATTTGCGTAAGTATTATAGAGGCCTTACTATTGTGGGGGTTCCTTATGACAACTATAGTATAATATGCCCTCAAACCCTATTCTAATTATTAAGGCCCCTGTATCATAGAACCCTATTCTAGATCCCCTATAGATCCCCTTTACAACAACCCTTTAAAGGAGCCGTATTCTAACTGTTAAGGCCCCTTTTGTATGTGGGTTGGGTTTGAGGCTTCGGGATTTAGGAGTCGCTGGGTTCTGGAGTGTGATACTCGAATACTTGTTTTTAGACTTTTTAAAGGAGCCCGCTTGAAATACACGTTTATACTCAGTTTCCTTTTGGACCTGTTCTTCAAGGAACCATATTGAAATAAAAGTCTATACTTTATCTCCCTGGTTACTTAAGTCCAGAACTAGGGCCGGGAGGAAGCGCGGTCCTTGCGGATACTCGCGCCCTGTTGGTTCCCGGAGGACAAACTCACAGCTGCTGGTCCCAGCTTCCGGATTTAGTGTGCACGTCGAGCCCATTTAAAATGTATGCCAAATTCAGCACCCTGTCTAGGTGTAATTATGGCCAATTAGTTGACCTAGTTTTTGGGCTTGAGCAGGGCTTGCAGCAGCCTTTTCAGGCTTGAACTACAGCATTCAGCTTGCCCCGTACGACTGCACGGGCTGTGCCGTGTGCGTTGAGTGCCTTGGCTGCTTTTTGCCACCATCCCAAACCCTAAACCGCAACAACACTTACACTTAATTTAAACCTTGAGACACTTACCCTAAGCCCCTACTTGAAGGATCAGTATACGTACCTTAATTTGAAGTTATAAGTATAGATACTTTACTTATAACTCTAGTTACTAAGTCCCATGATCTTTTAAGTAAGCCTTAAGCTCCTTCAACCTTAACCCTAAGCCCCGTAAGCCCTACGCCCAAAAGTCAGGACTTCTCCTCCCGGATCCTTAGAGAACATGAAGTGCAGAGGGGTGTGGAACCGGGGCCGTACGCCCTAAACCTTCCACCTTGGGCCTGAGCATGTGGGAGTTTCCGAAAATAGGGGACGTAATATAGCACCCTGAATAGTAGCATCCTTATAAGTCCTTGTTATAAGGGCCCCAAAAAAGGTAGGCCTAATTTTGTGAAACTCCCACGTAGGTGTAGAGTCTACCTATGTCTCCATTGTAGTTTGCTTTTTTGGTTAACCAAGTTTGAGGTTAGGCTCCTATAAGGGAAATTTGGGTAACCACAAAAAAAGGATGGAAAATGTAGGTAGGTTTATTCAGGAATTCAAAGATGGACCATATAAGAGGATACGAGGGGGTTTTCCCGTTGCTTTGGGGGAAACAGTAGACTCCCTGGTGCAAATTGCCATAACCTTCCATAGCAGCAGAGAACAGTTGCTTGTCATGTGAATACTTGGGCTTCGGGGACTAGTAGCTCTTTCTGTCTCGCTTTATGAAAGGGTCCATATACGTATGCAATATGTACCTTGGTTTCTCTAGGGGTACCTCAATGTTGGGGTAGAGGCTCGAGGACTCTGGGTTTCAGGATTGACTGGTGTTTGCTGACCACCTTTTCCCAAAGAATCCAAAGTACCAATATAGTAGAATGTAGGGTTTCTATATTAGGAAATGTTATTGTGAGTTGGGGAAGTATTCCCCATAACAGTACCTGGGACCCTTTCGGTTTCACAATGCTAAAGCCTTGAATCCCAACGCCTTCAAGGCCCCTCAAGCCTTCCACAGCCCGAGCCCGAAGATTCGATAAGCCCTCATCCATGATGCTTAGGGTTTTGGGTATGGGGTGTAGGGTTTTAGGTTTGGGGGTTTAGGGTTTAGGACTGGGGTTTACTTACTTTGGTTAGTAGGGAATGCAAGAATGGTAGTCATAGTAGATATAATTGTACCCCATTCCTCCATTCCCTACTAACCAAAGGTAAGTTATAGGATTATTAAGGCCCCTATATTATAGTACCCTTATAGATCCCTTATAGACCCCTTTATAAGGCCCCTTCCATTCCCTACTAACCAAAGGTGAGTTTAGGGGTTAGGGGTCTAAAGCCTGCACGGCACCCTGACCTCTCAACGTTACCATACGGAGCTCCAGAGCTTCAGAACGAGCCCTCGATGCTCGAAGCATCTCCCTAAAGCCCTAAACCCTAAACCCCTTAAAAAAAAATAATAACCCCAAAATCCTTAAACCCTATACACCCTAAACCCCTAAAGCCTAAACCCCTAAACCCTAAACCCTAACAGATGCTCTCTGGATCCCACAGCCCTCAACTCAAAGCCCCTACAGCCTAAGCCCTTCTTAACCCGTAACTCCCCTAAACCCCATAGTGCTCCTTTAGGTACCCTTAGAGGAGGCACTAAAGAATCCTAAGCCACGCCCCCCAACCCAGGATGTGCCCAGACGATGCTCTGATCATGGAGCCTCCCAGCCACTCCCAGCAGAAGTTCAACGACCACTGGGAGTACTCCCTGAATCAGGCCTATAGGGTTCCTTTTAAAGGGTTTAGGGTTTAGGGCCCTAGGGTTCGAGGGTTTAAGGCTTAGGGCCCTCGGGCTTGGGGTTTCGGGGTTGAGGGTTTGGGGTTCCAGGGTTTAGGGTTTAGGGCCCTAGGTTTAAGGCCCTCGGGGATTAGGGGTTTAGGGTTTGGGGTCCTAGGTTCCTTTAAGGGAAACTGTAGGGCTACTATAGGGATTGAGGGATTTAGGGGCTTAAATGGTTACCTATACTGTTTTGGGGGCGTTCCCTATGATAACTATAATGTAATCTGCCCCAAAGCCATATATTAACACCTTCCCCAACCTGGTCTCCAGTGTAGTTCCTTGTTTTGGTGCAACAAATATGAAAATTAGGATCCTATATGGTAGTCCCCAAAAGGAACTGCAATGGGGACCATAGGTAGAAGCTAGCAGTTCTGGTGCCACCTAGTCTGTTTAGCTAGATGTTCTGGGATCTGTGATCACGAAGCTTGCAGTGGACCCAGTGTAGACTGCTGTCATTCCTTAAGTAGAACATCCGTTGAGGTTTTTTTTGTGGCAGGTTCGTTGTAGACGTATTTCGCAAGTGTATCATGCTCAGAAGTCGTCGCGGTCGTTGTTGATTTTTTGTCGCCCTCATCGTCGTAGAGATCCGCACAGAACCCTCATGGAGCCTTTGTAGGGCCCTCATAGCAGCAGTATACCGTGATCCTCCGGGGGGAAGGTGTCTGTGAAAGACAACCTCATGGAGAAGACCTCCGTGAAGGGCTCTCAGCAACTCGGACGATGCCGAGGTGTTTCTTCTAGGGCTCTTTCAAAGATTTCTGTTACCTGGTTGAGGCTTAGGGTTTAGTGTTTGAGGTTTGGGGTTAGATGTAAGGCTGCGACAGGGGCCCCGAGAACCAGTGTTCGGGGCCCCCAAAGTCTACCCTAACCCGCAATGTGAGATAGGGTTTAGGGCTTAGGGTTTAGGGTTTAGGGCATTGATTAGCAACACGGTTCTTCGGATCCTGTTCAATTTATGAAGTCTGGTGCTGGAGTTCCCTGACCCAGACATGCCTACACCAATCCTGGCACTATGCGTGGCTATACCCTGAAGGCGACTGCTAATGGTAGGGTTTAGGGTTTAGGGAGCGAGTTGTATGGTGAAGCTGTCAAACCGTACCTAGAGAAACCAAGGACATACCCAAAAGACTTGACACATCTACTTGCTGTCGTTCATAATGCAGTTCGGGTGCTCAAGGTGCAATATATGTGCAACTTCAGTGACTGCACTTTCGACTTATAGACCTGAAGCTCGGCAATCGCAAGATCGCAACATCGTTCAATCATGACACTGATGTGCATGTATGCATGCATGCACGCAAGCACGCACGCAGGCATGCACGCAGGCAGGAAGGCATGGATGCATGCATGGCTGGATGGATGAATAGACGGTGGATGGATGGATGTATGTATGGATGGATGGATGGATGGATGGATGGATGATGGATGGATGGATGTGTGGATGTGTATATACACACACAGTGTAGGGGTCGAATAGTATGAATTCGCAGCTTTGAGCCTTAAGCCCAATACTCAAAATCCTAAACCCTAAACGGAGCTTGTCACAGGAACGTTTAGGTTTGTTCTGTGTCAGTTATGCGGCTGAGGTTCCAGGAGCCTCTCATTGAGTTCAGCCACTTGTCAGCACTTGGAAGGTAAAAGGTTTAGGGTCTAGGGGTTTAGGGTTTAGAGTTTGGTCAGCCACTTGGAGGTCAATCGAAGGTATCCCTGGTTGCCCAGATAACCTTTCATTTGGGCCGTTAATGTTCTGGTCTGAACCGTTTGCAATTATCCCCCGTTTCGATCCTTGTTACATTAAATTAAACTACCATAACCTACATCTCTGTGGGTTCTTATTGGGAACCTCAAAATAGAATTTGTCGAGGCGAAAAGCAGGTTTTGGTAGTTGACACCGAGGAACCCTCTTCTACTTAAATGCTCAGACACTTGTCTTTCCCAAAGGGTCCGAAGTGCCTATATAGTAGAGTATAGGGTGTGCATACCAGGAGTTACTATTATGGCTATTATGGTTTGGGGACGTATCCACCATGACTTTACCTAGGACCCTTTGGGTTTGGGGTTTGCATGATCTGGGTTTACCGGGGTTTCCTAACATTCCCAAAGGGTCCAAAGTACCTATAAAGTAGAATGTAGGGTTTCTATATTAGGAACTACTGTTATGATTTGGGAGAGTATTTCCCATAACAATACCTAGGACCGTTAGGGATTGCCGCCAAGCTGCGGAGATTCCTGGAGAAGTTGCCGGTCGACTGTCGACCGGATTATCCCACCAGGAATCCCGACTGGGACGATGCTCGGCCCTAAACCCTCAACCCCTAACCCCTAAACCCCTAAACCCTAAACCCCTAAACGCTAAACCTAACCCCTAAACCCTAAACCCTCCGCCGGTCGCCAACACCGGCCTGAAAGAAGTCCAGCAGAAAGTCTTGGCATCGTCGCCAGTTGTCTTCATGGTGCTGAATCACTTGGCGGTCGACTGGAGAAGTTGGGCAGAGCTTGGGATGCACTAAACTAGTGAGCCTGTGTGCAGCCAAGAACATAAGTGCACTCTTTGGACACGGAACACGAAGCCGGTCGCATCCACTGCCTGATTATCGTGTTCCGCTGGTGCCGCCACGCTTTGTCGTGGCACGCGTCGGTCCCGAGTCGGCCCTGGACCCTAAACCCCTAGGCCCTGAGCCCTCAGAGCCCTAAAAACCCTACCCTAAGGGTCCAAGTACCCCCTCGCTAAGCAATATCCTAGGGGGCCACACAAAGAAACGCAGAACTTACCCTACGCAAAGCCAAGGATCCAAGGGGGCTACAGAGGGATAAACATGCTTGAGATATTGAACTTATTGAACCATAAAGTCAAGTTTTCGAGCTCTCCTGGCAACACCTTACGAGCTCGAATCTCTTGAATACAAAGAAGAGAACACAAACGAACCTAAACCCCAACCCCTACACAATGAACCCTAAAGCCCTAAACCCGAAGCCCGAACAGCGGCAGCCCCAATATTCATATACTCTCCGAATAAAGCAACCTACATAACTACTATCCTAAATCCACTCACCCCGTAAACCTGAATATCGTCTAAACCCTAAACCCACGTCGCTCCTTATTGGGTCCTTTGGACCCTTACCTGGAGGATCATGGGACGTAGTAACCAGGGTTATAAGTAAGGTAACTATACTATACTTATAATTTACTTCTATTTACGAGTTTATAGCCCCAATTTTGGTACTTGTAGCCTTACTTACTAGTACGAAGTCCCATACACCCCTTATAAAACTCTTATGGATTTCTTGAAGGAACGCTTTAAGGGATCCTCCTCAAGAGTAGCCTTAAGGGTCCAAAGAACCCAATAATTAGGTACTCGGTTTTAGGATAGTAGTTATGTAGGTTACTATTTTGGAGAGTATACGACAATTAGCTACTTGGACCCTTAGGCTAGGGCATAGCCTTAATTACTAGTACGAAGTCCCATACACCCCTTATAATAAAACTCTTATGGATCCCTTTAAGGAACCCTGTAAGGGATTATAACACTCCTATGGATCCCTTTAAGGAACCCTTTAAGAAGGATCCTCAGAAGTAGGGGGCAAAGCCCAGGCGGCGCCTGCTCCGGCTGTGGTGAGACGCCCTACGTCAAGCTGCTGACGCAGATGTTCGGCGACCGCAACCTGGTGCTCTTAGGGTTTGGCGCCTTGGGGGGTAATGTAGGAGCCTTAATATTATTTTGGGGGCTATGTAATGCAGTTATTGTTCGATGGGCTAAGTCTTAAGGCCCCTATGCTGGGGTTGTAGGTTTGAGGTTTAGGGGCTTCGGTGTTCGGGGTTTAGCAACCTGGTGCTCCTACCTTAAGGCTCGGACGATTCACATTTTAAGGCTTTCTGGGTCCGAAGACCATACTATATACGGCTTCTGGGCCATTTTGCATCTTAGGGTTCCGGTTTAAGGTTTAGGGGTTTCCCCTCAGTGTTCTCTCAGGCTAGGAGTTCTAAGGTTTTGTTTTAAGGGTTCTCTGAGGTGGTTATGGATTCGGTGCTTTTGGGATTTATGTTTGCAAGTGCAACTTGGTATCCGTGCTATAAGGATTTTTCAGGCTGTTCGGGCTAAGAGCTCCCTTGGCTCCTCTACCCAGACCCCTGGGAGGATCCAAAAAGTAGATCTCTTAATTGGGGTTCCTATAAAGGACCCTTGTTTGTATGGTACACCCCATAAAGTTGGAATCCGGATAAAGGTCAAATAGTGCTGGGATTCTTTTTGAATTACTCTTAAGGATTGAGGCTATTGGGTTTCCAACTTTTGGGCTTCTACTGTATAGGGCCCCAAATTAGGGAATCTACTTTGAAGATCCTCCCGGCCGGAGCTTGCCAACCAGAGGAAGTCAAGGGTTAGGGTTCGAATGTCGTTTACATCGTTTTTCTCACACCCCAAGGGTCCAAGTAGTCCTTGTATTTATGTTTTTTTATACGTGTATAAAAGGCCTTAAAATCCTGTAATAGGGGGTAACTGGGACTCTGTGGGACAGAGTTTGGCTTGTGGTCCATTTGGTGTAGGGGTTGTTATCAAGTTCAATGCTTTGATGGGATTCAACAGCTTAGAAGTGCGGGCTGCAGGGTGTAAGGTTGAGGGTTTAGGGCTTGTAAGGTCTTGGGCATTAAAGTCAATAAACCCTGAACCCTAAACCCCTAAACCCTGAACCCTGAACCCCTAAACTTCTACAATCCTTAATTCCGCAAAGCTCCACTGTACCACCCGGCCCTATCCTTCAAGAACCCCAAGCTAGCCCTACAGTAACTCTGTAGTACCCCGAAAAGCCCAAGGGCTGTTTAGGAAAGTTTAGGGTGTCAGGTTTAGATTTAATAGGGCTTATGGGTTTAGGTTGTTTGTAGGGCTTTAGGTGCATATGTTGGGCCTGCAACCAAGGCATGGTCATTGCCAACAGCAGTGGCTGCTCCTCCGCCACTTGGGCTTCGTATACATCCTGAAAGACGACCACGAACCCACCCATACGAAGAATATGCCATCGTCCCCTAAGGGTCCAAGTACCCAAATAGTAGGGTTTCAAATCCCAAAAACCATTCAGAGTATGGACTTTGGGGCCCTAAAACCCTACTATTTGGGTACTTGGACCCTCTGGGTTAGGGTTCCCTAAACCCTAAACCCTAAAACCCTACTATTTGGGTACTTACCCTCTGGGGTCTATAGCTTGCAAAGTATCAGAGCCTAGGGTTTTGCCGCATCTTAGAGGTGCCCCTAAAACCGAACTACAGGCACGACAACGTCGTCTGAAAGCCTGATGAGACTACAGGCACTATAAAGTCACTCAAGCTCTGGGCCGGCTCCTGTTAAATCCTTATCGATCCCTAAACCCTAAGCCCCAAAGCCTTAAAACCTAACCGGACCTAAACTGCCTAAACCCTGAAGCCTTTAGACCTAAACACTACAGCCTCAAACCTAAACCCCTAAACCCCAAACGCCTTAACCCTAGGCTTCAGACCTAAACCCTAAACGCCTAAATCCTAAAGCCGCAATCGCAAGGTCTGGGGCGGCTCGTATGGCCTCAGCCCATTCCGCAAGAATCGACACGGCCAAGGCCGCCTATCCTATCCTCGGGTTTCGGGGTGAAGGTTTAGGGTTTATGTAGGATCCTTTTAAAGTTCCTGTAGGGTTTAGTATGCATGGTGGCGAACAAGGCCCAAGGTCAAGAGAGATTGGGGGTTGCAGCATCTTCGCTTCTAAATACCAGGCGTGCGTCAGTTACATGGCCTCGGTTCGACCCGATGGAGTTTCGGCATCTATACATGATTATCCCTGTTATCCCGACTGAACACAGACCATTCCACAGCGTCCTTAGCATGTCGGCACTTCATTCCGAGCTCCCTGAAGCCGTAAACCACTAAACCCTAAATCCCCCAAAGCCAAAACCCCTAAACCCGGAACCCTGAGGAAAGTAGCTTCTGGCAGGTGGAGATTGGAAGGGTCTTGAGAGCCCGAAAGCCAAACCAAACCCTTAGAGCAGAGGTGGTTTGGGTTTAGGGTTTCGGGTTTAGGGGAGTTTGGGTTTAGGGTTTAGGGGTTTGGTGGGGGTAGGGTTTAGGGTTTTGGGGTTTGGCTTGGTTGGTTGCTTGGTTCAGGGTTTAGGGGGTTCAGTAGGGTGTAGCGTTTAGGGCCCAGGGTAGAGCAACACAGCCTTTCTGCTTGGCCTCGTCTACCATACATCACTAGAGCTGTGATTGAACTTGGAATTTCCTCGGTCTCGTATGGTGTGGTCATTGCAGAAACGCTCAAGAATTTTGGGCCTAGAAAGCTACGTACAGCCTCCATTGTAGCTCCTCTTCTTCGGTTACCCAAAATTTATACTATAGGATCCTAACCTTAACCAAAAAAGGAAACTATATAAAATGGAGTCTATAGGTAAAGCTATTGAGGCCGTTTCAGCTTCTAGGGTTCGGGATTTATTGTTCAAGGTTGTTTTCGGGTGCGGGGTTCAGGCTGGGTGCTTGTCAAGGAATTTGGGGGTTTCCGAGAATAGGGGACCCTAATATAGTACCCTAAATGGTAGGATCCTTATTATAAGGACCCCCAAATAAGGTACCCCTATTTTCGGAAACTCCCATTTAGGTTAAGCTAAATAAAGAAACCATACTAGATACTAGTTAACAAAGAGCCCTGCTATGGTAACCGAAATAAAGCTCGTTAACAAGAACCCAGCTGAGACCCCCTAAATCCTAAACCCTAGTGTAAAGGAGCCCTTTGCAGATCCCCTTAAACCCTTTCCGAGGAACTCTTTTAAGACCAGCCTGAGCGGTCCCTTCGTTTTTAGAGCGCGGGGAACCTCTTTGCTCATGACTGCCCCCTCTTTAAGATCCTTAATCCCAACGGTAACTTGAAAGAAGTTCCTGAACAAGGGGCTCTTACTATAGAGTAGCCTTAAAGAGCCTTAGGCCTTCTTTTAAAGGCAGAAAGTCCTTAACCCCTAGACCCTTAAAGAGCCTGTACAGGAGGGACCCCTTATTATGATAACTTATACTAAGTTCCTTAACAAGAACCAACTTTAAACCCTAAACCCTAAGCCCCTAAACCCTAAACCCCTAAACCCTAAACCCCTAAACCCTAAACCCCTAAACCCCTAAACCCTAAACCGTGTGTTTCCGCCTTCCGTCCTCCGGCCCTCACTGCAGCGAACCGTAGCGACGGTCTGTCACAGGACCTGCCTGGGCACGCTCCTTGTTTGAGGACACCATGCTGCAGAGAGGGTTTAGGGTTGTTAGGGGTCAGGGTTTAGGGCTTTATTGGAGTTTAGGGTTTAGGGTTCAGGGTTTAGGGTTTCACCCTCGACGTCAGAGGGCTCTGGAAGGAGGACCCAGCCCTAAGCGAGGATGGCAGACTCTCGTCGTCATTATTTTGGGTCAATAATTAATAAAGTAACATGAATCAGGTTTCTCACCTAGTGCCTTCGTTTTCAGGCTGCTTTTGCCACCCGGAATCGCTGACGCCAGAGTGGGTCCAGTCGGTCATCTGCCACGGCGACGAAGGCTCGAAAGCACTGGGGTTCATCTTCGTGATGCTGTCCAACGCCGAGGCGTTTGACACGCCGAGGTTGTGCCTACAGCTGGTCAGTATCCCGCCTAGATCTATATACTGCAGAGCCAGGCAATCAAAGTATGCGTTAATGTCAACGGGTGAAACAATCGCAACTCAGGCGGCGACGGCAGATTCCGCAGTGCAAGCCTCGCCCTCGCAATCGGCTTCGTGTTCACAGCGCCCGTAGACCTGCCATCCTACCATGGTTGACACCGATTTCGTAGGATGTTGCAAAACACCAGGAGCCCTAGAGGTATACAATGCGCACCCGATATAGGAGGATCCTCATCATGAGTGCCCCTTACAAACTTACATAAAACCTTCTACCCCAGATATGGTCAGGCGTCTGGCGTTCCCAGCCCCCCCCCCCCCCAATGGTATGGTCTGACAGGGGTGGGGGGGGGGGGGTGGGCTGGCGTGTGCGGAAAGGGGTTGGGGCCGTTGGAGCTGCCACTGGATGGTGGGGTGGTGCTGGCGGCCAGGGCTCACGCGCAAGCCCTTCGCAAGCAAGCCGTAAACCTTATGACGCAGCGCTTGCCCCGTTTTGAGCAACCTTAACTTGTACTTAAAACGCTACACCCAACCCCACCCAACCCTAAACCCCACCTAAGTGCAGGCTCTAAGCCTAAAGCAGAGCATACACCGCAAATCCTCCCTAAGCCCTTGTCGACTCGAAGCCTTATACCTTGTAGCCGTAAACCCAAAACTCAAAAGCTTAAGCTAAACCCGAAACCCCAAAACCCCACAACCACCCACAGGGGGAAGAGGAACCCCACACCCCACACCACAGGGGAGGGGGGGGGCCCCACACCCTATATCCGGACCATTGACCTTTGGGGGGGGAGGGGGGGGGGGCTGCGGAGCGCGTGACCAGATATCTTGTTTGGGTGACTGTTCATGCTCCTACGGTAAACACTACCAGTGTGACTTGCGGCACATGAGTGAGTCGGCAGGTGTAGAAGTCGGGGTAAATTCATTAGGCTTTAGGATGAGGACCAGACCCAGGCCCCCAAAGCAGGTACTTAAAGAATCATGGGATTGTGTAACCAGGGTTATAAGTAAGCTCGCTATACTTATAACTACTTACATCCCCAATCAGGGTACTTATAACCTTACTTACTAAGTCCCCTATATCCCTTATAGATCCCTTTAAGGGGCCCCTTACGGATCCCTTTAAGGAGCCCTTTGAGGAACCTTACTTACTAAGCCCCATGATCCTTTGAGCAGGTGTTCAGCCCCAAGGACAAGCCTCAAGCCCTTACTCCTTCAAGCTTACATGCTGAAGAAGAACCTGAAACCCTAGGGTTTAGGGTTTCAGGGTTTAGGGGCGGAAACACACGCTTTAGGGTTTAGGGGTTTAGGGTTTAGGATTTCAGGGTTTAGGCTTCAGGGTTTCAGGGTTTAAGAGTTTAGGGTTTTAGTTTTGAGGGTTTCGGGTAAACCCTAAACCCTAGACCCTAAACCCCTAAACCCTACATGCTGAAGAAGAACCTGTAACCCTAAATCCTTGAACCCAGGCAACCCTGAACCGAACCCTAGACCCTGTTACTGAACATTTCAAGAAAACTTGGTTGTCACGGTTTAGGGTTCAGGGCTTCATGGGTTTCGGGATGAGGGGTTTAGGATTTAGAGGTTTAGGGTATAGGGTAAAGGAAGTTCAACCCGAAGAGAACCCCCAACGCTTGAGCTCTACACACCCCGAATCATATCAATCAAACATAAAGCCTAGGTTCCTGGTAGTACCCTTTGCCCTTTTCAGTTTGGGTTCTCCTTTATTGGAGCAGAATGTTTTTAGGGTACTGGGTACCCTTAAAGCCCCTAATGAATATGCCACACACATGGCTTCAATGCCTATACCCTACGCCTTAAACCCTTTAAACCCTGAACCGAGCAGCCTACACGGGCGGTGGTGGCTGGTGCCATCAGCAAGGCGGTTGGGCCGAATGTTGCTAATCTGCGGCAGAAAGAAAACGTTCTCCAGAAACCCACACAAAGCCCATAGTCCTAGGACCTAGAGTAGGCCCTTATTCCCTCGTTTTCGGGTTCAGGTTCCCATAAGCCCTTTTGAACCAAAAAGTGCACCCTTTTTATTCCTAGGTCACTCTTGGGTCTAGACTCACGGCCATCCGATCAGCCCTAAATCCTAAACTGGGTTCTTGGTAAATGGCTCAACGTAAGTTACCGGGATAGCGACACCATATCATTTACAAGAGGTCCCTATTGTGGTATATTGTAATAACGTCCTTAACAAGAACCCTCAACCCCAAACCTAAACCCTATAAGCCCTATAAGCCCGAAACCCCAAAACCTGAGCCCTTAGAACCCTAAATCCGAAGCTCTAAACCCTAAACCCTAAACCCTACACACTCTAAACCCTATACACTCTAAACCCTAGACCCTATGAAGTCTAAATCCGAAGCTCTAAGCCCTTAAGCTTAAACCCATAAACCCTAAACCCTTTCAGCCCTAAACTTAAATCCTAAACCCTTTCAGCCCTGAATTTGCAGCTCTCAACCCTCAAGCCTGAAGTCTAAGCTCTAAACCCTTTAAACCCTAAGTTTGAAGCTCTCAACCCTAAAGCCTGAAGTCTAAACCCTAAGCTATAAAATCTATAAATCCTATATTTGAAGCTTTTGAGTCCTGAAGGATACTGCCGAGTACGGCTTGGGCATGGCCCTGGGTTCGGCCCAGCGCCGCGAGAAGCTTCTTGATCGACGAAGCCCGATTCAGGAATTAGGGCTTGGGTTTGGGGGTTTAGGGGTTCGGGGTTTAGGTTTTACGGTTCAGGGTTTAGGGTTTCAGGCCACATTATCCCGTTGTTTAAAGGACTTTGGAAGGTCTGGGAAGTTCGGTTTAGGGTCTGGGACGTGGGGGGTTTCCTTCAAGGATCATCATGGCATTAGACTTAGGGGGTTCCTTAAAGCCTTCTTTAACGGATCGATAGGGGTTTGGCGGTTTACTTCAAGGATCATTGCTTGGGACTTAGAGGGTTCCTGAAAGGGTGTTTATAAGGGATCTATAGAGGTTGGGGGGCTTACTTCATTGGTCATGGACTTGAAGAGTTCCTTGAAGGGTTCCTCAAAGGGTTCTATGAGGGACGTATAGACGCTTACCTCAAGGATCATGGGACCTAGTAGCGAACGAGGGTTCGACCACAGGCAACTACACACACTATCACTTAAAGTAAAAGCCAGAAAGTTGGAATATGATTATCCTAAACCCTTTATGGTAAATTATAAGGTATCCTACCTCGAAACCATATTCCAACTTTCTGGAGTTCCCTTTATACCTATAACCCCAATTAAGGAGCTTATAATCTTACTTACTAAGCCCCATGATCCTCCAAGTATGGTTTATCGCTGAGTCGGGCTCAGGGTTCCAGTTTGGGCTCATATAATTCGGGTCTGGTGCTTCAGGGGTTTCGGGTTCCCTTTGACTTGTTCTACAGAGGCCTTCAGGGTGTTTAGGGTTTAGGGGTTCTGGAAGCTATGTATAGGGTTAAGGCCAAAGGTACACAAGTACACATAAGAACCCTTCTAGGGGTTCCTATTTATATCAGGTTTAGAGCTTAGGGTTTGCGGCATGGGCCACTCATATATTTCATGCTCCTGTGTTGTGCTGTCTGGCTTCTCTTTCGCAACCCTAAACCCCAAACCCAGACCGCTGAACCCAAAGCCCCAAACCCTACCTGGACTCCCAACAACCCTGTAATATACCCTAAAACAACTCACTACGAGGGGCCTCTATTTGCGGGCCCTTGGGGGTCCTGGCCCATCCCTACCTGGAACTAAACCCTAAACCAACCCAAAGCGCCAAACCCGAAGATCCCTAAGCACTCCAAGCATGTCGGCCAAGGCTCATCGACGATGTGAAGGAACTCTTGGAAGAGGCGAAGGGCGACTCAGGGGATTAGGGGTTTAGGGCTTAGGGCGCTTAGGGGTTTGGTCCAGACCGTCCAATATCAATCAATATGCCTAAGTTCATATTCGGGGTCCTACTGCCCTACAATTCAAGATATATTCCTTGTTTGATGGACATTGGAGGGATGGGGGTTGGGGGTTGTGTAGAGGCTCTAGGATCTAGGGTTCTTCGGACTCTACGTTTAACTACCAAAACCTACTTTTTTGCAGGGCCTGTTTGAAGTCTGTGTTAATTAGGGTTTATAGTAGGGACCTACAGAACAGCAGGTTGTGGTAGTTCAAGGTAGGGTGTTGTGTGTGTCCTGTGGGTTTTGTGGATGCTATAGGGGCTGAAGGGTTCACCGCGGTTCTACTCAAAGGTTCTAGAGGGCTAGTTCGACCCAGCCAACCCTCTGGTCGACAAGGCGGCCACGATCGGGCTTGTGCGCCACATTCTGCCCTCACGCTGTGTGAAGACGCGGAGATCGTCTCAGTGACAAAGACTACAAAGACTTTGTCGCCCTGGAGTCCGGTGAGATTATTCTCAAGAAGAGTGAGAACAGTGTTAGGATGTTGGCCAGGTGCAGATCTCGGACGAGTGGCTGTGAATCTTCGAGGCCGGGCCTGCTCGCCTTAGACCGAGTGGGTCTGCTTGACTTCATCATCCACGAGAGGCTCGTGCAGCAGTACTTTGCAGTGCTTAACCGGCCTCCTCCGCCTAACATGGAGAGGGGCTATGTATGAGGGCTTGCAAGGGTTTTACAGGGCAAAGCAACTTAGACTTAAAACCAGTCAGTAGGCCTGTAAACCAATACAAGGCTGTTAAGAAATCAGAACTCAAGGACGGCCTTACTTAAGACCTTTAGGACCCCAACCCCCGTTACAGAAACCCGAAGAAAACCCTTACACCCTGACTGAAACCCTAGACCCAGAGCCCTAAACCTGAACATCCCCCAAAGCCCCTGAACCAGTACCGGAACCCTTGCATTACATCTTACATGATGCCATTAAAGGAAACCCTCAGACTCGCAAAGCGCTTCGAGAGCCCTAAATTCCTCCGCCAAGTTCATGAACACCAACAAAAAGCAGTTCTGGAATACCCATGGAAACACCCGGACAGAATCCTACCACCCTGAACCCTACAACCATTGCAGGCACCCCCAAAAGGGAGCCCCTACAAGAAGCTCCAAGAGGAGCCACTAGATGAGTTTTGGGGTTTGGGGTTCAGGGTTTAAGGGTGGTTTTGGTGCTTTGGGGTTTACTGTGGTTTTGGGGCTTTTGGCTCCTTTCAGGCTAGTTTTGGGGCTTCGGGCACCAAAACCACCCTTAAACCCTGAACCCTAAACTCCAAGCCCTACACCCCAAGCCCAAAACTCAAAACTCCAGACCCTAAACTCTAAAGAGCCCTTTAATTGAACCCTTCTAGAACCCTTTAAAGGAACCCTATAGAGATCCCTTTAAAGGAACCCCTAGGCACCCGTCTGAAACGACAGGCAGGCTCGGGATCCACGAAGATCTCCTCCGAGTTGCAGGTCCTCCTCGAGAGGCCTGGGGTCCCTTTAAGGGATCTATGGGGGTTCCTTTAGGGATACCTTTAAGGGATCTTTAGGGGTTCCTCTAAGGGTTTAGGGTTTAGGGTTTCTTGATGTTTAAGGGTTCCTTTAGGGTTGTTTTTGAGGGGATTATAAGGGTTTCTTTTTGAGGGAATTATAAGGGTCCCCATAAGGGATCTTGAACAGGGATCCTTCAAGGATCCCTGGGTTGTAGGTTTTTTGGGTTTAGGGTTTAGGGTTCCTTTAACTTAGATCCCCAATGCCCAAGCTTTAAACTTTTGGGGTTCTTGTAGTTTAGTAGGAATCGGAAAGTGTAACCCTTTGATTTCTGTGGCTTATTGGGGGAGTAAATATGGGAGTTCCTTGAAGAGTGCTCGAGGGTTCCTCGAAGGGAACCCTTTAAGGGATCCGTCAAGGGATTTATAAGGGTTCCTTTAAGGGAACTAAGGATACAAAGGCTCCTTTGACGTTCCCTGGGTTTAGGTTCGTTGGCTTTAAGGATTCAGGATCTGGAGTTTAGGGCTTTAGGGTTTCGGGTTTGGCGTTTTGGGCCCCTTTCTTGGTTCCCCTAAGTTGTGGGTTCTATAAGGGTTCTAATAACAATACGCAAGGCTTAGGCTTAGGGTTCAAGGATCCCCGTACACACATACGGTTCATGATATAAATCCTGCATGACCCATAATATAAGGAATATACCATAATTCTCATGTATTCCCTCAGGGCAGTCTCCTGGTACAGGCACTGTTCAGTTGAGGGTTCAGAGTGTTGGAAGATGCGGAGCCCTTGGAAACCCTCACCAGACCGTCCCCGCGCAGGAGACGAGGGTTTGGAATCGAGGGTTAGGGTTTAGGAACACAGGGTTTCAGCGTTTCGGGTCTTAGGTGCAGGGTTTTGGGAATTAGGAGTTTAAGAAAGGGGCTTAAATAATTACCCATACCATTTTGGGGGTTCCCTACTATATTATTTCAGTACTAAATTCACCAAAAGCCTATTCCAAGTATCAAGTAGGGGTTTCAGCGCTAGGCTAGTTCTAAGGTCTAGGGCATCAAGTATACTGTTCTCCTACTCTGGGTGCAGGCGCTCTTGGTCTTGCGCGCCTGAGAGGGGGTTCTGTAGGGTTTTTTGGGTTTATATGGTTTAGGGTGCAAAACTCAGGGCGTAGGATTTAGGGCCTTCAGGGTTTGGGATTTAGAAGTTCCAAGCGCAGGTTACATCCTGAGTTTCGGACAGGCCCTCATTCGGGGTTTAGGGTGGGGCGGATGTTAGCTGTCGGTTGAGGGTTATCGCGAACCTCTTCCGTCGTCGTCAAAGGACTAGCTTCTCCCTCCAATGTGGATGGTTTCGCTTCGTGTGTGTGTTCGGTAGTTTGGGTGTAACGCACAGAAGCTGCAGCGAAACATTGCATGTAGAGGTGGCTGGATGTGGTGGACGACGCGGAGAAGTGTGGCGTGACCCGACTGCAAGGATGCAACGCAGAAACATGAAGCAGAACAATGTAGGTACCTGGTAAAGAAACCCCGGTGCTATTCCCCTATATGTCAACATCCATGAAGAACCAAAACCCCATGGGTCCAAGTAACTGATAAACCGACGTAACTACTATCCTGAAACAGAGTACCGGATTATTGGGTCCCTTGGACCCTTAGGGAAACAAACACGCAAGGTTTCCTGCAGGTTCCCACATTAGCATCATTAGCCGTCGTCATCATCCCTCAGTGCATCTGTGAACTCGGAGCCTCCACAAGCCTTCCGGTCACACTTCACACTTCCCGCAGTAAGGAACCCTGAAGTATCTGAAAAAGGAACTCGGCACACTGCAAAACAGTCCCTTCTGAACCAGTAATTCCGATAGCACTAATGGAATCCCGTCAAGGCATCGAAATACCCTTCAATGTTTTACACAAGCCCTGCTGCACCCCTACAAAATCTCTAGAGAACCTCTATCTCAAATCCGGTAAGGATCAGGGTATGGCAGACCATACTAGCACGAACAACTGTAGCAACAGCAATGACTAATATCAATACTAATCATGGTCACAATAGAAATTAATGGTAACAATAACAGCAATGATGAAGCTTCTTCGGAGTTCCTCCGAACTCAGGCTTTGCAGCCGCAGATTCTGAAGCTCCTGGCGGCGGAGCCCGAGGGTGATGAGGAGGGGCCCCTGAGTTCTCTAGTGACTCCAGTGGGTTTGGGGTTTAGGGCTTTGTGAAGACTACACAATCCTAGTAGTCGAGTAGGTGACCTTTGGCCTTTGTGCGGAAGTATAGTCCATATAGAATCCCTATATAACCAGAAAGGATGACCTTTAGTTCCCCATGATACCCGACAAGTAGGCAGTAATTACAACCCGGACCCTACTTGGAGGGTCGGGGGACTTAGTAACTGGTCATTTTAGGGACTTATAAGTACCAGAACCCCAATTAGAGACCCTTTTAGGGTACTTATAAGTCTACTTACTACCTACTTACTAAGTCCCCCGACCCTCCAAGTAGAGGGTTTAGGGGTTGGGGTTGCTTTAAGTGCCGGGGTTTAGGGTACTATTGGCGTGACCCTCGAGTTCCCTACCCGAAGGTCCCAGGTACCGTTATGGGTTCCTCTAATAGGGTTCCTAACAGGTACTACGGTTGATGATATAAATCCTGCATTACCTAAATGACCCTAAACTATGGGAATTCTGGTATGTTCCTTATTATGGGTCATGCAGGATTTATATCATCAACCGTATGTGAACAAGGGTTTTGTTGTTTGGGCTTTGGGTTTGAAGTTTCTGTTTTCATGTTGACCAAACCCCAGAGGCCGTCGGTCACACCCACAAGCTCGACCCACTCAAAATCGATGTAATTAATCCTTAAAGAGTCTTAGAACGAGCACGAAACTACAAGGAACCGTAGTTAACGCAACTCTGAACGTTGGAAGGGACCCTGATAGGAACCCTATATTCGAGTACTTTCCAAGGGTAGCCGTATTATTACAGTTGTGTTGTAGTACCCGTATATAATATGATACACTTAGAGCAACCCTTGGGTGAAGAGGCGCCCTTTAAGGACCCTTCAACCCCTGAGCCCTTTCTCCGGGCTGCAGGCATCGCAGCAGTTGCAGAGCGTTCGTCGCGAGTCCGCCCTTCGGCTGAGATGTATTGCATGTATACCACTGTTTTTGCATGTATGGTTCTATCAACCCTTAACTCCACACCCTAAACCCTGAACCGTGATGTTCGTTTAAAGGATCTCAGGGCGTTTAGAGTTGGCAGGTTTTACACCCGAAGCCGTAAACACTAAACATGCTGGACCCTAAATAACCCTGTCATCCCCAAATCCTAAATCCCAAAGACCGAAACCCTAAATCCTACACCCCAAGGACATGCTGGTGGCACCATCGCATTGGATCATTGGTGGCGATGGCTGGGCCTACGACATTGGATTCGGTGGCCTCGACCACGTCCTCGCCACAGGCATCCTTTCTTCTTTGATATGCACCTTAAAATGGCTTATGGCTCAGGCACCTAACACTCCAAGTACAGAAACTCTGGTGTAACGTTAATAAGTGCTGCTTGTGTTGGTTAGGGCACCAAGAAACTCGCACAGCGATAGTCGAATTCGGTTACTTAGCCCTGAGCCCCCAAGTAGCGACACGCCAATCCTCATTGAACCGTGTACTCGGCCTAAACCCCACACCACTACATAAAATTTCAAGCTACGCCCTAAAGTCCCTCACCCCACTCTGAACCCCAAACTCCCGGCCCTAAGCCCCCAAAAGAACTCTGTCTCGGAGCTTCGGCAGGTCAGAACGTGAACATCTTGGTGCTGGACACCGAAGGCTACAGCAACACTGGCGCTCAGATCTCCAAAGCCACCCCCAAGGCAAGGCCTTGCGCCCGCAGTGTTCTACCGCAGCCCGAGGACCTTAAACGCGAAACTCTGAGCCGGGAGGCCCTACTTGGAACTATATCGTCTTGAGGGTTAGACCGTTATACCCTTTTTCTTAAGGGTTCGTATTGTCTTTTGTAGGGTTTGGGGCTACAGGTAAACTTTCAGTAGCACCATGTGCAGGGAGCCACCATGAAGATGGCCGCCGGAGGGAACAAGATCAAGAAGAAGGACCTGGGAGCTATCGTGCCTCGTCCGCTATAGGCAAGGTTTGCCAAGCCATACAACAGAAGCAAGCGACCCTGATCATAATATGTGTGGGCTTTGGATATGTTACAACTGGATGTGTGCTAAAATCTGGCAAAAATCGTGCGCACGTGCCCGCACACACATCCATGTCTCTTCCTCCTCCTGCATGTATGCTGTATTCTGGGCTGTGTTCTATGAAGCAGAACGGCTCGTCCGATGTCAGGTGGAACCCTTAGCCGTGGATGTGAGAGCTTTTCTACTTTAAGGGCCATACCGCATAAATGTACTGTAAGAACCTGCTGTTTAATTTAGGGCGAACACCCATAATCGAGGGTCATAGCCTGCTGTGTCGCAGGGTGTGGGATAGAGCATGGTTTATGTGAGTTCATAGAGGTTCATCCTTTGAAATGGTCTCCGTGCTAAGCAACCTGCAAGCGGGAGTAGATCTCAGCATCTAGAGCATCTAGAGCCCCGTCGTAGTTCCTGTTATTATAGGGTTCTAAGTATGAACCCCAAAAAGGACCTACTATGGGGCCCATGGGTAGGCATCTAGGGCCCCAAATAATGATCCCCAAATCTGAACGGCTTCCATGGCCCAGTACCTGTCCCATCTTGGAATCCTTTCACTCTTCCTCTGGTACCCAGAGAGCCCAATACCCCTTAATTGAGGAATATGAATATGCCTTAAACCATACTATGAACCCCCCCCTTATAACTTAAGGTATATTCCTTAATTCAGGGGTATTGGGCTTTCTGGGCACATATGATTCAGAGCATCGGGGACCCCGACATAGATACACTGTGGACGCTTCAGGAAGCCCCTCTGTGTCGAAACCCAGACCTCTAGCTGCCAGGCCTTATCTTCCGAAAAGTCCCGTGACCCTGAGATTTCAGGATCTTACACGCGCTTTGAGGGTGTACACAAAAACCTTCATCAAAAATCGTCAGATATGAGTGTGTTTCGGGTTGGTTGCTTGTTCTTTTGTTGTCAGGGTTGTGTAAAAGTCAGGGTCCGGGGTTCGGGTTTTAGGGTGTCGGGTCCAGGCTTTGGAGTTTCGAATGCGGGAATCCCCGCCTAAAAAATGGTCAGAAGTCACCTCAACTACCCAGAGACTCCAATATCCCTCAATTAAGGAATATAACTTAATTTATAATAGGATCCCTAATATGATTTAAGGAATATTCCGAAATTAAGGGATATTGGAGTCTCTGGGTACCCCAACCAAAACCCTAAACCTTTAAATCCTGAGCCACACCAGGCAATGATGCACGAGAACGCCTACGTGGCCTCCGTGTCCCTGTCCGCGGATGTGAACCAAACCGTCAAGGCGGGGAATGCATCGAAGGTTTATTGTTTAGGGTTCGACGGATAGACACATATACAGTGTTTCTTGGTTTGCAAGAGCCTTCCATCAATGTCGTGAGTTAGTGTATGATCGTACAAACTTGGTTTTGATTTGTGCTACTTCTACAATCTGGTACAGTTGCTAGATGTTAGACCCCTTAAACTTCAAACCCTCATGGTACCCTTCTATACTACAACCCTCAAAAGGAACCCCCTTACAAGGGTACCACGGAACCTTCGGGAGTTTTCCCCAAGGGTCCAAGTACCCAATAATCATATACTCTCCAAAATCCTAACCTACATAACTACTATCCTAAAACCGAGTATCTAAATATTGGATCCTTTGGACCCTTGGGGTTTGGCCATAAGAGATCCCCCGAGTGGAGGCTTTCAAGGAGGCCGAGGCCTACAACGGCTCCTGGTCTCTGATTGGAGTGTCTAGCTTAGGGTTTAGGGTTTAGGGGGTGTTGTTGTAGACTTTGTGATTATCGCGGTTTAGGGTTCTATAGGGTTTTGTCTAACGCCTCTTTTTCCTTCTGCATGGTCCATGTCAGCTAGACGCCCTCGTAGGGGCGAGCACTGTGACTCAGAATAGGTCTGGTAGCCCAAGCGGTCAAAGCCACACGCTGTGACTTCGCCTATAGGATTTAGGTTTAGGGTTCAGGGTAGGGTACAGGTAGGGCGGGATTTCTAATTCTAAATAGTATACAGTAGAAGCCGGAAAGTTGGAACATCAGTATCCTCATGCCCTCAAGGTAAAGTCCAGGGTTTCCCAGCACTAATCAACCTAAGTCCATGTTCCAACTTTCTGGGATTTACCATAAGATTAAGGCCCAGCGTTGATTCCAAAGTGTCGGATTTCAGGTGCAGGGTTTTGGGTGCAGTCCCTCTGGGTAAAAGGTATTCTCTCTAAGGCTCCATGTGCCTATGCAGTCGGAACTTAGGCCTTAAAGTACCTATATAGGGACCCGTTTCAGGCCTAAGTACCTACTGTATCGGCACATGGAGCCTTTGGGTTTGGGAAGACAGGCTGAAAGGGAGGCCAGCGCTGTGGCATGGTTCCTGAGCCAGTGGTAACTGGCAACGGGTGACGACCCGCAGGGTTGAGGGTTGAGGGTGTACTTGAAGGATCAGGGGACTTAGTAAGTAGGTTATAACTGGGGTTATAAGTCCCCTAAGTGGGGTTATCCTAAATGTAACCTAATTATAACCTTACTTACTAAGCCCCATGAGCCTTTAAGTAGGATTTAGGGTTGGAGTGGATGCGAATGGAGTGCGCAAGCCGATTCTACTACCAGTACGATTGCTCAACCATAGTACACATGGACCCTGCTGTAGTGTAGTGAGTGCCATCGGGCTGTTACCACGGTTTTTTTTGCAGGATGCCGTCGATTGATGCAAGTCCCCCAAGGGTGCCTTTCAAGAGTGGCTATGCATTTTTGTGATGTTTCATCGTAAGACTTGAAAGGGTTCTGTTCGAGCTATGCGCATCGTGCCCTCCCTATCCTCGTCGCTCCTAAAGCTGCAGGCTTTAGGTTGACCTTGGATACCGGACCCTAACTCTAAACCTCAGAGTAGCCTTTGTCGAATAGCAGCCTAAGGGTCCAAGTAGCTAATAATCATATACTCTCCCGAATACGAAGCTACATAACTACTATCCGAAACCTAAGTACACAAATATTGGGTCCTTTGGATCCTTAGGGGTAGCCCTATCAAGCACTGTCAAGGATTCCCATGCACAATTGCAACCGACCTTTAGGCTAGAGAAAGGCCTACTCCTTAATCTATAGACTCAGTGTTTGGGGCTTATGGTTTTATGGGTTTGGGGAGTAGATATTTTGGTTGAGGGGTATGTCGCGAGGTATACGGGTCAATTAACCCACAGGGTCCAAAGTACCTATATAGTAGAATGTAGGGTTTCTACAATAGGAATCACGATTATGATTTGGGGGAGTATCCCCCGTAACAGTACCTAGGACCTTTCGGTAAGGGGTGCTGAGTTCTCTAGGCTCAAAGCTGCCAAAGATCAGTATCCTAAGTCCGAAGCCCTTTACACCCTAGCATTACACCGTAAGCCCTGAACTAGGTTCTTGTTAAGGAATCCCACTTTAGCTTGTTAAGAGGGAAACCATCTTATCCACTACGGATGTGCAGTATGCTGGCGTAGTCTAAGTTCCTTAATAAGATTCCAGTAAACCCTAAATACCCCAAACCCTTCATTAAGCCCCCAACCCAATGCTCTCACCCCCCCTAGACCACTAAACCCCAAATCAAGCCCCGCGGCGTCGAACACCAAGGTCCCTCCATTGTGATTGCCTACGCCACCTGCGTCGACTGGGGCCATCGCGCTGGAGACAAGGCGATGGTGCAGCAGCAGGTGCCGCGGCGGGCGTTTGCTTTGACCATTTTTAGTTTGGTGTTATGGTTTCGCACAGGTTAATTAACCGCAGCTCCCCGAAACAACTGGACAAGTAATTAAGTTTCATTTGACAGCGGGTTCTGATTCTGTGTTTCACCTCACACCAAGCGACACCTTTAGAAACTTTAGAACCCCAGAAGCCACTTTCAAGAGATTACCTCAGCTCCTCAGCCCCAACTGTGGTACAGGCTTTCAACTTTTTTCCATGTTCGAGTTGGAAGGTGGTATCCAAAGCATAGTGACCTGACATTCAGCTCTTGGGGTGGTAAGGTTTGGGCCTTAATGCTAACAATAGGGTGTGGGGTATACTATACTGTAATTATGATAAGGAGCCCCAAAACTTTATTCTAATTATCAAGGTCCCAACATTACAAAACACCATGAACCCAAAAGACCTACTCTAGACCCCTTATAGTGGCCCTTATCGAACCCCTGCAAAGGAACCCGATTCTAACTGTTAAGGCCCTACAGTATTGGCTGAATCCTGCCAGCTTCCAGTCCCGGTTCGCATTTCAGAAATTCCGCACTTCAATGTGAGGTTCGGCAATGTCGAATTTTAGGTTCAGTTTGTATGGTGTTCGTAACCTCTGACCCCATGTACTCTAAACCCTGAACCCTACACCCTAAAACCCCAAACCCTAAACCCTAAGCCGTGAATCCCAAACCCTAAACCCTAAACCCTCATGTACTCCAAGGTGAATGCGGTGGAGAGCGGATACTGGCCGCTGTATCGCTACAACCCGGAGAAGGCCCCCAAAGCCGCGGCAGCAAGTTCTTGAGGGCTCCTTTAAAGGGACCTATACGGTCCTTTAAAGGGATCTATAGGGCTCCTTTAAAGGGATCTCTAGGGTCCTTCAGGGTTTCTAGAGGGTTTGGGGGTTTAGGGTTTAGGGTTGCGGCCTATAGCAGAGTTTAGGGCTTAGGGGTTTAGGGTTTAAGGTTTGGGGGTCAGGGTTTAGGGGTTTAGGGCTTCGGGTTCAGGGGTTTTGGGGTTTAGGGGTTTTACTACTCCTGGATCTAAATCTAACATTTTAGGGTTCTTGAGGGCTGGTTCTAGGGTTTAGGGTTCCTTTTAAAGGGTTGAAGGTTACTTTAATGGGTCTAGGCTAGGGATAGGGTTTAGGGTTTAGGGTTCAGGATGTTGAGAGCTGTAGGGTTTGGGGAGTTCAGGGTTTAGGGGCTTTAGGCCTTAGGGTTTAGGTTTTTTGGTTTTGGGGTTCAGGGTTTAAGGTTTAGGGTTTAGGTTTAGGGGCTTTGGGGCTTAGGTTTTAGGGGCTTTGGGACTAGAGTCTCTATTGTAGCTCCTGTTTGGGTTACCCAAAATCTATAGTATAGGATCCTAACCTTAAGATTGAATTGGTTAGCCCAAACAGAACTACCATGAAGACTATATACTAGGACGCCCAGTAATTAGTACCCTTATTCCCTTTTTGTAGTCCTAGGACCCTTAATTCAGTTACCCAACACCAAAAAGCGAGCCCTCTTTATTCCTAAATTACTGGGCATCATAGTACAAAGATTCTCTAGGACCTAGAGTAGGCCCTTATTCCCTTTTTTAGGGCCCTTATAAGCCCCTTTAAACCAAAAAGGGCACCCTTTTTATTCCTAGGCTACTCTTGGGTCTAGAGATAGGGTGTCGATGTCGCAGGACGGGTTGAGGGTTTTGGGAGTTCGACTTTTTTGGGCTCCAGGTTGCGGGGTGTAGAGTTTAAGGGTTTAGGGTTTATAGGGTTCAGGGTTTAGGGTTTAGGGTTTAGGGTTTGGGCTAGGGCTTAATTACTTGAGGGCTTTAGGGATTGCGACTCAAGGCTCGTTGATCGTTTGTCTTCCGCAGAAGCTTTCCTTTAGGGCCACTCGTTTGTTTTGGAATGCTCATCTACCGTATTTACGTGGCAGTTGAACCATCTGGTCGTTCAAGTGTTCTCGCGGTGAGCAAACTTTAGTGTTCAGAAATCACCGCATTTCGTTACCAAGTGTTCAGAACCCGTGACAATCTCACACCCTGAACTAGAAAAGCAAAACCTCACACATCCCTGAATCTCTATGTATGACAGCCCACTGAATCCTCAACGCCCACCAAAAAGCCCTATATGGCTCAAGGCCTTATCTGTGTTATCCCGAGGGGGCCGTCACCAGCAGGTGACAACGGAGTTCAACGGCTTCGAGCTGGACAACAAGCGCATCTCTAGCGATGCCATGGACACCCTCATGCGCAACGAGTGCCGTGGACTTCACAGGTGAACCCTAAACCCTGAACCCCTAAACCCTTTCGGGTTTAGGATCCCGTTCCCGGCTAATCTTGCAGTGCATCTGCAGCACGAGTTAGAAGAGTCCCATCTCCGACACCCGGTCCTCATAGTATCGGCGGAACCTCCAGGGTCGCTATTCACATACCTGGTACTAGAAAAGAACGAAGCTGCTCTGAATCGATTACCTCAAAAGCCTGCTGTTCTTAGTTCAGGCCTTTCGAAAGCTTGCGAATCGCATATTGACTTGGCGTTCTTCTGGTTGGCGCTTAGGACTTTAGCTTTTGGGGTTTCCATGTGAACTATAATAAGGAGGCAAAAAGTTTGACATTTAGGAGGGGTTCAGAAGTCAGCCAAGTTGAGATGCATCTCTGCCTTCGCGAAACCCTGCAAGTTGAGCGCAAAGCCTACAGTCGAAAAACTATATTCGAGTAAACATAAATTACCCCCTATATTGATCTGCAAGTACAGGATATGAGAAGTGTATATGTATATATACATCTATCTATCCATTCATGTCTGCATCTGTCTATCTATCTATCCCGAAGCTTCTTCTTCTGCATGGTAAAGGTTCCGAGATGAAACCTGAACCTCGAAGTTGTGGGGCTTGATATGGCTGAGTATATAGCTTTTGAACCCTAAATCCGTTCTTTATCCGCTTAAACGAACCCTTTTCCCAAACCCTCAACCCTTAAAAGAACCCGAAACCCCAAACACTAAGCCCTTACAGGACCCATAAACCCGTAAACCCTATTAAAGGAAGCCTAAGCCCACAACCCCCAGACCTCAAGGAATCGCTTCACTTCCTTGCAGCGGACCGCGCCAGAGCATGCGAAGCTTCTCCAGGATGCCATGAAGGACGAGTTGCTCGTTTCTTTTAAATGTCTTGGTTGTTTAGGTGTTGCTGGGCATTTTTGTTGGGGATCTGTTGGGTTTGGGGTTTGGGCTTTTGGATCCTTAGGTTTAGAGCTTTGGGCTTTAGGTTTAAGTTTCAGGGTTCAGGTCTCCCCAAGGGTCCAAAGGACCCAATAATTAGGTACTTGGTTTTAGGATAGTAGTTATATAGGTTAGGATTTGGGAGAGTATATGACTGTTGGTTTCTTGGACCCTTGGGGTCCTTAGAACCCCAATACCCAACCTTGTCCTTTACACTTTACTCTGCCACATAGATGGAGATTACGGCCGGTCCTTATTGTAACGCAATCTCAGGTCGGATAGTCCTTCAAAGCCTTAAAGGACCTTACCCTGAGGCTCCATGAAACTTAGCATACACTTAGGCCTGAAAGTACATACATGCAGAACTCCTGCCAGGACTAAGTATATAATTACTGGTATACTATATAGGCACAGGAAGCGTTAGGTCTTAGGAAGAACCCCCCAGATTTCCAAAGCCCGAACGGTTCATAATATAAATCTTGCATGACCCATAATATACCAGAATGCCCGTAGTTTAGGATCATTAAGATAATGCAGGATTTCTATCATCAACCGTAGTTTCCCAAAACCCCATAATGAACCCAAAACCCTAAACTCCGTATATCATCAACAGAAGTACCGAGGTTCACAAACCGCCACGAGTCGCGCCGAAGGAAGGCCATGGGCGACGAGGACCGCCAGTCCTACTTTGAGGATCATTTTGACTTAGTAAGTCGGGTTCCTTTAAAAGGGCTCCTATTAAGGGATCTATAAAGGTTACTATTAAGGGTTGTTGGAGGTACTTCGAGGATCATGGGACTTAGTAACCAGGGTTATAAGTAAGGTAACTCTGCTTATAACCCCAATTAAGGTACTTATAACCTTACTTACTTCCTAAGTCCCATGATCCTCCAAGTACCCGGAGTAACCAGCGTTCCTTTAACAAAGGGATATACGGGAGTTTCCGAAAATCAGGGGTACCTTATTTTGGGGTCCTATTTAGGGTATTAAATTAGGGTCCCCTATTTTCGGAAGCTCCCATACGACCCTTGAATCCCGAAGCCCTACTCCCTAATCCCAAGCCCCTAAAATGCCGTAAAACACATGATCCCCGAGGCCCCTGATGGTATGGAATAGACCCTGGAAATCATAAGCGTTCACATTAGGTCAAACTAACGGTCCAACACCTGAGAACGGCGATGATTCCAGATTTTGCGTGTCCAGGTAAACCCTAAAGACCTTCCCCTAGGGATCTAAGGACTCATATATTAAGGCTTTTGGGCCCAAATACCATACTATATAAGGCTTTGGGGCTATTTCGATCCCTAGGGTTCGAGCCTCGAACTCCATAGTGCCTTAAACCTCCTGGTTGATGAGCCGCGTCGAAGAATCCCCTACAAACCCTTCCTGCAGAGCCCTACGGGCCCCTCTTTCTCAAATGTCTACCTGTATAGTCTCCATGACAGTTCATTTCCGGGCTGCCTTATGTAGGATTATCAATATCAAAATGGTAACTACAACGTTACAACGGAATCGGGCTACCTGATGTAAGGTCAAGAGTATCAGAATGGTAACTACAACGGAGACTGATTATAGGTAGAGTGTAAGTGACGTTCACCCGGCATCCTAAAGCGCTCAACGGAAGACTTCGCAGCAGGACCTCTTGGAGTACCTCAAGAAGTGCATGGGCGAGCAGGCTCGGAGGGCTACGTAAAACCCCCTGCTGATAGTAGGTACTTAAGCCTTAAAGGGGTCCCCATATAGGTACTTTAAGCCCTAAGTACTTACTTTTTGGGTACATGGAGCCTTAGGGTGAAGATTCGATCTTCGAGCGGGAGGATAGGGTCTGCGGCTGCGGGTGCAGATTCTGTTGGCTAGGGCACCTACCGTAAGACTCGTAGACCATGTTTGCTCCGAGGCAGTGAATGCAGGCCTACCTCCAAACAGCCTAATTAAGCCCTCAACCCTAAACCCAAAAACTCTATCCCCTGAACCCTACAAACCCTTAAAGCCTGAACTGGAGGCACTCCCTGAGGCTCCATTAGCTCACATACAGCGCATGCTTTGTGCCTACAGTTACTATATCGGAACTCTAGTGAAGTCACTCGAAAACCGAGCCTTGGTTGGACCCATAAAGTCACCCTAATTACAGCCTAGACCCCCAACCTTTTCACAACCTCTTCGCAACCCGAAAAGGACCCTTTTGCAGGAGCCTTAGAGGAACCCCTAAGGGTCCATGTACTAAAAAAGTGTATACTTTGGCCTTAAAGTAGTCCCTTTATAAGTACTTTAGGGCCAAACTATGTACTATTTGACATGGACCCTTAGGGGACCTTTATAGCAGCCCGAAGCTCGACCAGGTCACCGGAGAGCGTGTCACCGTTCTCTACGGCACGGACACAGGCCCTGGCCTGGGTTTGGGGTTTGGGGCTTTGGGGTCCAGAGTTTACTGCGGTACGGTCTATTTGGTTTAGGGTATAGGGTTTAGGGTTTTGGAAATTAGGGGGTGGGGTTCAGAGTTTACTACGGTACGGTCTATGGGGTTTAGGGTGTAGGGTTTAGGGTTTTGGAGTTTAGGGGGTGGGGTCCAGAGTTTAGGGCCTACGAGGTTCAGGGTTCGGGGTGTACTCGAAGCCTTGGGAATCATTTCGAACACAAGTACCCGGACCCTGGACCCGTGCAAGGCCTACTTACCATGAAGTATGTCCTGAGTATTATGAGCTAAGTGCTGCAAAAACAAGACTGAAGAGCTTGAACCGTGAACTGCAGATCCAAATGCCTACACCCCGACTCCTAAAGCGCGCAACTAGGGTTTCGTCAAAACCTGGAACCTTCCTCTTACTAGAGAGATCTGAATAGCTTGCTCAGGCATACTTTGCAACAATCGCCGCTTGAGGAGTTCACCAGAGTATACCCAAAAATCCCTTTTGTACATATTCGGGCCCCTGTGCAAAATCCTGTAGTATCGACGCCTTGTAAGACACTAAGCTTCCTTACAACCCTATAAAGGACATTGCATGTCACTGACCCTGCACTCCGCGTGGCCAGGCAATGCGGAGATGGTGGCGAAGAACTTTCAGTTTGAGTTGAAACGTCGAGGCTGGGTCAGAAAACTAAGGGCTTACATGTAATCGGTCTAGGGTGATTTCTAGGTTTCAGGGCTTTTGGGGTCAGTGCCGGTTAGGGCTCAGGGCCTTTTCGGCTGTACGGGTTTAGGGTTGAGCCGAGGTTTGCTACGTTACTACCTCGACACTTGGACGTATGTCTTATCTACAGTTGCTTGGATATCTACCTTTTCATGAAACCTTCAGTAATACTAACCTCGAGTTCCTACTTGTCATGAAGCTGTAGGAGCGAATTCTTAAGAGTGCGAGGACTGAAACCGCAAACCACCACTAGCCTAGACTCTATCCCAACCCAAAGAAATAGGGAAAATAATGGCGCAGCATCTCTACATGGCTATTCTTCTACACACTTTTGGGGCCCAGGTACACCCTAAACCCCTCAATCGTAAACCCCTAAACCCTAAACCGTAAACCCATACACCCTAAAGCCCGAAAACCCCAAACCCTTATAGATCCTTTTTAAGGAACCCCTATCACCCTCTGTAAAGAGCCTTAAGATCCCTAAACCCCTAAAAATTTGAGACGGCGAAGGCATGAAGGCCAAATGCCTCTCCTTCAACGACTTGGCCATCAGCGACCTCGCAGAGGAGTTTCCTGTGTGTAACGTGTACGTGCATGCGTACCTTTGGGGATACCTCAGGGTGGGTGTAAAGGGTTACTATAATGGTATTCCCTTCCCCAAACCCAAACCAGGCTACCGACCCTCAACACCCTTTCTGGGGTTTAGGGGTTCTAGGGTTTGGGGAAACCCTTTTTAAGGTTTAGGGTCTTAAAGGCTTTAGGGTTTAGGGAAACCCTTTCTGGGGTTCAGGGGTTGGGGGTTTCGGGGTTTCAGGGTTCAGGGTCGAACGGAAAGGACCCGCATGGTTGATCCTAAGCAAGTAGGCTCCAAGGACTCATATTTTGAAGCTTTGGGCTCAAAGACCATACTACATAAGGCTTTTGGGCTAGTGTTGAGCCTTAGGGAAGGAGTTCAAGAACTCGAACACTACGTACCTTGGATGCGAGTGAGTTTCCTGGATGCTACCTTCGGGTATACATTGGTGCTTTAGGGTATACTTTGATCCATTCGAATACATGGACGGACCGCTTGGCTTTTAGAGTTCAGCACCCCTAAAACCCTAATCCTACGCATTGAATGCTAACCTTTAACTCCTTACCCGCAACCGTGAACCCTGAAGCCTAAACCCTAAGCCGAAACTCTGAACCGTAACCCTGAATGCAAATCCCGGAACTCTTAACCCTTCTACCAGCTTCTATCGCTTCGGAGGGTCTTTTGTCGGTCGGAAAGGGCAACTACCGGAGCTCAGGGTTGGTTTTCAGGGTTCACGGTTTAGGATTTAGGGTTTAGGGGGGTTCTACAAGGGGTGTGGTGGGGATCTAGTAGTTAGAGTAAGGCTTGGGGGTTAAATGGGCGGTCAGGGAGTCTATACGCTTACCCGGTACAAGACAAAACCCCGGAAATGCCCTAAACACCTAAACCCTACCTAGAGTCTCCACTGTAGCTCCTTATTGGGGTTACCTTATAGGATCCTAAATAAATATTTGGTTAAACAGCAAAAAAGGAACTACAATGGAGACTATAGGTAAACCCCTAAACCATAAACCCCTAACCCTAAACCCCTAAACCCTAAATCCTAAACCCCTAAACCCCTATACCCCTAAACCCTAAACCCCTAAACCCCTATACCGTACCCCTAAACCCCTACACCCCTATACCCCTAAAGACCCCTAAACCCCTAAACACATAAACCCCTAACCCTAAACCCCGAAAGCCCTAAAACCCTAAACCCCTAAACCCCTAAACCCCTAAACCCTAAACCCCTATACCCCTAAACCCCTTAACCCCTATACCCCTAAAGACCCCTATACCCCTAAACCCCTAAACCCCTATACCCCTAAAGACCCCTAAACCCCTAAACACATAAGCCCCTAACCCTAGACCCCGAAAGCCCTAAACGCCCGTGAGGAGTCCAAGGTCCTCGCGGTCGTGGCCACAGCTGGTCAAGGACGGGTTTGGGTGGAGTGGATGGGGGCTTAGGGTTTAGGGGGTTTAGGGCTGCTTGGGGTTTAGGATGTGAGGTTTGGGGTTCAGGGTTCATGGTTTGGGGTTTAGGTTTGGGGCCCTTCCAGGGGTGAGCCCTATCGTCGAACCGAATCCTTTCCAGCATCTGCTTGCGCTGTCTAACCTTGCCACAACTTTCAACAGCCTATAATTAGACTAGAGTTTTGGAGTATATAGTATGTATACAAAATGGAACCGCCAAGACCGTGTTCGAATTGTAAGGCCCTTCCGTTACAAGGTCCCCTGAACCTTCTTCAAACAAGCCTGCAAGTGTTTGTATGCACAGGTGAGATGCCCAAGTCTGCGGTGAAGTTCTGGCAGGACATCACCCTGCTGAGGGCTGACACCCACCACGACTTAGTATTAACACAGTGTTTTGAGTCAAGGTGCTTCAGGAACATTTCCGTGAGACGCACTTGCTTTCTGTAAGTAGACATGTGTATATATATATACATATACATAGGTACATGTGTATACACATATGTACAGAGAGCGATATGTACTTCCGTATTTTATTCATTATAAACAACTACATAAACAGCTACATTCAATTCTGCGACAAACACTATTTGTCTAGGGATATTTCGTTGTGTGCCTGACCCTGAACAGCAGCGGTTCCTGCGAGGACATGGAGACTTTCCTCGAGACGGCACCGGCCGACTATCTGAAGGACAGACTCGGGTTAACATTGTTTAGGATCTAGGTTTAGGAATGAGGGTTTAGGGTTTAGACTTCGGATTTAGGGATACGGGTTTTGGGGTTGAGGCTTTAGGTTAATGGTTAAAGGTGGGGGGTTTAGAGTTTAGAGCTTAGGGTTGGATTTCAGCCTTGATAAACACAGTTGCGGGGACCCTGGTCTCAGTAGGCAGTCCCTCAACAGAAACTCTGAATACAGCTACTATAGGACTCTAAATGATTACCACTACTATTTTCGGGGTTCCTTTTTGTAACAATAGTATAATTGGGCCCCAAACCCAATTCTGATTATTAAGGCCCCTATATAAAACCCGAACGGACAGGACACCAAGTTCGCTGTGTTCGGCCTTGGCGACAGCTCTTACGTTTTCTTCAATGAGGCAGGGACGGGTGGTTCAACGAGCAAGGGGTCGTGGTTGGTTGCACATGACCCAGTAATACCGTGTTAAACTTAGCAAAAACTGTGCAGATCCTCATTCGCATACATATATATATATATACATAGATATGTGATCTGTACATATGTAAAAAATGTACATATATATATATACGCAAGCATCTGTACAACTGAGCATATATATATATATATATATATATGTAGATGACATCCAATACACCCTTGAAGCCCACATAGGCCCCAAGCAACCCAAGGCCCTACAGACCCCAGAAGCACTCACCCTGAGCCGCTTCATTTCACAGATTGGCCGGCTGATTTTCTGCAGCCCGGGTTTAGGGTTTAGGGTTTAGGGTTTAGGGTTTAGGGTTTAGGGTGCTCATGTCAAGCCGAATTCCCTTCCTCGCCGGTTGGTGCGTCATGCTTGGCAGTCCATGTTGTTCTTCTGCATGCCCTGTCGGCCTTTCGGCCTGGCCCCTATTCCTTGAGATTTTACAATGCTACCCTTAGCACTCGAAACCTTGAACCCCCACCATCCGGTCCCAGACCCCAATATTTCCGCCCGAAAGTCCGACCATCGCTGAAACCCAGAACGCGGAACCCTAAATCCCGGTGTCCCGAACTCGGAACCCCAAAAGAGCCAAACAATTGATATATAGAGGCCTCAACAACTACCAATACTAACTTTTTCCCGTATTTTACTAATTCAAAAATATACTACCCCAGAACCCTGTTCTAATTACTAAGGCCGTAGATTACGTATTATGCCAAACCCCCAACACCATAGACACTATGCTATATTGGCACGAAAAACCTGTACTTTGGCCGTTGGTCTTTGTGTCATTTAGTCGAAGGATCGTTCGGCCAAGGGTTTAGGGCTTAGGGTTTAAGGTTGATCGGGTGTAGGGTTTACCTTTTTTTACCCCTACTTCGTATCGCCTATAACTATAGACTCATTTGTTGTTCCAGCAGCACATCTTGTCTTCGTAATGCTATACTATGTCAAGGGGCCCCCCAAAAAATCCCCAGGCAAGCCGTCCCGCACGAGCTAAAGCCACCCAAATCCCCAAAACGACTCCGACCCCCAAAAGCCTAGAGAGCTCTTGAATGAACCCCAAGAGGAATCCGAAACTCCGCCTTAAATCGAAACCTTAATCCTACCCTGCAACAGGAATCCTAAACTAAGCTTCAAAGACGAATGCTGAACTGCTCAGCTAAGCCTGAAGAAGGAACCCTAACCCAACCCTTCAAACCTAAACTAAGCCTTAAACAACGAATCCTAAACTAAGCCTTAGAAAGGAAACGAATCTTAAACTCAGCCTTCTAGAGGGCTTTTAGACTGAAGCCCGTGGAGCCCACCTCCAGGCTGCTCGAAAGATCGATGAAGCCTTCGAGAAGCTCGGCGGCGAGCGCGTCCAGCAGCAGCTCGGCTGGAATTGAAGGTTCAAGGATGTTCAACCCTAAACCCTACACTTTTAAAGCTCCTAGACCCTAAAAACCACTAAACCCTAAACCCCCTAAACCCCTAGACCCTAAACCCCATGTAGGGTCGAGGGTTTAGGTTCTAGCGTTTAGGGTTTAAGGCTGTTCAGGCTTCAGGGGTTAGGGTTAGGTTTCAGGATGTTTAGGGTTTAGGGTTCAGGTTTTAGAGTTTAGGGTTGAAGGATGTTTAAGGTTTAGGGTTCAGGCTTGGGTTTCCCTGAATGGTTCCTTTCAATGCTTTGTTTAGACTTCGTTTAGGGTTAGGAGTTAGGTTTTGGGGTTTGGGATTTGGAGCCCAAGCCTTAAACCCTAAACCCGAATTGCCCCGCCCGACTGCCTAGCCCTAACCCTAACGGTCCATGTACCCGAATAACATCTACCTGCGTTGAGTATTTCGAGGCTAAAGTATACATTCTTTGGGCACATGGACCCACAAGAAAAACCCAACCCCAAAGCCTGACCCCCAAACCATAAAACCTAAACCTTAAACCTAAACCCTCAAACCTAAATCCTAAACCTTAGCCTTAAACCTAAAACTGAAACCCTAAAGCCTAAACCATAAATTGCAAACCCTTCGTGCAGCCTTTCCTGTGGCTAGGCTTGGCCTCGGTGACGACCAGCATCCCGCAACCTGGCAGCTTAAGGGATGAAGGGGGGGACAGGGGAACTATACTTAGGGGTACTTAGAAATATATTTTTTTAGTTTTTGGTTATTATAATCCCTAAGAAACAGCTAAAATTATAATTTTTGCCAGGGTTCTAAGTTCAGTATAGTGTAGTGTTGAAGGTGTGGGGCTTAAGGTTCAGGGGTCTAGGGTTTAGGGTTCAAGGTGTGGGGCTTATAGGGTTCAGGGTTAAGGGGTTTAGGGTTTAAGGTGTGGGGCTTGGGCTTATAGCTTCAGGGGTTTAGGGTTCAAGGTGTGGGGCTTATAGGGTTCAGGGTTTTTTCGAGGTTTTGGTGTTCAGGGCTTTGGGTTTGGAGGTTGGGGCAGAGGCTTGCAGGTTTGGAGTCCAGACCTTGTGGGTTAGAGTCCAGTTGGATGCCCAACCTGCAAGCAATGCAATTCGTGGACTTGGCTCGGATAGAGTTAGTGGGAGTTAGGATTAGGGGGACCCTTGGGGATATAGACCCTCTCAATAAGGTCCCTTTTAAGAGAGCCAGAAGTAGGGTTCAGAAGGCGTACGCTTGAAGGGGTCTCCCTAACAATACTGCCTAGTTTGTTTCCTCCCTGGGCTTTTGGGACTCACTCTCTGCGGCTGTTGGGTCACAGACCAAACGATAACTTATCATCTTGAACTTTAAATCCTAAATAGTCAATCGTAAAACCGAAACCCCACACCCACACCAACCAAGTGCCTACTCCCCAAACCCCAAATCCCTAAACCCCAAACCCCTCTTATAGAACCGCCTTGAAACGAACCCTGTAACGGAACCCTACTGTGTTAATTTACTTGGGCACCTGCATTATGCAGCTCAGGCCCGCTTCGACACCGAGCTGGAGGCTGTCTTGTGTGTGTAGGTCTCTACTGAAGCTTACATTCAAAGGGGAAAAGGAGGGACCTTTAATAAGGACTAGCTATTATATACCCATGATATAGCCCATTATGTATAGCGTACGGTTTATGCAGGGTTTAGGGGTTTAGGGTTTATATAGGGTTTAGGGGTTGAGGGTTTAGGATTTGGGGTTCTGCCGTAGTACTTGCGCCATAGATCCCCGAATCCCATCCTCCACGGAGCTTCTAACAACTAATGAAAGCTTACCTATACCCTAATGCTCCTAAGAGGGTCTTGGGCTTTCTGGGGGAGGGTTTCGGCTTTGGGGGCTCACTACAAGGGTCCATGAGCCTTTAGGGTAGTCTCCATTGTAGTTCCTTTTTTGGGATTACCTTATAGGACCCTTAATTATACATAATTGGTTAAACCAAAAAAAGGACCTACAATGGAGACTACAGGTAAGTGCCAAGCCGCTTGGCCCGAAATTTCACGCAAAAACAACGCTGAACATCCAACTCTCCGAGCCATGTAAGCCCCTCAAATTTTTGCGTCTCATTAGCCCGAAATATATCACTTTGGGCCAGGAGTGGAGCCCCGACTTCTTTGACAACATCGAAGCCCCAGAACCACCTCAGGCGGTACGGGCGTCAGGGTGTAGAGCTTCGGGTTTCAAAGGGCTCCGAAAGGTGGGATGAAGGTATGTGGGATATCGGATAGTCCCGCACTCCTCAAATGAGGGATCCTTCATCCTACCTGCCTTCAGCCCACCTTTTGAGGCGTCCGAGGGTTGCTGAGGAAAAAAGGGTCATTTAACTTAAATACTGGCTTTGGGAATTGTTGTAAAAGGGGACATAAACCACCATACCAGTATAGAGGTAGCTGTTGTGGATTTTGGGATTGTGGTGTTGGCGATTGCAGTAGAGTTCGAAGTTTCGGGCCGCGAGGTTTGGGATCGAGGGTTCGTTGTTCGGGGCCTTTGCGGGTCTGGGTCCGGGGAGAACTGGTGTGCTTGGGTTTCTGACTTTGGGGGTTGACACTGGTGGTTCCTGTGATGTTCTGACAAGTTCGCATGAAACGCTCCCGGCTTGCATCGGAAAGTCAGTCCTTTGCACTTCCATCTTGCATCGGGTATGATCCCGGCTTGAATTGTGAAGGTCGGGAAGACATCTCGGCTTCCATGTCAAGGCGTCGCAAACCCTCTTAGGTTTACATCGTCCCGTCCTCCCGGCGTGCATCGTCTGCGAAGGCCTCGGCACTAGAGCTTGTAACAGTGACCCTAAAACCCAAACCCCAAATCACTCTAAGTGCTGCAAGCCCTAAAGCCCTGACGCCCTGACACCCAACATCTCAAAATCCCTAAAATGCTGCGCTAAGGGTCTATGTACCCAAATGGTATATACTTTGGCCAAAAAGTAGGTACTTCGGGGCAATGAACCCTTAGGGACAACCCTCAGCCCCCAAAACCCTTAAACCCCAAACCCAAACCCGAAACCTCTAAGTCCCTAAACCCCAAACCCTAAACCTCTAAGCCCCTAAACCCTATAACCTGAACCCTAAACCCCTAAGTCCCTAAACCCTAAACCTCTAAGCCCCTAAACCCCAAACCCTACACCCTATAACCTCCAAGCCCCTAAACCTCTAAGCCCTAAACCCCAAACCCTAAACCCTAAACCCTGAACCTTACAACCTCTAAGCCCCTCCTGAACTCCTAAACCCTAAACCCTAAGTCCTCAAACTCCTTGGGCAAGTGCAGGAGCTGAGCCCTCCCTCGCATCTCGTGGAGATCCTTCCGGCTGACGACAGCAAGGCCGGGTTTGGAAATTTAGGGGTTCCTTTAAAGGGATCTATAAGGGTTCCTTTAAGGGTTCCTTTAAGGGATCTATTGGGTTTTGGGTTATAGGGATTTTAGGGTTCAGGGCTTTAGGGATTTAGGGGTTTTAGGGCTTAGGGCTCTTAAGGCTCTTCAAAAAGGGGTTTTAGGGATTCCTTTAAAAAGAGATCTATAGGGGGGTTTTAGGGATTTTAGGGTTTTAGGGTTTAGGGGCTTAGGGGTTTAGGGTTTTCGGGGGTTAGGGTTTGGGGTTTTGGGGGTTTAGGGTTTTAGGGTTTAGGGGTTTAGGGTTTAGGGTTATAGTAGGGTTTAGGGGTTCAGGGATTTTAGGGTTTAGGAGTTTAGGGGTTTAGGATTTTAGGGTTGTGAAATTTCCCTGTCTTGAAGAGCCGTGTTGACATGTCCTCATGCGAGCGTAGTTTTTGTGTTAGTTCTGAACGCACCCTGTACGACAGACGTCTTGGGCTCAGACCAAAAAGTGTGCTCGTTTGCGTGGTTGGACACTCACTAATCCAGTTCCTGCTTCAAACTGGTAGCGGAGCTGTGAGGACAACCACTAGTGTTTCACCCCCGTTGAGCCTGTGGTCCGGGGTCCGTTGGGTAGTGTAGTGATAGTCGCGGCGCAAAGGCCCCTTCTATCCTCGAAGCCATGAGCGTGGCAGGTTTGCGTTACCAGCCCAATCTCTGGTCACAGAACCTGAGCCCTGCAGAAACCAAAAGCGGGTCGTACATATACGACGGTACGGCTGCTGGCTTCCATGATTGGTGCTTCCGGACACAGATCCGTGTGCTGCAGCATAAGGAGAAGCAGCGGCGCGAAGCTCTTAAGGACCTGCGTTTTGCCGAGTCGGCAAGGGCCAAGAGCGAGTCACCAAGGAAGTGGCGTGGCAGGGCAAGTCAGGGGACCAGCGCATCGCCCACAGATGGTGATGGAAGCAGCGGTATACCCGCCAGTCCGTCCAGCGCAAAACGGACTAAGCCCGCGTCCGAGGCAGAAGATGAGGATGCGGAGTCGCTACCGTCGCACCCCAGCCAAGTGGCGGGCGACGATGAACAAGAGCCGGACACAGATCCGGCGGTGTACACCTTGCAAGACGTCAAGGACGAGTCGCTCGACATGAGCGAATGCGTTAGCAAGATCCTAGAGGGTCTCCGAGGAGATGCCTTTTGCATCGCTCGCGACGTCGGCCTGGAACGTCTGCTTCGCCATGACGGCGTCGACTACCTGATAGAAGAAATCAGGAGGCAAGCCTTCCCTCTTCAATCCGAAGAGGCGTCCGAACTTTTCCGTCAGGGACAGCTCCTGACGGGCCACTTGCAAAGCAACCCGGCGAGCCTATGTTGTCTTACATAGCCCGCCGAAAGCGGTGGTGGTCGACCTTGCGTGAGCTGGATCCTGATATCCGCCTTTCTGAAGCAATGAGGGCTAATCTCCTTGTTGAGCTTTCAGGGTTGGAAAGGTCCGAGCAGCTAATGGTCAAGACCGCCGCCCGCGTACACAGCGTGGATGAGTACGCACGCGTCCTTGTTCAGCATCACTCAGTGGTGCACATGAAGGAACGTCTTCTTACCCAGAAGGACCCTAGTGGCCCAGGTAAGACCTGGAGACGTTTCGACGCTAAGCCCCAATACCCTAAGTTCGGCTATATGGGGTATGATGGTAGTGCCGCAGAGTATGGTTACCAGGAACAACAGGAATCCGCGGAAGGCTACGGTGACGGCTACGGCGAAGAAGCATACCAGGCCACAGCGTCTGGGGGAGATGATGCGGATGAATGGATTGATGATGAGGATCTAGCATTGCAACTCAACGCCTATACGGCAGTGGCATATGAAGCTGAGATTGACGATTTGGATGATTCCTATGCCGAGTCAGTTCAGCTTGCGTACGCGGCACAGACCGCCTTTGCCCAGGCGAAAGGAAAAGGAAAGGGGAAGAACAAGGGCAAGTCCCCTGGAAAATCCGGAGGGAAGGTCGTGCGTAGCAATTTGACCATTGCTGACCGTAAGGCCAAGTTAGCAGAGCTAAAGGCTAAGAGTAGGTGCCTGAAGTGCGGTGTGATCGGCCATTGGGCCGGAGATGCTGCCTGCAAGTTTAGCGGTAAGGGCAATGGCCCCAAGGGCACCACAGCCCCAGCACAGTCTGGGGGAACTGCCAACGCAGCCGCAAAGTCGGCGACGCCGAAGCCTCAGGCGTATTTCGCCGCAGTGGAGGAGGATGACACAGAGTGTGTCCATCTGTCGAATGCGAGCGCTGGTATAGGCTCGAGGGTTACCCAGCCAACCTTGAGCTGACTCCCTCAAAGACCAATACCGGCAAAGGCCGCGGCAATGAAACCCTCTTCTCACCACAGCTTCGGCGCACAGCCGCCGCTGGGATCATGCGTGACAGCCCGCCTGAGGGTTCCGATCGCGTTTTCTCCTTTGGTCAGCATAAGGGTCTGACTTATGAGCGTGTCTTGTATACGTTTCCTGGGTATGTTCTTTGGGGACGCACGCAGAAGTGCCCATCCATAAATTTGGCCGATTTCTTGGATTGGGTCACGGAGTACTTTGATGTGCGTGATGATAACCCCATTAGCATCACGAGAAGGGATGTCCCTCTCAGCCAGGAACCCCCGCCTGAACCCTTTCAGCCCGAGGTTCGCCTCGCCGCGTCAGCTGCTTCGTCCAGCGAAGGCCCCCGGAAATGCCGGGGAGGTTGCAAGGAGTTCAACAAGTCGGGGAGTAACGCATACATAGACATGCGGACCTGTAAGAAATGCGGCACCGTCACCAAGACGAAGAAAGAGAAGCCTGTCATAGATCAGGCCACATGCCCCCACACCTCCACCGAGAGGTCGGGTAGCAGTAGGAAGACCTCCCGCATTAAGTGCAAGCTTTGTGGGATGCTTCTAGATGAGCAGCCGCAGACCGAGCGAAAGGCTAGGGATGACGCAGCCACAGTGCTGCGGGAGTCCAACACCCTGGACTTCGATCTTCTGCGCAGCATAGTCGGCAGCACGGGGGATAGCCTCCCCGTAGAGGTAGTAGTTCCGGCTATTGCCCAGTTTCAAGAGACCATAGAGGGTCACTTCGTAACCGAGCCCGTGATATCCCGCGGTGACCTTCTCGCATACCTGCAAGAGGCCTTAGACGATCACTCTGCGCCATCGACCAACAACAGTTGGGAAGTGGCGTCGGCGAGATCGCGCTCCTCGAGGGCCTCCGCGACGAGGCACGCCTTCGTGGCTTTCACTGAGGGGGTCACAGATATCCATCCGGCTTTGGTTGATTTGCCCGTAGTAAATATCTACGAGGATAAGCACGTATACGCCGTGTTGGATGAGGGCTGTAACTCGACTGTTCACGGTAGCGATTGGATAGCAAACGCGGCGGGGAAACTTGCGAACTTCGGTTACAGCACGAGGTTTAAACCTGAGGGCAATCGTACCTTCAAGGGTCTTAGCGGTGCTACCGAGACCTTGGGTAGCAGGACCATACCTTTCTCTATAATGGGATTGGAGCAGGACTTGAGAGTTCCGGGCGTCCTTGATTCACATGAGATTAAGGGTACAGCCCCTCTCCTTTTGTCCCTTTACGCGCAGGCCCAGCTTGGTATAACCAAAGATCTTCGGTTTGGTGAGTGTGGTGTTCGACTTCCTTCTGAGGATAGCATCATTAGGATCAAGCTGTGTCGGACACATGACTCAGGGCTGTTATGCATAAACATAACAGAAGGCTTGACCCAGGTGAAACAACCCCGTCTCATAAAGAGCTTCCAAATTCCCTCGCCGCCAGTTCCTATATTTAGGTCTGCCGCCGCCGCCGCCTTAGCTCACTCAGAGTCCGTGAGCGGATCACCCCGAGATGCAACAGCGGCAGATGACGCAGTGGCAACAAGTCGCAGTCACAGTACTGTAGATGCAGGCCATGGTCATAGCACTGTAGGCGTAGGCCACGGTCACAGCTTTACAACGACAGCTGAGAATCGCAACAACACCAAGCGACGCATAAGCGTAGCGTTTCCGAACCATTGCATGGTAGGCACGTCCGTAGGAGACACGGAGCCCGCCGCGATGGCCGCAGCAGAGGGGCAGCTGCCTAAGAAGGCGCCCCCGACGGCAAAGGCTGCACCGAAGGTTCTTGCAGCGCCGGACCCTGGCCACAGTGCCATGGCGAAGTCACCAGCGGTCGGCCACAGTGCCGCACCGGCAGGAGGCACCTTTTCCGCGCCTGCGCCTAAGGCGCCGCCTGGAAGTGGATTGCCCAAGAAGGCGCCTCCCACGGAGAAGGCCAGGCCTGGGGATAGCCCAGGAATCCCGCCAGCAGCTCGTGCCACAGTGCACCCGAAGGAGATTGCAAGAGGGCACCGCGAGCTGGCCGAGTTTGATGCGGTTGTGAAGAAGGACCCGCATGGCAGGCCCCTGGTTATAATGGCAGGTGGAGGACCCCACGGTCCGGAGCTCGACACGCCTCTCCCAGCATCCGTGTATAATCCGGATTTGGCCTTGCAGCCGTATTATGCGGGGGACACAGCGAACCCGGACATCATTATTGATGTTTTTACCTGGGGCTATGAGCACCATGCCTGGCTGCAACGCGTCAGAGGGAAGTGGACAGCAGCCGAGCTCTTCGCACAGCACGAAGAGATGGAAACGCATGCGACCACGACGTATGCATCTGCCACCAGCTATATGCTGGTGATGTTGGACATGGTGTGGCTAAAGGACGATCGCAAAGACGATCTGACGCCTGCCGAAGCCCAGCAGCGCAACGATGAACAGCGCGACCGCACAAAGCATGTTGGGTCAAACCCCGATATAATTCGGGAGCACGCAGACCATCCCAATTTGATTGCCCACGTCAGGCACATCGTGGCGAACGTCCTCGACGCCAAGGATGCTGGGATTCGGTCCATAGCCGTGCATGTTGTTTGCAAGGCCAACAGACATAGATCTGTTGCGGCGGGTATCCTTACCCATGCAACGCTTTTG